CAGGGATGGCGGGCAGAAGGTTGGCAAGCATGGTGGGACCAAGAAGATAGCAGGGAAGTGCTTCTATTGCAACAAGAAAGGCCACTTCAAGAAGGACTGCAGGAAGTTTCTGGCGGACACCAAACAACAAGCCAATCAAGCCAGCACCAGTCAGGCAACTCAGAATGAGTTCCTATTCTTTGCTCAGTCGGGAGATGACACCAAAACCTCTCAGGGAGCAGTCTGGTGGATTGTGGACTCGGGTGCTTCACAGCACATGTCACACAGGAAGGATTGGATGACCAATTACACGGAAATGTCACCAATTCAAGTCCATCTGGCGGACAACAGAACAGTTCAGGCAATAGGGAAGGGCCAGATCACACTTGAGACAGGCAGAAACCGATTCTGTACCCTCAGAGACGTGTGGTTTGTTCCCAAGCTTGAAAAGAACTTGTTTTCAGTAAGAAGAGCCACTGAAAACGGTGCCAAAGTTGAGTTTGGCAGCAAGGGATGCTGTATCAAGACTTCAGACAGTCAGGAAGCAATCCAGGGAACTCTAGGCGGCGGTCTATACATGTTTCATGCAAGAGAACATGCAAACATAGCCTCTGGAATGAGTTTGGACCTCTGGCATCGCAGGTTAGGACACCTGAACGTCAACAGCATCAAAATCTTGGCTAGGAACCAGCTGGGAAGCGGTCTGGAGGTCAAGAGTCACACAGAAACATCACCATGTGAAGCCTGTGCCATTGGAAAGATCACCAGGCGTCCCTTTCCAAAGGGAGAAGCAGCTAGAGCGGCTCTACTGCTGGGGGTGGTTCACAGTGATGTGTGTGGGCCCATGAAGACACCAAGTCATGGTGGGGCAAAGTACTTTGTCACATTCATTGATGACAAGTCAAGGATGACGGCAGTTTATCTTCTGAAGGAGAAGAGTGAGGTTCTCAGCAAATTCAAGGAGTTTGAGGCCTGGGCAACCAACTTCACGGGGCAGAAGATCAAAACTCTCAGATCAGACAATGGGGGAGAGTATGTGGGCGAAGAATTCAAGAAATTCTGCAAGCAGAAGGGAATTCAGCAGCAATTCAGCACCCCCTACACACCAGAGCAGAATGGTGTTGCTGAGAGGATGAACAGAACGCTGGTGGAAATGGGAAGGTGCATGCTGCACCACAGTGGACTCAGCTACAAGTTCTGGGGCGAGGCAATCATGACAGCAGTCTATCTCAGGACCAGGAGCCCCACTGCAGCACTCAGCAACTAATCAACACCATTTCAAGAGTTTACAGGCGGTAAACCAGCTCTCCAGCATCTCAGAGTGTTTGGCTGCGTGGCCTACACTCATATTTCAAAAGAAAAGCGGTCAAAACTTGATGAGAAGGCCAAGAAGGCAGTCATGGTCAGCTACAGCACTCAGAGTAAGGCCTACAGATTGTGGGTACCTGAAATGAATCAAGTTGTCATGTCTAGGGACATCATCTTTGATGAAAACTTGATGTGGAGCACTCAGCAGCGACTGCAGAGTGTACCACAGCAAGACCAAGAGCTACAGATGCCTCTGGGAGGGGAGCCTTTGTTCTTGGATGACCAAGAAGGGCTAGGGACGGTCCAAGAGACCCAGAGACCATCTAGCATCACTCCAGACAATTCTTCAGCATCAGAAGATGATGGGGACGACTTCCAGGATGCTGAGGAAGTGCCAGAACTCAGCAGGAAGAGTGCCAGATTTCACAAACCACCGGGAGAGTGGTGGATTGCAAAGCCAACTCAGTCAAACCTGGCCTTTGCCTTCACCATTGGGGAAGTTCCACAGGAAGAACCCAGCACTCTGGCTGAAGCTAGGACCAGATATGATGCCAAACAGTGGGAGGCGGCTGTCAAAGCAGAATATGACTCTCTGATGGAGAATCAGACATGGGACTTAGTCAAACTACCACCAGGAAGATCCACAGTTGGCTGCAAGTGGGTTTTCAAGCTGAAACTCAAGTCAGATGGCTCTGTAGAGCGCTACAAGGCCAGACTGGTAGCCAAAGGATACTCCCAAGTTGAAGGACTGGACTACAAGGAGACATTTGCCCCAGTAGTCAAGTTTGCAACCATCAGGACGGTCCTGACACTAGCAGCCGTGAAGGACATGGAGATTCACCAAATGGATGTCAAAACAGCATTCTTGAATGGGACCATTGAGGAGGACATCTACATGGACCAACCAGAAGGCTTCACCACGGCAAATGGACTTGTCTGCAAGCTAAAGAAGAGTTTGTATGGGTTAAAGCAAGCTCCAAGAGCCTGGAACAAAGTCATTGATGGGCAACTCAAAGAACTTGGCTTTGAAAGGTGTGAATCAGACCACGGGCTGTACATCAACAAGAAGATGGGCATCCACCTTATCCTGTATGTGGATGACCTTATTCTGGCATCAAAGGACGACCAGGAGTTGTTAAAACTCAAAGAAGAACTCAAGAAGCGGTTCAAGATGGCTGATATGGGCCAGTTAGAGCATTTTCTCGGCATCCAAGTGGTCAGGGACAGAGCCAACAGGTCAATCTGGCTCTCCCAACAGCGATACCTCAGTCAAACATTGAAGAAATTCAATATGAGTAACAGCAAACCAGTTGCCACACCACTAGAGAATGGCCAGAAGCTCACCAAGGCCATGTCACCACAAACTGAGGCAGAACAGCAAGAAATGAACGGGGTTCCTTTCAGAAGTGCTGTTGGAAGTCTCATTTATGCAATGCTGGGCACCAGACCAGACATAGCAGCAGCAGTTGGATCAGTTAGCCAGTATCTTTCCAACCCCGGACATCAGCACTGGATAGCAGTCAAATGGATCTTGCGGTACCTGAATAGCACCACAGACCTAGGACTTCAACTGGGTGGCATTCAGAGCAAGTGGGAGCTATCTGCATACTCTGATGCAGATTGGGGCAGTGATTTGGACTTCAGGAAGTCTACCACTGGCTTCTTAGTCAAGATTGGCAGCAGCACAGTCAGCTGGCAAAGCAAGAGGCAACCTACAGTTGCCCTATCATCAACAGAGTCAGAGTACATGGCTCTTTGTCAAGCTACCAAGGAAGTTATCTGGTTCAGAACACTTCTAGGCGAGCTAGGACATCAGCAAAGTGGTCCTACAACATTGTATGGTGACAATCAGGGTGCCATAGCACTTGCCAACAACCCAACACATCATGCACGGACCAAACACATTGATGTGTGGCACCACTTCATCAGACAAGCAGTAGAAGACAAGAAAATCAGCCTCAAGTACTGTCAGACAGAAGAAATGATGGCTGACATTCTCACCAAGGCTTTACCCAAGGAGAAGCATCTTAAACTGCAGCCACTGCTGAGGGCTCCACATCAAGTTTTCATCAAAGATGACATCCCTTGAAATGACAACTTGGTTCATTTCAGGTACCCACAGTCTGTAGGCCATACTCTGAGTGCTGTAGCTGACCACAACTGCCTTCTTGGCCTCCTCATCAAGTTTTCACCACTTTTCCTTTGGAATATGAGTGTAGGCCATGCAGCCAAGCACTCTAAGATGCTGGAGAGCTGGTTTACTGCCTGTAAACTCTTGAAATGGTGTTGATTTGTAAAAGAATTCTTCTGTTAGTTACTTTGTCTTCAGTTAGTTAGTCAGTCAGTAGTATCAGTAGTGTAGTAGTTTGGACTTAGAGATTTTCAGTGCAAGTTCATTAGTCTTAAAATGGCAGGCACACATCCCTGAAACAAATGTTAGTAAGGAGGCATGTCTAAAGGTTGATTTATCTAAATTAGGCAAGTCATGCTCCTGAAAGCAAAATGTGAGTCAGAGACATGTGTCTGAAACAAATTCCCCTTACTGAGCTGCAGAAAATAATTTTTGCTGCAAAGATGAGGAGGATACATTGTGACTCAGTAGTTTAGAATTCTTTTCATTGGTTAGAGATAAAACTGAAGCCTTGGCATTTTGGTCTATAAAAAGGGAGTGTTCCCACACCTCCCTTTAATAAAATAACCAAGTTTTCCCCAAGTCTTCCTAGTCTTCTTGTCCCAGCTGCCTATTGTTACCCCAATGCACCAAAATGCATATTTTGCCATTATTTCACCATGCAAAAGAGTAAATATTTAGGCTGTATAACAATAGTATAATGCCTATTGCCACAGCCTAAATGGATAAAGATAATTGCCATACATCTATAAAAGGGACTGATGCCATCATGCCCTTTTTAGACATGCTATTGGCTAGATACTAATCCCCCTAACTAAGTCTATCTGTCACAATACCACATTGACAGCTATCACTGATTGGAACCTTCAGAATATAGTAACCATGCAGCTTGAACCAAGCCCTGTCAATTGAACCAATTGCTGCAAGATTATTACACTGGGGGTGATAATGATAGCAGCAGTCTTTAGCAAAAATGGTGGGCAAAATGTTGAAAAGAATAGGATAGCCAAGTATATAGCAGGGAACTGCACTTGCTTCAATAAGATAGGTCTGTTACATACTAACTACTCTATAACTATCCCAGGAATAGGAAATATATCTAGTTCCTTTCTGCTGAGGGGGTAGTAAAGGAACTGTACTAGAGAAAGAAAAATTGTAGTCCTGGAATGTAGTATGATAACTTAATTTTAACCTCTACTTTTATTATATATAATAGCTACATAAGAAAGGAATATGATAAACTTATAGTTATACTTCCAACCTTTCAGATATATTCTGATCAATTCACTTATACTTCCAACCCTTCAGATATATTCTGATCAATTCACCAAGTTCAGAACTCATGCAAGTTCATTATCTGACAATTTTGATGAAATCAATCAATCCAACATTGCATGAGTTATTTAGTTTCCATTATCTGACAATTTTGATGAAATGAATCAATCCCAACATATACCAAGTGCATCAAACCCACAATTTTGAAATGCTATACCTAGGAGCTTTCTGAAATATGGATGTGAGTATCGGATTCTATGCAAGAAATCATGTCTAGAAAGCACCACATCAAACCATATCAAACCAATATGCAGACAAAGGCTTCCATTTTAGGAGACACTACGTAACGTGTGAATGATATACGCTATAAACTACCACTAACATGCAAAAGGACGACAAGATATCATCAACAAAGAAAACTACTTAACAACAAGATAACGAAAACTAATTATTACATGCTCCGGCTATTTGTATTGCATAGAAATGGTCACCACTAGGATCGCAGTCTTCCTGATTATTGCGACTTGATTGCTTCTGGCGTCACCTCTGATGGCTCAGCAGCTGCTGCAGTAGCGCTTGGCTCAGAAACGGCTTTGGCGGCAGCTTCAACGGCCTCGACGATAGAAGATTCGGTAACAGGAACATCAAGAGTGGGGGCAGTAGTTTTCTCTTCGGCAACCGCACTGGCGGGTGCTTCTGTCGTCGCCGCAGCTTCGGTTTCAACCGGTTCCTTGCTGCCCTCCTCAGCTTTCACTTCCTCAGTTGCGGCAGGAGCAGGGGCCTTTTTAGTGAAAGAGAACAACCTAACAATGATGAATGAACTCGTCAGCCATCGCATCGTTGATGTAGGTCCCCGATTACCCAGATACATACTTTTTCAAAGTGTTGGGCCTTTTTCCGATGCCGAAAAATCCCTTGTGGGCCTGGGTGGGTGAACTCTCGGTGGCAACTGCTTCTTCGGCCTTGGCTTCTTCTGCAGCTGGAGCCACAGCAGCTTCAAGTTGTGCTTCTTCTGTGGCGGCAACGGCTTCTTGGGCCGCCTCCTCCTGCTTTGCGATAGCGGCATCAACTTTGGCCTCGGTAGCTTCGGGCACTACAGCCGGTGCTTCTTCCGGAACGGCCTCACTGGGCTCGCTCGGAGCGTCTGCTGTTTCCTCCGGGATCACTGTTTCTTTAGGTGCTTCGGGAATGTCACTCTTGCTAGCTTCCTTTTTAGGGGCGCCGAAGCCAAAGAATGAGGTGAGCCTGGCAAGGAGACGGCCACCAGGTCAGGATCACTTGCGGATACACAACGACTGCACGACGAATGACATACCTCTTTTTTATCTTTGGCGTGGGGCTCACAGGGGCGGCGGCATCTTTAGCAGTTTCAACTGGTGCAGACTCTCCATGCACGGCTTCTGCCGTAGCAGTTTCTTCCTTGGGTTCCTCCTTGGTTTCCTCCTTGGTCTCCTCCTTGGTCTCCTCCTTGGTCTCCTCCTTGGAGGGAGACGCTTCCTCAGCCGCCTTTTCCGTTTCCGGCTGAGGTACCGCTACCGGTGCTTCGTCGGCCTTTGGCGTCGCAGCAGACTTTGTGCCCTGCAAGCAACATCAGCTTAGTGCATATACGTAGCTGTCCTGAATCTAAAGGGTCCTTACCTTCCGGAACAAAGTGTGGAAATCTGTAAAGAAGTGCTTCTTGGCGCTGGGAGAAGCTGGTTGCGTTGCGGGTTCAGCTGGTTCCGCCACGGATTCCTTGCTCTCCTCGGTCGCCGGCGCCTCGGCAACTGCAGCTACAGGACTCTCGAGCGCAACCTCTTCCGGCTTCTCCTCCACAGGCTCTGCCTTCCCTGCCTCTACTGGCAATTCCTTCTCCACCACTTCTGGAACCGTCTCCACGACAACGACCTCTTCCTTCACCTCTTCAGCTTTGGCTTCGGCCGGTATTTCCTCAACCGCGGTAGCGCCTTCAACCGGGACTTCCTTGCTCGGCGCTGAAGCGGCCTCAACAGCTGGAGTCTCCGACGCTACCTCTGCGACAATGTCCACGGCGGCGATGGACGGTTCAGCTGCGGCAGCAGCCTTTGAATCCTCCGCTTGGCTCGGAGCCGAGTCCTGTATCACGGAGGGTTGAATATCGGTGGTAACGATTTCCGGCCAGAACACATCAAAAAGCTTACCTTGCGAGTTTTTTTCTTTGCTAAGCTTGATAGACTGGCCAAGAAACCTTCCTTCTTGGGCGTAGTAGGCTTATTGGTCTCAGTCTTGGGCGCTGGTTGCTCAGGCAATTCCTTTTCCTTCTCCACTTTTGTAGGCTCTGGCTCAGATTCTGCAACGGGAGTTTCGGTTGTCTGTACCGCAGGAATTTCCTCCTGAGCTTCGGCAACCGGTGCAATTTGGGCCACCGCTTCCTCAGAGGTTGTTACTGGGGCCGCGCGTGCAAACAATGAGAATCTTTTCTTCTTTGAACTTTCAGCAGCAGGGTTAGGCACTTCAGGGTCCTCTTCCGTCAGAGGTGCGTCGCTGTCAGACAAAATGCCTTCCACTGCCTTTGGCTTGGAGGTACTGAAGGCCTTGCGAGATTCTATTGTGACGGAAATTGTGAGACTCTATCCATGTCCAAAAGATGGACGGCATACGATCTTACCCAAACTGTTTAACGCTGCTTTGAATTCTTCACTTTCCTCCATTTTGGGCAAATCGTCAGTGCTCTTTTTGATATTTTCAAGCGTCTTAACCCAGGACTGAGCTTCGGCGGGTGACGCGGCGGCAAAGGTGTATGTACGCTGCGGGCGGGCGAGACGTACAGAAAAATTGGCACCAGTTCCCGGGGTAACGCTTACCAAGTTGCGAAGGTTGATGAGAGCGACAGGCTGGGTTTGTTCTGCAGCATTCTCGGACCTGTAGGCCAAGATGAAGCCTTTCAACGAGACAGTGGCCTTGAAACGCGAAAGTGAGTCATCCCTAATCGCGGTCAAAATTTCAAGAGATCCGTCTTACCATAGCCAAGTCGCTGAAGAGGTCAGCATTCTGGGTAGCGTAGGATTTGTTTGCATCCGCAGAGGGAGAAGCGTTGCGGGACACCTTTTTTTTGTGAACCAGAACCAGCTGCTCAAGGGAGATGCCTTTGTCCTCTCCGACGATGTAAAAGCGTTTCGAAAGGGGAATGCTGAATCGATTCAGCTTTTTGAGCCATCCGCTGGAGAGTTCCTTTACTTCTGTTTGCTCCTCGACGACAACCGCGGCCTCTTCGGGAGCAACGGTTTCCTCAGCGGGGCTTTCAGTAGGCTTTTCAGTTGCGGTTTCCTCTGGCACGGCGGCAGGAGCCTCCGGTTCAGCAGGCGTGGGAGCCGACTCGACAACCACGGGAGTGAGTTCAGGCACAGTGTCCGCGGTCGCAGGCCCAGGCACGGGAACTGGGGTGGCTACAGCGACAGCGCTCATGCTATCTGTAGGGCAAAAGAGGGATGCTATTGTTTATTCAAAAATGAGCAAGGTGATGTTAACTATAACATGAATAAACCTACCAGCAATGGGTTGCTACTGCACGGAGAAGCAAAAGCAGTTGACTTACAAGTTAGAAATGATCAATGAGAATCCAGACAAACGACAAACAACATACAGCTTTTTGTATGGAAAACAAAAGCAAGCTAAAAGAAAAAATCCAATAAAAAAAAAAAGGAAACTATGAGGATCTGCTCGCGCAAAACAAAAAGTTTCTGGCAAATCAACCAAAAGGGAAAAACGACGACGACGACGACGGAGGGCGGATGGGGGGGGGGGAGACCTGACTTTATTCAAACGCTCTATTCCCATGTGACCATTTTTCATATAGTGAAATAACTAGCATAACCCCCCTTGCCTGTGTGTACGACACATGACACGTCACAACTTACCACACAGAGTGCAGTAAAGAGTGTCGTATCAGACAAGAGCAAAAAAAGGGTTACAAGGACCGCTTTTCCATTTTCTTTTTCATAAACGGCGTAAACTGTCAAAGAAGTTGTCTTGATCTGGATGATTAATCTTTGGCTTTTGGACAGCCCATTCAAAGCGACAGACTTTCAAAATTATTTTTTTTCTTGTCTTTTTATGACGTTCTTCTGTTTTGCCTTGTATCTCTTCCTTCCTTCCTTGTTGCCGTTGGGAAACTCGCCAATGGCCGCCATGTGAAAGCGGCAATAGCATTTTTCTTTTTCTTATTGTATAAACAAATCAATTTCTATGGTACGCATGATGATGACACTTGTGTTTCCACGGGAATTTGTCCACTCGATTCGGACACGGTCGACGCGTTTCACTCTCCGTCAACCAGCTATTTCTCGCTTTTAACAAGTTTCACTCTTGTTAGCAGAAATGGACTATGGAGGCCGCCATACGGCGGGTTCCTTTTCATTTCCCGTCCTCAAGCCTTCCGAACTGTTGAGATGCATGACCGATTTGGGAATGCCCTTTAGCGAGGAAGACTTGACAAAACCCACAATGCAACGCATCTTGACCGTCTACGAACATTTCACAGAAATCCTCATGGGTGTCACCCGCGAACAATATGGTCAACCGAGCTTTAGCGCAATGCAGATCCTCGAACACCCAGACTTGCACCAAGATTCGATAGGACTGATTGCATACTATAGACAATTGTAAGTAGAGCCCGCAAACTCTGATCTGGGCGCCACATCCTCGCTGGTCAAAAGACAAAACAACGGCCCTATCTCTTGGGGAGCGCGCGCGATAAAGGAAAAAGTGGAAAGTCATTGACAACTTGACCAAGCACGCTAGACCTTTAGTATTGTAATGCGTCAGCTCATCAACGCAGTTTTTGTCCCTTTTACTAGACGAAAGTTAATGGTGGAAGTGGGAGTGGATGACTTTAGTATGCGTGACGTCTTACGCCCCGAACCACCGCGCGTACGTCGATGCCTGAGCGCAATCATCAATTTTGCCAAATTCAGGGAAGAGCGAATGGGCGTATTTGAAACATGTAATCAAAAGGCGGTATGTATTCCTTTATAAGATAGCGTTATATGCGCTTCCCTTACGGGACCTCGGAATCTTAGGAAGAAGCTCTCGCAAGAAAGGACATGTTGGAACAAAAGAATCGCGAACTGTCAGAACAAGTGAACACGCTGCGGTAAAATTATTTGGAATCTTGTTTATTTCACCGTAACTTGCTTCTAATCTCGGTCGCGGCAAAAGACTGCAGCGTGCTGAACAAGAGCCTGCTGCTCAGAAATTACGGGATGCAAACTCTACCCTGACAGCCGATCTCAGGGAGCTGAAAAAGCAGCAAACGGCGCTTACATCGGAAGCTGAGGCTTTGAAAAAAGAAAAGACAGATCTGGCTGAAAAACTGGTACTTGTCAAAGCATTTGCACACTCTTGTCATTCAAGTAAAATTCCTCACGTTGAGCTTTCAATCCCGCCAGGCAAAGACTCAAATGACCATAATGAACCTCAAGCAGGACTGCATCCGACTAAAATCACGCATAGTTCAGAGTCCGGAAAAGCTGAAAGCGGTAAGTTGCCCGCGTTCGCAGAAATGTCCTGGTAAATGAAAAACCTGAATTGCTTTTATGCCAGTCCATTAGCGAGATGAACAATTCTTTGCAAAGCGACAAAGCCACAATAGCTGCGACCGAAAAGAAAGCTCGCGAACTACAGAATAAGATTGACATGATGAGCTTGGTTGAACAGGTCAGTGGCCTCAATGATGTTTAGTTGCCGCTGACTGGAATAACTGATGTGGCATTACAGGATATCGTCACCTGCTTAAAGCTGATGGACGAATGCGAAGTGGAACGGCAGAAGGCGGAGACAGCACTGAAGAAAGTGTCGACTGACAAAGAGAACATTGATAAGAAGCGTGCAGAGATTCGCGAGCTAGATATCAAGGAGGAGGTAAGAATTAGCCGTTATTTGAGCAGTAGACAGAGCGACGATTGTAACAGGATGAGTGAATTTGCAGCAATTAAAGAGACAGCTCAACAGTGCGAAGGATAAGCTCGCCCGTCTCGAAAAGCATCAGTCGGTCAAAAATGACGCCATATCATCAAAGCTGGAAAAGTTGAAAGAAGAGTACCGGTTGGCGATGACGGAGCGGGCACAGTCTCAAGCGAAAGCCGACGAGAATGAAAAGGTTACAATCATGACTGAGGAGAAGGTACGGGCATGTCCGTCACTGGAGAGAGCACAATAGGAAATGTTTTAACAAGTCGCAAAATTCAAAGGCTGCGGATCTACAAAAGCAGGAAGCGATCGATGCTGCCGGCCTTGAAGACCTTATTGGCAAACTTGCGTCACAGGTGGACATTTACCAGAATGCCATTGAAAAGGCAATGGCTGCGGCATGACATTGCTGGCCGGCACTTATGCATATGCATACATCAAAACCCTACAGTGCTAAGGACCCGCCGAGCTGAGACCAACCAGTCAACCAGTCATTACACGTCCTTTCGAAGCCATCAGCTACCCACCATTCTCGAGTGGAAAGGGTGATTGTAACCGCTGCAGTCTGCTTCTCTATTACGGACGCGGTACCACAGAGACATGTGCTTAGCGTGCAAAAGTCATCTCCTAAAGAAACTTCGTATTAAGAATTTGTACATTACATAAAGATACACACTGTTTATCCACTCTAATGCGCAAAATATTGTGGACTTTGCGAATTACCACACCAGGGACACACCTGCAGAAGTGTAAGAAGCAAAATTGTTTAGTATACAGTCTAGATTTGTGTTGACGCGCAAGAGAAGCACTTACTCTTTCAATCATCACAAATTTATTCCAGTCATCCTTATTTGCCGGTCGACTGCAGGCGCTACATTTCGCCTTGTTGCGTAGAACCGGATAACCTGGTGATATTCATGGTCTGATTAGAAGATCGAGATCCCGACCCCAGCGCTAGTATGAACCTACCAGTCACCACACACGGTTCCCACTTTGCGTGACAGTTAAAGCAGGACAGGCTTGCATCGTATATACTTGTCCCACAATCATCACATTCACGTCGGTCGACTTCCTGATTCACTTTCTGGTCGAGGGAGATTTGTAACACCCAGTCGCGAACTTCCTCTCTCTTCGCCTCCTGCGACAGACTTTCAGATAGTGGGTCATCAACACCATGCATCAGTATACAGTCAGTACCGGCATGTTTTCCAAAGGCAGCTCTATGTCGAAAGGCACATCTGTATTCTGAAAGTCGGCATTTTCTAACATAGAGGCGTCCCCTTCTTCTATGGCTTCGCTTATATCCAGAAAACGGTTCCAACAAACAAATGCCATATTATTCATGCCAGCTGCCTAGAATCAGATGCGAAGCGTAATCCGTGAATCAAAAGCTTTGGTATTCACAATCTCATACTCTCATCCGCGTACCTTGGCAGCTTCCCCGGCAGCATAGAAGGCATGATCTGCAGGTACATATTTTGTATACCGAAGTGTGGAAATCGCTTGCTTCGCGGCAAAGTAGAGCAGGTCGCGCTTCTTGGTGCAATAATGCTTCATGGTAATCAGGTGGCTGATGAACAGGTATGTTTCAAATTCTGGGGGGATACCAGGTTGCGGACTGACGGACATGCCATGCACCTGCATCAACGGAAGCAAACTATCATTAGAATCTCACTAGTTCCACTTAGTGTAACTTGAATAAAACTGCTGACCAGTTTGAACAGCATTTCTCGCAAGGCGGAAATCGTCTCTGTTGAACCACTTTGGAAGATTTCCCGAGAGAGTCGTGTGTAGAGGTCAAAGTTTGTGGGTGAGGATGGTACATCATACTTGCTGATCGTTGCGACCGCGCTGTCATATTTCTTCTGCTTGATCAGCGTTGCGCAGTAGGAGACAAGATACTTATTCAATGCCTCCGGTCCCTACGTTTAATGATGTCAGATCTGGAGCAAAATGCACCTTTTTGAACTCATTTTCCATCTTACCTGAGAAGAGGCTGTCTCTAGACACTTGTCCCATTCACCGCGCTGCGCATACATATCCAGTGCCGCGAGGACATCAACGTTGACCAAGTCCTCCGCATGTCCCGTACTCTTCAGATGCGCTACGTATGCATTTTCAATATAGTCGGCATACTTGGGCGCGTATTCCAGCATCTCCTTAGCCCTATCCCATAATCCGGCGAGCATATATGAATCAATCGCGTCTTTGTACATCTCCATTCCTGCAAATAGATCCGCGGCGGCTTCGTATCTCTTGATTTCAATAAGCCGAGCACAAACTGTTTCCACTACTTCGTTGCCTCGCTCAGGTACAAATTTCATGGCAAGCTCTACTGCTTTTTCCCAGAATTCCTGCAGGAAGGCATAGTCGCTTGTGTGCGTCGCAGTCAGTTTCAGGTACATGTCAATGGCTCGGGAGTATTCTTGCTGTTGCTCCAACAATTTTGCCGTCGACACAATGTCTTCCATGCCCTTGTCCGTCTTGCCCGAAATGAAGCGATCATATTCCAAGTTTAGCTCGTTCATCTTGCTGGGTAGATACTCTTTTGCAAACCGCATCGCCTCATTCCACATCTTTCCGTCCCGGTAAAACTTTATCGCCAATTCTGGTCTTTGCGCCCGCAGAAGCAAGGATTCTGCTTTAGAGAATTCTTTGCGCTCAAAGGACACTCTTGCTTGTCCTATCAACACTTCGGGGATACTTCCCTGATCGTAAGCTTCCGCAACCGCAAGAGAGGCATCCCAGTCCTCGTTGTGAATGTACATGAGAATGGCCTCCTTGGGCTTTCCTGCGAGAACAAATGCCTGCTCCGCCTCTTTAAACTTTCCTTCGTCTTCCAAAAACATGGCATGCTTATAATGAACATCCGCAAGCTTGTGCTTATCAGCAAAGCGACTCAGCTCGAATGCAAAATCAAAAGCCCCATTCTCAGTAGCAAAGTCGATTGCAGCGTCCAAAAGGCCAAACTTGCTGAGGAGTTTAACGGCAGATTCGCCTCCCAATGACCTTGCCCACAGGTAGGCCACCTGCTTGGCAGAGTTTGGACCTCCATGCGCTTTAGCAACCTATAACGTATGACCATTTCAACTTTGGACTGACTGAGGCTGGACAGTATCTGCTCTGGTCACTTACCCGATATGCCTCCTCGTACATATTGTTTGCACAATACATGTTAATGGCCGATTTCCAGTCCTTCCCTTCAACATAGTGGTGCTCCGCTTGCTTATAATTGCCTTCAGTCTCTAGCGACTTTGCCAAGTAAATGTGCGTCTCAACCAGCAAGTCCTTGTGGTACATCGTGACCAGACGGATCATCTGGTCGTATTGCTTGTGATTTTTGTACATGTTGATAGCAAGATCCGGTTCATTAACAGTAAGATATAGCTTCTCTGCATCTTTGAGCTTTCCTGTACGAGGATATGATTGTGTAAAAATGGTGCCCAAAAACGCTCTTCCATGATGAACAAACCTTGCGCTTCCAATTCTCTGGCTTGAGATATATAGAGGAATGCCACGTCTTCTGGGGACATGTACGTTGTCGCTAGTGCATGAGCACTATCCCACCTGGCGGCTTTCGTGTACATTTCCACAGCGTCTTGCGGGCGTCCCGCCATGACATAGTACTTTTCTGCCTGACTGTATTCACGTACATCCGCAAAGTGTGCTGCCAACTGCAAAAAGTAGGGCTTGCCACTTTCTTGTGGTTGAAGGGAATCCACGATTCCAACAGCCTTTTTCCACTGCGGACAATACAGGTGTCAATAGGTTTCTCTTGCATGTTTGAGGTATAGTAGAACAATACGCACCTGCTTCGCAGCGATTGCAGCCTCAATTGCTTTAAAGGAGCGCCCAGCCTCGATATAATGGTTTACGGCACCATCCATTTGCTTCTGAGACACAAGATGGTCTCCCCATTGCTGTCAAAGATAGATATCAGATACTGATACTCTCCAACTACACGAGAAGTATCGTTTCCAACCTCTTGCAATTTGACAACTTCCTGCGGGAAGACGGCGCGTGCAAGATCCACGGCTGCACGGAAAGCTTTCCCCCGTCGGTATGCATCAAGCGCTCGTTCGTTGCCTCCCATCTTTTCATAGAGCTCTCCTGCCTGTCCAAACGGTGAGAAAAATATCAAAAGGGTATACTCTGCCCTCGGAAAATATCCATACCTTTTCATAGAGACCCTGTTTAAATAAGGCCGCCGCGACACGCTCGGTCAACGCAGTATCCGATGTCAGACGGTGTGCATTCAGCAGACTTGCTGCTCGTGCCGGCATGCCTATGGAAGTGGTGTCATTAGCCTGTTATTTATTGCATGGCTCTTGGACACTGAGACTCTACCTCCTTTCATATAAAGATTGACTGCCGCCACTAAATCACCTTCTTCTTCTTTAAGCTGACCTAAACAGCCCCAATCATTAATATCCGGTGTTGCTTCCGAGAATTCACTCCACAATGTTACCAGCTTTGTCCTCCTGGCCCGAATCAATCAGCCACTGGAAATAGTTTCGCTTCAAAGTATCCAGCTCCGGATGATTCTTCGCTTCCGCCACTTTAATGGAGAGGTTCCATTTATGTAGCTCCTGATACATTTCCATGGCTTCTTCTATTTTTCCCTGCATTGCCAGCGTGAGGAAGCAGGTATATTTGAATCAATTATAGTGCCTCACCTGCTCAAGATAGATCGCTTCGGCAACTTTGAACTGCTTGTCGAGAATGGCCAGTCGTGCTTTGATGGAATAATGATCTGTCGGGGGCTTGAGAATTACAGTAAAAACTTAGTCCAATAGATTAAACCCGCTTCACGTATGTAAATACCAGAGGGCTTTCAGCTGCAACAGCAATGGCTGCTATATTAACCTGATGCAGGTAGCGGGTACGAGCGACGTCGCCCAGGGCGGCAAAACACCTGTCAATATACGTCAAGAGCTGGTCTCCACAAGATCAAAAAGCTCAAATTGCCAACCTTTCTGCGATGGTCAAGTTCCGATCCTTTAGTGCCATCTGACTCAAGCTCTTCCACATCGCATCCGTCTCTGGCGTGATTTCAAGCGTTTCGAGCAGCGCTACTGCTCTACATTCGTAATTATGCATGAGACCCAAGGTCCTTCCGGCAAAACCAGTCATTCCCTGTTACCGTTCATAATCCTTGTCATCAATGGCCGTGCCAAACTCGATGAGACCTTCATCGAGGGTGTACGACACGGTATTTACACCCTCGTCCACAATGACTTCGGTCTTTCCATCATTTCGTTCAATGTCTTCCACTTCACCCTGTCGATTGTTTTATTTATTCAACATATAAATCTTTCTTTAGCCTTTTTTACAATTCCAATCACCTTTATAGGGAACATTGTAACTCTTTCTGGGGAATCGATGGAGTACCAAATACAGAGATTTCCGCGACTTTGGGCGACGACGACATCACTATTTGGGACCCACTGTGCACATGATACTCCCATCGGTAAGTTAAATCATGGCATATTTGTCTCCAACGGAAAATCACAAGTACCTGGACGTAGCTACAGAAGTTCAACAGAGTTGATCGGGTCTGGCTAGGGATGTCGTAGAGATGGAGTTGGCGTTTCTTGTCTCTGAAAAGCAACTTGTTTGCTTTGCCTGACAACTGATAGCAAATGGATAAACTAATGCATATATATCATCTCCAATCTTTAAGCATACCTCTAACCAGTCAATCCGACTGTCATGATTTATTGTTGCCAGTGTGACAGAGCTATTTAGATCCAAAACGCTGATAGTTTGTAGATCGATAAGATAAGCGACTCTCTTCACGTCTTCTTCATTCTTCCGTTCGTTCAATCGAACACTGTAAACGGTGCAATTTATCAAAATGTAAGAACGCAGATGAGGCTCCAAGCGTTGTGCTATTGCCGTCCAAACCTAATCAAATGAGGGCTCATGTGCTCCGTCCTACAGGATCCAAGGACTTCGTTCACTCCGTATTCGACTAACGACAGCTCGCCTGCATTGAAAACCATGCAGACCGCGGGATTCTCAAAGTAGAATTTTTCCTGCCCGCTGCCTTGCCATGGAATCTAGACGGGATTGATGCACAGTCAATCTGAAGTATCATCCATGAAATTGACTCAATCAAATGCACCTCGCTGAGCTTGCATGTAGCCAGATCGCCCATTAACAGTGTGTCGGGTGTGTTCGCGATGAGATACTGATCCCTGAATATGTTAACTTTCTGTATTTCGTAACCATAATGGGACTTGAGGACGATCCTGGATCCAGTCGATAATCGCTTCACGATAACTTGACTCGGCGATACGTAAGTGAATTCAAATTTGCCCTTGTATCGCGATCGGCGGAGGCAACAATCAAACAGTTCCACAGCCCCGCACATATTTCCCTAAACAAACTGTCTATCAATTTCAACTTCTGAAAAATGTTATCAAGTGCAATATCTTCCTACTGCAACTAGACGAGACCCATCAGGTTTCCATGATATGGCAGAAACAGTGTAGAAGTTTTCGATTGTTTTCAATGGGGCTTCCTCCCATTGTCCAGTTGAGCCAATGTAGTTGTAGACATGAAACCTATTGGTCAAATATCAGTGCTGAGATTGTGCCTCGTCCGATACTCCGGTGATCGGTTACCGATTATAGCTTCCAAGGACAACGCTTTGACCACTCGGGCTAAACTCTGCGACCGTGAAATCTTGCTCTTCATCGTCCCGACTGTAGTCAAACTCTTGCATCACTCGCCCTGTACATTCATAAATTCGTAAATGAATTGCCTTCAGGGGGCAAGCGATGACAACATTGGATGGTACGGCTGACCTTCTTGATCATAAAACACTACAACACGGTCACTTCCAGATGCGACAACGCTCTCGCCCCAGGAAAGCGCAATTGGTGCACATTGATGCGTTGCAAATTTTCCCTGCAGCACGGGTGGGTTAGAGTGGACAATGAAGGGGGCTTAACAGCAGCTTCATTCAATACCTGTGAAGCGCCAGATATTCCATCATCAAAGAAGAAGCGATTGATGGACCCGTCCAAGTGTCCAGTTATTATAGCATTTCCGTCGACACTGCTGGCCGCCGATACTACGCAACTGTCGGTTTGATAAAGCGTGGCCGCCTTATTGGTCTTCAGATTCCCTACCCGTACCTTTGTTGAGCACCTGCATCAGTGAAAAAGGTCGTTTGATAATGCTTCTCGTTTTGCACAGCACACCTTGCCGTCCGCAAGACCGAACACCAGAGCGTTTGGTTGCTCTTTCGGCCATGTGAGGCAAGTTATTTCTGCCGCTTGTATAAACTTATTCACAATTGACTTTTTCTCTCCCCATTCAAGGCCAAGTCTGTACACGAAGACAGCATTGTCGGACTGGGCGACTGCCAATTTCGTCGAGTCAGGAGAAAACGCTAACCCGCATATGTAGTACGACTTTGCGGCCTAATATTCAAGTACGCAGTCAGTAAGCTATTCATTATTGAGATCGATATAACGGCAGTAAGGCCCTCCTTACTTTCGGATCACCCGGCTTGGTAGCGAATCGATCCTTTCTTTCCCCAGTTTCGTCAAAAAGTTGCACCACTCTGTCGAGGCCGACGACGGCTAGTTTCTGATTATTTTGCGACCATGCCAGTGCAGTGACTCGCTGCGGTGAATCTGCCTGTGGTATGATCGATTTCAAGTGCCTTCCCATATAAACACAGTACGGCTTTAACCACAGAAGAGCTGGCTAGTGCACAAATCAAGAGCGTCGAGGGGCTTCAAAGTACCTTATTTGCATGGCCCCTCACAATCCGGTACGCACAGATCAACTCTGTCACAAAACTGTCTATGTGACCGCTCCGCGATCTACGCATGCAAGTTCCACTAGTCGGTCCAGTCCAACATGCGCTATGTCGCGGTTACTGCTTACGTGTGTATGCTCACGTGAATTGTCCAGATCGTGTGGATGTCGTCCAGCACCCACCCCGCTCCTTCTTCCGCCCTCACCTCTCTTCAACTTTGGCCCGTGGAAGCAAATTCCAGCAGTATTACCCGCCCAGCAGCCTTCCCAGCACCATTTAAGAGTAGCCTGTGTGTAGCTGGTGGTGGAGCGGCAGTTATTGTAAGTAGTATTGGAACATGTTCATGGTGTCCAGCCTCTTGGGCATGTCCCCGGCTTTTGTCCGAACTTGCTTAGTGTCCACGCAAATGCGGACTGGTGGTGCATCCTTTGACGTTTCCCTTCCGCTATACAGTTCCGCAAGATGCCTGTCGCAGGTCCTGCTCCACCCCGCCTGGCGTCATTCCTTCCTCACCCAGCTCTACGTCGTCCGTTCGTTGAAGGGAAGGACTCGGATGAATTGGCGCAAATTCAAAAGTTGCATCTTTTCAGGCTGGAAATGGAACCCAGATACCGCCCGAACCCCTTCTACATGGAGGACGTACAACGAGGGTCGATTGGAACTGACCATAGAAGGTGAGCATCCGTGGCTTTGGAGGATAGGGTACTCCGTGTTTCAGTGGATGCTTGCTTGCTTCCACCACAGCAATATGCTCGCATAATGCCTCTGATTACACATGAAATATAGTTGCTGGTGTATGTCCCTCGTTTCCATGTTTATGCTAACTGTGGTACGTTGTTAGGGAGCTGATTGAGTGGCTACTGGAGGTCAGTGATTGTGGTATTCAGTGATGATACTGTCTGACAATGCTTTAGATCTAACGTTATCTTCTTTGCCTGTCTATAGCTTGCTCGACATTTCAGATACTATTGCAGTGAAATCTTTCAGGTGACTTCCACACATCAGTAGTTCGGAGCTGTTTTCGGGATAAGATGGAAGTTCTAAAACCTATTCTTTCTTGTTACTTCAGTTGTCCGTGAGCATTCTAGATCGCATATGTAGCATTGAAACCCTGCAGCTGTCACATTACCAAGCCCTTGGGGCAGCTAGTTTCCTGATCGCATCCAAAATTTGTGAAACCAGAACGCCAACATGCGTGGAGCTTGAAGAACTCGCCGCAGGCGCATTTAATGTGGAGGGTCTCAAGGTCGGTACTAATATTTGTCGTCGAGTTTAACTGAGCTTCTTCCTAACGTCCCTGCAGGCGATGGAGCTGTGGGTCCTGCAAATGTTGAACTGGAATTTGAACGCCGTGACGCCCAATATGTTCCTGGAGTTCTTTCTCGATCTTTTTAAATACGATGCGACCACCAAGTCAGAGCTCTTTCTGATCGCCGACCAGGTTCTTAACAGAATTCAACCCTGTAAGTGACCACTTGATTCGGAACCGTGCATCAAGGTGGACTCACAAGCATTTGTAGACTATCACTACGTCCGATTCCGGCCCTCAGTCCAAGCTGCTGCTGCACTAAGATATGCTTTCGAGACAATTGGCATTAATTTACATGATTTCCATGTATTCATGGGCCGCGAACTGGAGTCTCAATCCTTGCATACTGTGGCAATCGTTTCAAGCCTGGATATCCCCCAAATGGTGTGTGTGTGTGTGTGTGTGTGGTCTATGGCGCATTATTACTGTGTTAATTCTCGATCCATTCATGCCATTTAGTTGGAAGTAAACCGGTGTGCGGCAGCTATGGTCGCACAACTCGCACGAAACACTTTTCCGCATGTCACACCAATGCACCCAAGAGGAAAGACCCATCTGCATCACGGACTTGCCACGCCTGCAGAAGACGATGATCGGAGTGAAGAAGATGGATATAGGGAACTTGACGGACCTGTACCCTTCATTTTGGCCCATCCGGCCGATCCTCATCAATATGGCGGATCAGCCACTGGTGCAATCAAGCAGGCTTCATCGCCTTTCGCGTAATTCACGTGGACATGAACCGTCGGGTCTTCCATGGACACGCATTTGTATATATGAGGGATTTGTCGGGTTTGTTGCCATTAGGCGGATGCCATGGACGCTTGGCTGTTGATTTCATTTTATATATTAGACATTCTGGATGTAGGTTTGGACCATCCGGACGGCGTGTAGATTAGGATATAGGATAAAAATAAATATGAATTGTAGATGGCTTGATTTACACTGTACAATCGATACGCTAACGCTACTCCAGACATTCAATCATCCATGAAATCATTCTCATCCGTGGTATCTCTTTTCCACCTACTTCGCTTCGCTGTGGGCTCGAGAGGAAACGTGTCTGCCCAATTGAAGGTACGTCCTAGAAACCCCATTTCATTTCCAAATCCTGGTCCCTGATTCCATCGACGCTTGGACGGCGCCGGTGAAGAAAGGTCGTGTACGAAGGCGGCCGGTGTCTCAACTTGTGATACTGGAGATGCTTGATGTATGGTTGGTGGCGGGGAGAATGTGAAGTTATTGATTGACAGGGGTTCTTGAGGCAATATAGTCGATGGTGGGGGTGGCTGAACTTCAGAAGGGGTATTTGACAGCACTGGTTCTTCTCTTCTTGATTCAGCGCTTTCTACTTGAAGGGTTTCATACTTTTTGGCAAAGAAAGTGACTAAATCGGTGACAGGAACGGCTTGCTTTCCTTGGGCTCTCTGAAGAGCCACGAATTGCCACAGGTCCTGCAAGCATTGGGAATATCCGGCGTTATAGGATCGCTTTTGTTGGTTGAGAGACTCCTTGTAGAGTTGGGTGACAGCGTAAGCAGCCTGCTTGAAGGAGTTGGCCACTGAGGGTTCGGAGGGAACCGGTGTAGCGGCGGGTGCGTCAGACGGAGGCTGCGCAGGATTCATTGGACGTTTAGGATACGTATGAAAAACAGAAATTTGGCTTAATCTCTTGGCGCTTTTGAGCAGCAAGCTGCGTAGTCGTTGTTCAATCAGCAAGGCCGACTTGTTTGCTATGGGTATGGATGTCGACTGTGCGAATGTTGAGATCTGGTAGTTGGAAGAAAACCACACGATAAGCGCCCACAAGTTGTTTTTGAAACCCTGTTCACATGATATATCATCACATGACCTGAGCAATTTGAAGTCCGCCATGCAAACTTGTACGTCACGAACATTGGACTTTCCTGAAAGGATGAGGCCCATCGTCGTCATTGGACGCTACGGTTGCCTGCTTCCAAGGGCATGGCCCGTTAAGGCTCAACCTTTTGGGAGCGTGCAGCGACACGCTTTTACGTGTTCGGCTTTCGTTTTTGGGGAGGGTCGTCAGCGTCCAGAATGTCACTCAGTGTTCCGCACACGACAATGGCCGTATGGGGTTTATCGCCCACCTATTTTCAAAGCACCCCTTCCATTCCCGCGCCTTCAATACTTCTACCATCGTGGCCCATTAGCTGAGATACCACCGTTGGGACGCATAGTAGTTTCCGTCGCCACGGGTGTCATTGTCTTCAACGCGCTAAGACCGTTTCTATGGACAGTAGTTGCCTTGGTGGCGGGATATTATGCTTACAAGAATGTATTGAATTTTTTACATCGACGGGCTGGGGAAAGGTGTGGAACATGTACTTGATATGGGACTTGGTGCAAAGATGGCTTCCTCACAGCCAACACAAAGGTATCCGCCAACACTGACGGATATGATATCCGACCGTATGGGTATCCCTCGTCCTCCGAAGGCGGCGCTCGGGCCCGACCCATCCGGATTGGGACTGTTGGGCTCACTATTTCGTGGAGTCATGGCACCAGCACTTCGAACTTTAGCAGATGCTAACGGACATTCTCAGCGTCTTCAAGAATCCGCAATGGACTGCCTTCGCAGGCACATTCGGTCCACAGCGCCAGAAGATCTTACGTTGGTCGTTGGAAATATTGACGCTGCACGAGCCGCTACCCCTCATAGTGTTATGACCGCATCATCATTTGGGGATGTGGGACAGGGAATGAACACACAGGTAGAGTTTACTGTCACATCTGCAGCTGGGAGGAATTTGATCGTCCAAGCGGTTGGATCTGCCAACGGTAGCACCGACAGCCTTACCTTGACGGACGTGAAGGTAATCGATCCCGTGAGTGGGCGTCACTGGGATATACCGTGTCGTGCAAGAGGGGCAGATGGTAGACCAACAGTTATCGATGCAGACTTCAACGAAGTACCCAAAGGACCTTAATCCCAGCGTAGCGAGGAAGGCGTTCAGCTGAAGGATGTATCGTCATTTGTACATAAGGATGAGATATTGCATTGTTTCTAGATGAGATGATCGCTAACGGAACAAGACACAGACTGTATCAGATTTGTTCACCATAGCGATATATCTCTTGAGTGACGTCCTCGAATGAAATTTGCGCACTTAGTTTTATTGCTGCGTAGTGGGTGCCTTCCACTTCAGACGTACGATCGAAGGCCGACCCTACTGGTGAGATCTGATATGTCAAGTGGGAATCAATGGGTGCTCATAGAATGGAATAGGTGAAGGCTTCGAGCTTGTACTATCTCCATTATCTCCATTCCTCAGCGTTCAATAGACATTCACCACCAACCACGTTCAAACGGGGTGCAGGGGTTTACTACACTGCTGGGAGAACACCATTATCCATCTAAGCAGTATCTTTCTAAAGCGTTTCTCGAAGGTGGTCAATTCAGGGCCTAGTATCCCCAGCTTGGATATAAAGATTATACACAACTCGAAAATATTCTTGTTGAAATTGGTCGCAGAGATCACCAAGGTTGGGATTTTCCTACAATTCATCCCTTGGCAAACATCTCCAAACCTTATCTTCCCTTTGAACTACCTTTGACAAAGCACGTACGTTTCGAAGGCTAACAGCAAAAGTCCAAAGCCAAAGGGCAGACGCGGACACGGCAATTTCCGTTGGACGTCAATGTTGCCATTGGCAACCACCTTGCAACGGCCTGCAAATGAATGGCAGCAAACACGGATTTCACTCTTGTCATCCCGCCAACTCCTTTCACATTTCTAAATGGCAACCCCCGCACGTTCAGCCGCCGCTCGCATTGACTGGGGTGCTCTAGGCACCAAGCTCAAGCCAGAAACTGTGGCGGCTATCAGCGCTTTCCGTCGTCGCCACACTGAGCTCACGAAGACCGTGACTGAACTTCGGGAACAAAGCGCCACTATTGACTTCGAAGCTTACCGCAAGGTGTTGAAGAACAAGAAGGTGGTCAACGATGCTGAGAAAAGTTTCAATGCCTTCACCCCTGCGACCTATGACCTTGGAGAACAGTTGAGGATTATTGAATCTGAGCAGGCCAAAGCTGTGAGTTGCGTGGTATCTTGGGAGTGAGTGTGGCCTCCTTTACTTAACATCCTTCGTGGAAAAAAAGGTTGCCGCGGCCCAACAGACTTCCAAGAAGGTGAACGCAGAGGTTTCGGAATTGCAGGAACTTTTGACCAACATCGAGACTGCTAGACCCGTTGACCAGCTTACGGTAAGCTTCGTCCCTGAACCTTACAAGATCCACAAGCTGACCATACTATCCTCATTATTAAGGTGGACGACGTCGCCAAAGCCTACCCTGAACTCGACAAGACCGTTGAAAAGATGGCCAAGCGTGGACAATGGAAGGTGCCAGGATACTACGAGAGGTTGGTCATCTTGCATCCTGACAGTGCACGCGGTTTCAGACATAACAAGATCTCCTTCACTATAGATTTGGAGAGTTCATCGTTGGTTTCTAGAAAAGAAGCACTATCGTACTGGACTTTTACGTGTTCCAATTCTATCTGGGAGAATAGGGACTACAATGTAGTGTCGGATAATTTACAAGAAAAATTCATTCCTCATCTTTGGTTTCAAAGTGCTGAAAGGTTGGCTGTGTATAACGTGCTTTAAAGAAGCATTTTTGAGGTACCAGGAAGCACGTCCGTAGCAAATCGTGTCGGTATCAGTCTGCTTGGTCCTAAGATGTACGGTTTCTTCGCTGAGGAAAGCAACTTACGATGTTCTACTTGGTAAGGTGCAGGGGGTTTCTGATGGCTCGGGTGGCCATGCAAAGGAGGTATGATACAGGCTATATCAAGCGGACATAGCTTCACCATCCAAAATAGACTGATTCGCAGATCTATAGCATGTTGCACATTTTGGGAGGTAGGTCGGCAAACCTTATCTTCTATTCCCGAGCATATCAATGCTCTACCAGACTTCAGCCTGCACCGATGGTACGCAAAACTGCGTCGGTGGAAACGATGCTGGCAAACTCGCCGATTAAACTTGCGAGCGCTAATTCGTGTACAAGCTCTGCGTCGTGCCTCTTTCCAGATGGCCCTACCCTGTCAAACGTAGCAGTGGCATCCTCTACCAGCAATACTTCAAACCCCTGAATTAGAGCCATTCCGTTAATAAATCGGGTTCAGGATGGCGGGACGGAGCTTGTGAACATACAAGATTTCCAGCCATTCGGGTGGTCGTAGAGACGCAGTGGTCGGTAGTCAGCCCGACAATGACCACATGGTTTGTCCTTAGATCCTCCCTTAGCTTTTTTTCTAGATCTGTACCAATGAATGCTGAATTGACCGTCTTGGTCAAAAGTAACTCGCCCGGCAATGGCGCAACCACTGGTTTGATAGCACACCCGGATTGAAACGGGCGAAGTGGAGACGTCGGGGAAGTGGAGGTATGCTGAACGTGAAGTACTGGACGGGACGTGGCCCGCCACGCTGAGAGCAGTCGTGACATATTCTCTTCAGCATGTGGGTTGTTGCGCTGTATTCCCCAGTGACTAATCTGATCGAAACCCTGTTGAACATCAATCAAAAGAAGAGCCGAGTTTGGCGGAACGTTTGCCATTTTTCAGAGCCTAGTGTTTGGCGAAGAACTACTCTAAAATCTGACGTTAACAGCGTTTAGAAGGAAGCAGAAATGCCGCCGATCACCGTTTGTCCCGCTAATAAGTTGCTCCCGCCGTGGAAGCTATAGATGGCTTAGTCAATGGCTTAGTCTGGTGATTTTCCAATTAGGTGATCGGACAGAGCTCCAGCTGGTCGACCCTTGAAACCCTCTAAACATTGCTCGGAGACAAGCGCCAAGGGTTTGCTCGCGGAGGCTAGGACCTTAAATCAGAAACCAAACAAATATACGAAACCTTGTTCTGCCAAGCGCCCTTTGACCTTCATACGATCAATCATCACGGTCTTGGCCCTGTTGGCGTTCGTTTGGCTGAGGCATTTGCCATGGATATGCCAAGCAGGAGCAATGTCCACAAGTTATAAAAACGTCAATTAAGTGCTCTGGCTCCCTTTATTCTAGCACGGTGTATATACAAAATCCTGAACAATGGACTCCGCTTCCACATATTGTTATACTTTGTCACGAGACTTTCTCCCAAAAGGCATTGACATTCTTCTTCCTCGACTATCCTGCACTGAGCGCTGCCGGAGTTCCCTTGTACTTAACGATTCATGCCAAGTATCCGCTGGGCTGCGATCATCGACGGTGAAGTCAATATGTATGGGCCTCGATCTGGAGGTGGATTTGGACATACCACCAGCGCCCTATTCTGAGCTTGCACGACGAACGTCGGTCAGAAATCGTGGCCTGACCACCATCAAGAAGTTCTTCAAAAACTTTGCTAGGAGAGCAGCATGCACGCAACGCAAGCGTGAAACCTTCAAGAAGTCATCGAGGAGGGGCAGTGACGATACCATTTGTAGTCCAATGTGTTAGCTTAGTAGAAGATAGCTATGATACCCCTGCTCCAGTTAAATACACCTGCAATCAACGAAATATCCTGCTGCATGAGGGCATGTGGGAGTCCACTATGTCCTCTTCATTTTTTCCTACCGTAAGGTTATCTTCACCCAAGAAACGGATCTTTACTCTAGCAAGGTGTCAGTGTTTGGGTTGGAAGTGACCTTCCGTCTTCGGTATCTAACGAGGTGATCAGCTCTAGCGCCAAGAATTGTGTTTTATTTTGAGCAGCACGGTCTGTTGAAATCGCCGTCCTTGTAGTTGGCAATTATCATTGTGGGAATTCATTTGTGCAAGTCCCTTCGTCCGCTGTCATTTTCCATAGTTAACATCCAACCAGACATTCCTAGCGAAACTTGGAAACTGAGACATGCACACTTTCCGGTATCGCTGCCGTCCCAAGTTCTCCGAACAAATCCAGCTGAACTATTCCCGATTATCTTGAAAAAGCAAACCAATCTACGGGACAATTTGCGGCCATGATCAAGGCAATACATTGACTGTCCGTTGCACATCTTCAATCATCATTGAGTTACGCTGCGAGACAGCGTGACAGTCTCGCTCCCGTATTCCTTCGCACATGGACGTCTGATAACTTATTTCTAGTCCTGAAGCTTGCGATTTTGAAACATTGAACGTCCCAATCGCGATGGAGCACAATCAAGTTGTCAAAGTATGTGATCTTACGCAGCGTCCCGCGCGCCGCACCCTTTTGAACTTCCCTTACTTTCTGGTCTCAAAAGAACCTTCAAGTACCCAGGAACTCAAGCCGTGATGGGCAAGCACCTTCGCCCGACATTTAGTCAGCGGAATTTGTCCTTCGCCCACGCCAGCTCTGTGGTATTTCCTGGCCAGAGCGGAACGATAGGCTCCAACCACCCACGGAGAATCATCTTGCTGAAGTACAACTTGGAGAGTCAGAGCGGACAGTACAGATCCATCCTGCTTCTCGCGAAACAGCACATGCATTCCTTGCACGCGGCATCCCACCAACTCGCTGTTCTAATATTATTGGCACTATCCACTGCGTGAGAATTAGTCGTCAGCAGTCAAGACTAGACATGCCTGTGGTTTCATTTGCAGACTGACACATCTGAGCTGTTCATTGTCAATAAACCGGATATCCGGTTCGAATGCTGATATTACCTCATTGATCGTCGGAAGGTACAAAAGCGCATGCCTAACCCGTCGAGCTCATCTACCTTGTCCCGCACTACCCGCTTTCCGCCAGGCTCAGACCTACTCACTCGTCTACAGCTTGTGCCCTAGATAAATGGCCTCTCTCAGAGCGATATGGGAGCGCCACGTGAAACCACGGGTAAAGCTATGGCGGGATAAGAGAGATCTTGGGCTGCTGGGCCTTGCCGTCGTTTATTTCATTATCTGTATATATCTAGTTGCAGTTGCAAACGCATTTGCGGACCGAAGGGTAGATAGCGGATTCTTTGATGCAAAGCACGACTGTGGTGACCCTTGTTAACTGCGTCCTATTGCAGAACACAAACACCAACAAACCTCCTGACCAGCGTTATGTGGCACCAGACCCGCTCCTGGATGCTACCAATCCATGGTACTATCGAGTACATTTACCGCAGAATCTTCCGGATACCTGTGTGCTGATTTCAGGAGTGTTGGTACTGATTGAAACACTCTCATATGGAACCTCCTCCATCCGTATTGACGATCATTTCTTGCAATTTAGATGGTTCTCTTTGCCATTACGCGAGGTGCAGCTGCCGTTACGCTCATACGTCGCGCTCTTTTCATTGTGGGGTCACTCTACTTGGGTCGTGTTCCTTACATGATGTTGACCAATCTTCCTGCTCCGTACATCTACTGCTTCACTCCGGTGGATTCAAACTTCGGGAAAGACACTTGGTTACTCTTCTCTGGAAGACGCGTAGATTGCGGGGATACATTCTATTCGGGACACACAATCGTGTTTGGGTCCTGTCTGATGATGTATTGGTACCATTGTCGCCACTACTGGATAACTATCCCTGTGGTATTATTCTGCATTTTTGGAATGTTGACTTTGGTTATGAGTTGTACGTCCTTGAAGGAATGCATTTGTATTTTGAATGCCACCCGCTAATGGTTTGTTTTAATGCAGCGTATCACTACACAATTGATGTCCTTGGGGCATTCGTTTTCACTTTCCTCTGCTGGTATGCATTTGGTATAATCTTAAAACCTATGTATCTTCTTTACTAATCTCAGCGTAAATACGCAGGTGGCTTTTTCACCTTGCTATAGAGGTGGACGAAATCGGCAATCATCGCTGGTGGGGCAAGGTAATCCGCTGGCTGGACTACGACGGACACAAGCTCATAGAGGCGAAAGAAGGGCGCAAAACACTGATGATGGCTGCCTCAGGAAGGGGTCCTATACATCCGGAGGAGACCCTTCCTACTCATGTAGAGCCGGGACAAGAGATGACCGAGCGAAGGGGCGGTGATATCGTCGAGGTGCCTCGAATGTCCTTGTCGGGTGTGTCAAGGGGTGACAGTCCGCGCCTTTCGGGTTCACTTAGAACTAGAGTGTCAAACGAACGGGTGTCAAACGCCTTGTCTGGACCGGTACAATCCGTCCGAAGACCCCCTGTGACGCAAGAAACGGTTGAGATTTTAATAGAGGAGATACATGTTTCCCCACCGTGATATGCGTCGATACCATATCTCTGTACTTCAGAGTATAATTCAATTATTTTGCCAGGACGCCTATTTGGATACGATTTATAGCTCTTTCTTCAAACTTTTATACAGTCTCTTCTCCGTTCTACACACAATATTACCTCCCATGCCAGCGGTTATTTTAGATGCACGCGGACGTTCTCTCCACTTGACCATAGAGTAGTAGACGTGGATACTGAGCTTGTGTTTGTAATGACACTTTCATGTTAAAATGACACAACCGATCAGCTTACGTTTGCCCACTGGTGGCTTGGAATGTGGCTTCCGAGATCGAAGCACGTGACAGTTTTGGTAACAGGTTAGGATCGCTGCCGTGTCCACTTGCAGCTTCACTGATACTCGAGATCACTCCAACGACGACAGTAAGTTTCCGCTGCCCGTTTTTGTCAAATGGTCTTTCGAAGTTCAAAACTTATGTTTGTTACTGTTTCAGTGGTGAAGAAGGCAAAGGCGAGGTAAGGAGTGCATTATGTTGCTGAGGTCCAAGTCGAAAGTCGTACGCAAACATTTCCTTCTCGACCAGAACCGTCGTCTTACGATTGCTCAGCTCAGCTGGCACCGGTTTCTTTTATACCACAACAAGAAGAAGAGCTCTACCGAAACTTCAATTAATGAAGTATGATCCGATAGGTAAGGCTAGAATAGTTTTCAACTCAAGGTCCCCTAACTCAATGCCAATCTTTGTTACATTCGGATAGTTAACAAGCACGTCCTATTTGTGGAAGGTGAGTGAACGGGTTTCTCAACACTGATTAGCTTGATTGATTACTCAGTTGTTTTATGGTATAGGCAAGAAGTAACCATCTGGATACATGTAATCGCTGTCAATGCAACGTTATTTATTGTAGTCATTCGGACTACATTTTCAATTTTTTATTCTATTTCTGTACCATCCGAATCGGATATCTGGGCTGCCGCTGCATGGTCTGATGAACTTAACATCTATGCTATGGTGCTCTGTCTAGAAAGATTCATAATGGCAAGATTCCATAATCGCTGAAACATAACCTTCTTGTAACGAACAATCAACGCTGTGCGTTACAAGCGCGGTGTCCCACCAGACACACCCTTCATTATCACCAGCGCTCCCTTTGCAGTTATGTCACATCGTTCCACGGCTTCTCGCAGATGCTCGAAACAATCCAACGCTTTCACTTTCTCCCCTCCAGATGTAAACTGCTCCAAGTCCCTCAAAAATTCTCGAACATCGTTCTTCCCCTCCTGGTTCAGCGAATTGAATGTATTTACTAATCGCTTCGCCATCCACACTGTATGAGTGAAGCTCTGCCGGCGACCCACAACCCAACCAAGCTCTTCATCCCACAATTTGAACTCAACCGTCCCCACCGAGCGGGGCACTTCCTTCGCATCTGGATGACGTGCAATCCATTCATGCAAGGCGTTCGCCGCAGTTATCACATAAGGTATAGTGTCACGGAAAATGGGCAGTAGCAAGGGAAATAGAGATGTTGGGATAGCGTCGTTTGGAAGCACAATGTGCTTCGCGGGGGCATTCTTGAATTGTATAGGCTCGTGCCTCTCCGAATGCTCAATTACATCAAGAGGGCGGGCAGGATGGCCACGCGATGGTAGAAAGCCCGCAGCCCTTTCAATGTAGTCAGCGACGGACGGGGCTGTTGTTTTTATGATCGTTCCTGGTATCGGATCTCTGCAGAAATCGGAGTTAGGGGTACGCAAACTCATTTGAGTAAGGGCAAACTAACCGGAGCAGATGCGCATATAAGGGTCCGGCCAGTGCACAATCAGCCAATGTCGCCCTCCCTCCCAAGAGGTAGTCATGCTTTCCAATATGTGCCTTGAGGTTGCGAACAAGCCGTTGAAACTGTCTCTCAATCGTCGGAATTGTCGTAGGTGTTACGCCCAGAATGGGTAACAATCCCGAGAAGCGACCTGACAACTATGTAGCAAAGCGTATCGGTACCTCATCCAAGCTGCGACTACGATCAAACTGAATGATACCTTCCGCCCAACGTCACATATTTCTTCCTCAGTCCCCCGAAGCCCGGAAGTTCTCCCAAACTCCCACTCGATGAACTTTCTTTGTTCGGGGAAGCTCCAGCGATAGTGCATGGCACACATGACCGCCCACTCATCCGCCCAAAGCTCCAACATATCTGTCACGAAACGTTGCTTGGGCTGATCTACAGGAGGACGCATCCACATTCCGCCGCAATTTTCTTCCAAAAGATCTGTGATGCATTTTGTATCGCCCCACACATGTCTACCGTCGGGCGATACCAGCACGGGTATCATCGCTATGCCAGTACGAGGGAGTATGACTTGAGCGTATACCTTGGCTGTGGGGAGCACCTCTTGAAAGGGCAGCCCTTTGTGGATAAGGTAGGAGCGAAGTTTTGCTGTGAAGAGGGATACATGACTTCCAACGAGGGTGTAGTGTGCGCCGGGCGTCGAAGGAACAGGTGAAATATGTGGTGGGAGAGGTGCTGCTTGCATCTTGTGTATTCGCAGGTAAGCGCTAGAATGGAGATGTGACCCGAAACTTGGTTTTGCGTGAGGTCATGACATTACCAGAACGCGTTTCTTGGGCTCAACCTTCCCGACTACAAAAACAATGGGATCTCCCGGACAAATGAATAACGAATCATCTATAACATCAGCATTATCCCCTATATGGGACACAAGCCAGCAACCGAGACCAGTGCAGTTACTTGGCCGCAGTGAGGATACCGACATTATCTTAACTGAGCAAATGGCAGAACAGGTGGAACAGTATTTTTTCTGGTGGGCGACGACGACGACAAAGACCTAGTTTGTTAAACTTGCTCAATAGATTCGTCCGCATCTTCCACCATTCCTTCGTGAATCCACGAAATGGGAGCTTCTATATGCCACAGACCAACACGGGATTAGTCTCGCGACGCTCTTTCGATTGGTAACTGGGCCGGCACTATTGGTGTTGGAAGACACACACGGGAGAATAATGGGCGCATTCGCAAGCGAAACACTAGGAATGAGGAAGGGTTATTATGGGAATGGCTCTTCGTAAGTTCTTGCGTGTGAGCCCCCGCGGATACGATAATCAATTCATATGTCTCGCATACCAAGATTTCTCTGGAGGTTGAATGAGCGCGACAACGTTACCGTATATCTGTCTACCGGCAAGAACGATTACTACATTCTTAGCGAAACAGGTGCTAGTGTTGCTTTTGGTGGAGGGTGAGTAGCTCTTTTGGTAGCTTGTTGGCTCTTTTAATGCAGCTGATCTTGCTTCTGCAGGACTGGGGCTTTTGGACTGTGGCTTGACGATCAACTCCAACGGGGACATACCTCGACATGTACCACGTACGACAATGAGCCCCTTACGGGTACAGCTTATGGTTCAGATTTCGAGTGTGTGGGGGTGCAAGTTTGGGGTTTCCAATGGTGACCTTTGTGTGCTGGACTTTTTACGTTCCAGTGGCCAACATAGACTGAATATAGATATCTTTAAATGCTGATACGTCAATAATATACCCATGTGCAGAAGATAGCGATCGTCCACTTGTTGATGGTCTGTCAGCCTGTGGTTTCAAGATTGGTGTTCGTGGGGAGTCCCTAGTCACCGCTCATAGCAACGCGGTTTGACAAATGGACATTGCACTGTGCAAGATCGTTGAACGATGCTCTCTCGTGTCTTCAACCTTCCAAAGCACGCTCTCTTCACACGCACAATGTCCAGCCTCACTCACGTCAGCACTGAGAACGCTCCAAAGGCTATCGGGCCCTATTCTCAGGCGATCGTCGCCAATGGGTTTGTTTTCACAGCTGGGCAGATTCCTTTCGGTAAGGTTTGAGTAAGCCAGCTTCCATACTGCCCCCGCTTTCTTGGGCATGGATAGGACGTCCATTCCATTCGTTCCATCGTAGTGCATAACGCGTTCATCTTGTACTCATCTAATATAGATCCCAAGTCGATGGAATGCGTTGCTGGTGGCATCCAGGAGCAAACTCGTCAGGCGTTGACCAATTTGAAAGCGGTTTTGGAGGCAGCCGATTCTTCGTTAGATAAGGTAGTGAAAACTACTGTTTTCCTCAAGGTAAGATTAAGAAGTCTTCTCTCGTAGAATAGGGTTTGGAGGAGTGGTCACTCGTTTCGTCCGTGAGGCCTTGCTTGACCCCTTTTTCAATTGATTCGACAAGGACATGAATGATTTTGCAAAGATGAATGAGGTTTATGCTGAGATCTTTGGCTCCGCGCGACCCGCCCGTTCTGCTGTCCAAGCTGCTCGCTTACCAAGAGATGTGTTGGTCGAAATAGAAGCTGTGGGGCTCGTTGGTAAATAGATGAGTTAGATCATTTGATTCAAAACGTGTATTCGAGCCACTTCAATCGGTCTGTATAGTTAGCCACGGTCATAGCCGTCTTTGAGTTAAGAAAGGTTGATATTCAACTTGGAATTCGGATGACTACTCCCACTACATGCTTTGTACGTAAAATGATGAGTGCAGAAAATGTGGAATTTCGACACTCATCCCCCAAAAAAAAGTCCACGAGAGACTGCCTGTCGCTCCCTCTATGGTGCCTATCTGATATATGAAAAAGTGCTGACTTGCAAACTAGGCTCACACGCCACGCCTACCTACAACCGTCCGGTCTCCGCATTTACACGACCATCTTCTCCTCCAAATCAATCGCATCTACCTCCCGCACCAACTCAGCTGCTCGATATGCCATATCATCGTAGAAGGCTTTATCTGCTCGAGCAAGCTCGATACTTCGCATCTGATTTTCTCTCTTCCGTTGATTTTCTGTTAGAATCCTTTGGAACTGGTTTTGGAACTCCCAGATGGCAAGACGGAGGACACGTCGGGTGCCTTTTGCGACGCGATCGACATTGCTTTCCACAAAACCGACTTCGGTAAAATGCTCCCGCATCTTCCTGACGACTTTGCGTTCGACGCTGTTTTTCATGTCAGAAAGAACATAGAGGAAGATCCCTATGCCTAGATGCATTCAATAGTGCACGATCAGCGCATTGAGCATTATGATCAAACAAAGAATCGAACCACATACCTGCAATAGTCAGTCCAGCAAATGCTAATCTCCCTGTGCTCGCTCCACTCATTCCAGCCCTCCACATTTGTGTCGCCATACGCTTATATCCAACAAGCCCTCCAATAATCAGACCCAAACTTGGTACATACTCCTTGGCCAACTCTGCTTTATCTATGTGGTCAAAGAATTCTGCGACGTCCATCGGAACAATCTTCGCAACTGACCCGTTTCCAGCCAGTGCCTTAGAACCTGGTGCGCTACCAACGTCCCCTTCGAAGGCACCGGTGACGACATCAACGTCGATAGACGGTGGGACACTCATACATGTCGCAGCCACACTTTCAATGTCCTTCAAACAGGAAATTGCCTTATCCCGTGCGAACTCTTCGCAACGCCGTACACGCAATGCAGCGATGCTGTAGACTCTATTCCGAAGATCACGTGCATACTGCCACACATAAAGCGGCCCATTCCATTCCACATGCTCGGTAAACGCATCCAAGTGATCTGTAAACTGAGCTAGCTGTTGCTGTGCGTGCTGTTGAACAAGAAGTCCGGTCTCGTCGATGGTTTTATCAATATCGTCCAAAACTTGTTCTTTTATTTGTACCATTCGATCATACGCAGGGGCGCTGTCCTTCATATCTTTCATGATTTGCGTAGCAGTATTGGCTGAAGCCAAGCTGTTGTACTGTGATATATCCATGACATCCGACAATAGGTTGTGGAGATATATCTTCGCAGGCGCAAGTTTGGAACGTGCGCGCTTTTCGAGGATGAAGGAACGAAGGGCCTCTTCCATTTTATGGAAATCTGGGACCATTGTTCCAGCAGCGTCTGCTCCTTCCGGATGATGGAGGCATTCCTTGGCGCTCACAAAGTGGACAAGATTATCTGCATCGTCGTAAGTCGCTGGGGAAATCTGCCGAATCTGTTCAAGGATATCTCTCCGGCATCGATCCTTCCTTCGGATTTGATCGAAACGGTTAACGACAATGAATATATATGCCTTCTCCTTCCCAGCTGTGGTCAAGAAATCACGTCCCTGAAAGCTCAACATCATTCGGGTGTACTAGCAGGTCAATGATATGATGACTTACAGAAAGCGTAAAGTGATTCTCAGCATTAACAACAAAGACAATCACGTCAATCTCCTCTTGTTGCGAGAATAACGCCGTTGTTTTGATGGAGTCAATGTTCAAACCAGGCGAATCGATTAGACTGATATCCACAACCCCATTATGCAGCAAGCTGTGTGTCTTTGCGCGGCGGTCTCGACAATATATCCTCAGCAACTCGTAGTCCTCCTCATTGTCTTCGACAACATGTCTGAGATTCCGGAAATCAAAGCGCTCGAACGTTGTTGGATCCGATCGATCATATTTGATGGGGTCACGAATTCCATGCACTTCTTCAACGCCGTCGTTCTGGTCCGCATCCACCACTTCAGCAAACAAGGCAGTGCAAGGCTGCTGATCATCCGGAACAATCTCTCGTCGAAGAACGGCATTGACAAATGTACTCTTCCCAGCGTTCAGGTCACCGGTGACAAGGACTCTCGATCGTGTGTCCGAGATTCGCGCATTCAACCGGTCCAAGTGTTGTCTGCACTCAATTATTTTACTCTCCAAGAGCTGCGAAATAAGACTATGATCATCTGAATCAATTTGAGAGGCAGGACCTTTAAAGCTGTACGACTTCAGGTCCAGCTGGAGAACACGGAGTCCTTGTGTGACCGAGTCTGTCGGGGGCTCTGCTGCGACGGGAATGGGGGAAGCAGGAGGCTGCGAATCGTCCTCTGTTGATGATGTGCGGCGGGTAGGGGGTTTGGAACCAAACGCCTTGCGAAGAGCACCAGATGGATATCGGAGTGTATGCGATACAGTTCCTGTCGGACCGACGAGATCTCTCAAGACACCTTTTGTTCCCGCGATTAGTGTCAATAGACGAGTTCGTTTCTCCGCAAAGATAGCCTGGGAATGCTCTCCTCCATATCCCGAGTCAACACCAAATCCATTGGTTGTCGAGAAGCTTTTTGCCGAGTCTGTCTTCAGGAATTGCGGCTCGTGAGTTGCCTGCTTGGTTGTGGTAGCCTCAGGAGTATCACTGGGTGCCGGCTCGGGAGTAACATAGACTTGACTCATGGTCACCAGCGCAATTCGAGCTTCAACTTGACCGATGGCTCCTGTTTTCAACAAAGGCACTAATGTCGATATTTCCTTATTCGCCAATCTCCTTCGCAAAAGCGGCGAAATAAAAGTTGGTTTGTGAACCAGAGGATTCCTATCGAAATGCTAGTAAATTGCTTGTCGCTACCTGCCCAAAAACAAAATTCACACGCCGCCTTAACTTCTTTTCGCTTTCGTAGGTAATGGCAAAGTTTTGATGAATGTTGGCACAGTCATGATATGTTCTGTCACGTGTGTGATTACGCATGACTTTAAACGATGTAGGGGTTTGAAAGCACTCTTGACTTCCGCGCATCACATTAGGCGGTCGTTTTCTGGTTGCAAACATTAGCATCACTTAAGTGCCAGTTCAACAAGGGAGGGTAAACATTCATCTTAAGTCCTTACGCGGGAGTTCAGAATTGTCGATACTCGTCGACGCAGATACCCACTGAGATTGTGTTGTTTTGGCATCCCATTTTTATTTGCATAAACAGTCCATCCTTTGGACAATTAGAGCTCCCTGTATTCATGCTGCAACATGTCGTGCGTTTTCATATTTGATCAGGCTTTTAGAAGAGAGGTGACCGAACACCGCCAAAGTGAACTCTGTATGTCAAAAGCCAGGGTTGCACCGGCACAGAAGTAGGGAAAATATGGGTATATGCATGGCCTCTGCGCTCCAATTTTCACAGTTATCTACGTGTCTTGTACTTTTGGGCAACTGTCACAGAGTCTTCTGTTCATGTGGACACTCTTCAATTTAATCGTTAATTTCCTAGTTGAAAGTGTGTTTGATGGTACCAAGGGAGCTGGTTGTAGTGCAGAGCAGGATGAAGTCTTGGCTTCCACTCCTTTGAATTTATTGTGGACGGAATCTGGAGTCACAATCACAGAGGTCATATCTCATCTGCCATCCTCTGACGCAGCAACTTAAGAACTCGACCGGAACAAAACCGTGCGAGAGCTCAATCCATTGTCTTTCTGCATTACTGGCATCCTAGTATTACAGGACTGCTAAACTCTTTAAGTCGTTCAGGCTTTGTTCAAGCTGTGCCGTTGCGCTTGCAGTCGAAGGCACCCTGAGGCAGACGGCAACCGCATCCTCAAAGCCGTGGCCGAAGGGGATGTCATCATCTAAAGTTGTTGACGCCTGTGTCTACAATTCATAATTCACTTACGGCACACATCCAGATCCTTTATGAATAGTAATTGTGAACTATATACACAGGGTGGTTATGTTTGTGAACAAGTAAAACTTGCTTCTATAATTTACTTTGTACGTGCAGGAATCGGGCAATGAGTAGTTTCGCAGGCAGGAGCCCATTGAGGAGATTGTCAGTCTTTCAGATACATGGTCATGTTTCTCTTACTCTCCCAACATGCCATGGGTAAAGGTGTCCACGGAGCAAACGTTACTGAAACTTGTAGTAGACATGCGTCATACGTTGATAAACAGGTCCATCTGGATGGTGTACGCACGGGAACTTATCCCCACAACCATGGTTCTGCCGCTGGTTTTATGTTGCGTACAGGGCTATCCAGTGCGTTTTCTCCAGGCATCCCATCTTATGCTTCGCTTATTCATCCCGATCCCGTTCTTTGAACGCCTAATTGTCCGCATCACTTTCCCAATATGTGCAATGGGAACCATTGTTGGCCGGCCGTGAGCTAAACGGTTTTAGTGGACAGAGTTAAAAGGATAAATATTTGCTTTGCAAAAAGACGTACCACACTGGAAAGGGAACTGAATAGTAATTGGCACAGTAATCAGCCAGAATAGTCTACTTTACAGGAATGCCACTAACACACATACCTTGCATTTGATGAGTTTGTTGATCAGCTTCGTGCAGTCCGCTTTTGTCAATGGATCCCCAAACATGATGGCCGATCTGAGGATAAAGAGTTGAAGACGTCAGACAGAAAGCAATTGCCATGAGTACATACGAGTCCTACCTGCAAGCCTTGGAATTTAATATTTCCAAGATACCTCTCGGGCACTTGCTTCCCAATCCTCCACGTTCCGCTCCTTCTTCAAGCCAATACAAATGCTGTCTTATCAAGTCCCTGACCACACCAGGATCAACGACACACCGATCCGCAATCAACCGTGGTAGGCGATCAACTTCAATACGAACAGTTGCATCAGGTTTCGCCAGCGCCTGTTCACGTTTGTTGGCGCCACCCTCGAGATCAGGACATGAGAAGAAGATGCCCCATCGTTTGTATCGAGAGTGATGGCGAAGGGCAGCTTGTGCTTCTCGCGCTTGCATAGTAGTCCGACAAGGTGGATCCAGCTTCATGACATCAACGATACATTCTCCTTCATCACCATTATCATTCCCAACATTATCGTCCGATCCCCCCGCTTGATGTAACTCTGCAAGCAAAGCCTCCAAACGCACCCGCTCATCCGCGGCGTGCTGGTCAATAATCACCAAAAGATCGGTATCTGATGAGGCCTGGGCCAGCTTCCCGGCGATAAATTTGTTGTCCACCTGCGCTATGACCCGGAGTTGGTCTAAACTACCCTTGCTGATGTTTTCCACAATTTCTTCTGTGGGCAGTCCGTTAAACGTTTGGTTTGCCTTCTGAGCAAACGAGCGTGCGTGGCTCTCACTAGGGAGAGTGAACGAGGGTAGTTGCCTTTCCGTGCGTTTGAAAACAGGATTATTCCATTTCTGAAATGTGGCAATTGATTAGAGAATGCGAAAATAAAGCCAACCCTCGAGGTAACTTACTCGAAGTGAATCATCCATCCGTAAATTGTTTAATGTACTGTTTGCCGTACTGTTGAGACGCCGCACTCGCAAACTTCGTTTGTCAACGCGATTGTTCTCGCTCTGCATAGAGGGGCCTTTTGCGTTCTGGCCAGGTAAAGAACGGTATCTACGAATTGATTGATAGATTATCTCCAATGACAAGGGTTCCGCTCTGTTGGCAACATAAAAACATACGAGTTGCCAGTTCTTCTATCGATCCAGTATTTTCCTTGCGTGGTTGGGTTGCTCCAGACGCTGAACTCCCCTCCCACTGAATTGTCTTCAAATTGTTCCCCTTCGAACACCGGACGTGGAGTATTTAGCGACACGGAGGTGCTTTGTAGCTCTTCTAATGAAAATGCGTTGGCGCTTTTGATAGGTAAAGCATGCTCAAACGCGAGTGTTCTGTTGATCCTTTCCACGTTTGGCGAGCACATTTCACTTGATGACTCGTCCGACTCCATATCAGATGTCTGACCCATCACTGACGTCCCTTCAGCAGCATCGTTAAGAAAATTATGTTCTATCAAGAATTCGGTCACGGCATCCTCGACCAAAGTTAGAACTGTGTCCCATTCCTGAAAACAATGGTCACTCACTAGCCGCGCAATGTTAGATAGAAGAAACACTATCTGCTTGCCTGAAACTCCACAATGCTCTTCCCGGGATCTAAAAGGAGGTCGCAGGTGTTTGGTGGACATTTCAGCTTCAAGAAGAAAATTGGGTACTTTTCCACTGTTTTCGTGCTGTACTCTGCCAGCAAACAAGGTGGATGGTGTGATTCTTAATATTGCCACCCTCTGCATTCCTGGAAGGGTTGCGACATACTCTTTTTTGTGGGCGAGGTTTTGTCTAGGGCCAAGCAGACCGATTCATCCTCTTCCTAGCAGTTCAGCCTCCGTAAGATGCCGATGATGTAAAGTCGTAACCTGTTGTCTCACCTGCATACCAAAGCTGCTTTTTGCTATAGTGCTGTTGATGAGCTTATGTAAAGGGTTTGGCGCCATGAAATGCTCGTTGATATCTAACGGCAAGCATGTAAGAAAATATCATGGTGCTGTAATTGGAAGACAGAATCCTACAAAGGTACTGATGATACTGAAATAGGGATGGGAGGTCAGACAGAGTGACACGACCGGCATTTGGCTATCAGTTGTACCTTGGAGGGGAAACCTTTCAAAGAAATGAAACCATCTAGAACGTATCCATGTCTGCTTTTGTTAATGGATATTAAATCCTACCACAGAAAACAACCATCCTTAATGGTTCCGCAAATACTTTGTATGCAAGAGAATATACCATATACCTGTGAGACGGATATCCCAAAAAGCTGTCTGAAAATGGATATAGCGCAGTTTGCCTGCTTGTAAGGCTGTTTAATCATTGGGCGCTAATCACATCCTATATTGAACTACGCTGCCTCCAACCTTGTGGGTAGCGAGCAGTTTCACATCCTTGCTTTGATCAATTAATGTGAGAGTCAGGTAAGGACGTGCCAGGGCAATCCGTTCCAAAGCCCGCTTGATTCCTTCGATAGAATTTTCCTCCAGCAGCCTTTTTCGGCGAACAGGGTACTACGGTCCATTGATGTCAAGCTCGTAATGCTCATTAGACGAAAGAGTACGGGCTACCTTGTAGAACATGTCTCTGACGATAACCGTAGTTCCCCGCCTTCGTCCAACCGAAGCAGGCCCAAAATATATCTGACTTCCTCCCTAGGTGTTCATTCGTCAAAATGCCTCGTCCTCTTCACACATTTGTTGGCGTAAAATAGGTACCTTCAAGGTTAAAGAATAGGTTTGTAGGTAATTGCTCCTGCTAACGATTTCCAGTCGGGATATCTCTGCTATACTTGCCAACGCTGCATTTTGCATTTCATGTTACTAGATAAGGGACTAGACACCCTCTGAATTCTGCGTCGATGCACCAACCTTCTCCTCGAAAGCCGTAAGTGCGATCTCCATCCTCATTTCCAGCCTTCGATGTGACTTTGAATACAGTGAGCAAAAAAATGTGGGCGTCTGCAGTGTGCCTAGCCTAGCAGGGCCCATACCATAGCGCTGCCCAATCAACTTAAACCCTTCAGGATTGATCCCCAGGCCATTATCTGTTACTTGAAGGGACGCTGCCGTTGGGTCAACGAGGACTTCCACCACAGTTGCCGCACCGTCAAGGGCATTGTGAACCAGTTCGACTACGCATTGTGCCATAGACCCAATGACCACACCTGATCGTAGTCGCCTGACAGCATCTTCTGGTAGCCTTTGGATGGACATATTTGCTCAGACCTCTGAGAACTAATGTTATGAAAGAGGGCCACTATAGGCCATCAACAGAGGTAGTGACATAAGGCAGAGTAACCAGCGTGGGATGACCCGCCCCGGAATCAAAGGCTTTGGGAAGACGATTGTGGGAAGAGTGCACTCAATGGTTGCTATAGCAATGAATATGGCACAGTTGTCCTGTCGTCTCTTGCAAGCGACTTTACAAACCTTTTCCACTTTGCCAAGTCCTCTACTATGGGGCTCTTTATGCGGGCGGTTGCCAAGGACAGGGCAAGAAGGTATAGTACGATGCATTCGATCAAGGAGTCCTAGAAACTCTCCCTATAGGCTGTATCCTCACGGATTTGCGATAGTTGGACGGTAATAATAGCGACAACCCCTGTCATGATCTACCTTACCTATGCAATGTATAAGAGGGGTAAGAATACCAAGTGTGGAAGTGCAGCGGATCTGATATCTGAACGTTTTGTTGCACCTTTGCAGTTGTATTGGGCCAAGGGCCAGCCCCTCGACCTATGATAGATCATGAGCGCAGGGAGGACTTAGGGGAGGGCGTGGAACGACGATAAGCATAGTGTATTAATGATTGGGATATATGATTTTTGGGACAGCCCACTAAATGTGACGACCTGGAAACAAACCGCAGCATCCCCCATTATTTGCAATTCTTGCAACTTGTTTCCGTATCTTGTTTACGTTCTGTGTGGCTTAGCCCGAACCGGTTGTCTGCATGCATGGACCCATCTCCAGACATTGATGTGCAAAGCAAACACACAATGCCAACGTCAGTCGAAAGTCAAATACCGTCTGCTACTCGCCAGACAGAAGAACCGCCTGTGGAAAGGCCTGGGACATCGATATCAGTCCCGCCAGAGTCCACTACTCCGACCGTTCTCCGCATTAAGCGGAAACGAAATGCAGATCCAATCGATGCGCTAAGTCAGTTTGAGACTGGCACTTCCACTTGGATGGCACTAATACGGGTCCTTTAGTCATTGCAAACGAGGAGGCTGAGCGGCAGGGCAAGAAGGCGAGGATGGGGACTGGGGGTAGGACGAATCCATTCGTCGTAAAACAACACAAACTGACGGCTGCTCTTTGCCCATAGATATCTCCAGAATCTTCACACTTGCAGATACTGTTGAGAACCAAGACATTGAAGACGCGGGCCGATTGCGAGTGAGTTTAATTGCCTCTGTCGACTTGGATGTTTTAGGGTGTGGTAGGCCCGACTTACGCCAATAGCTAGGTCACATTGGATCGTTTGCGAGCGTCACGTAGCGGTAAACAGTCATTGAAAACAATGACTCAATGGGACAGGAGTCCTGAGGGACGTAGGAAAGATCTGGTTGAGAACCAAAGTGTAGGTCCACCCGCTTTATGTGATTGGCAAGTCGCTCATAATCTGCCTGCTTCCAGGTAGAAAACAAAGCCGCTCGGTTTAAGGTTCTCAGAAATCGGCGTCAGTTTTCGGATGATGCGCTCCCATATAATGTATGCCCTCCCTAAACTCTTGTACATGTAGCGGTACGCTAACCGACGGGCATAGTTGCTGGATGTTGCAGAGGAAGGAGAACACGACTCTACCGGGTCATATATGTCACAAAAGAAACCCCCATTGTCTGACGATGATATTATATCTGACTTAATGCCGATGGTGCGAGAATATCTTCGAGGTAAGACGTCCAGTGCGGATGCCCAATTCCACTCTCCTTATCCTTCTTCAGTAACAGAGGGTGACGAGAAAGTAAAAGAGGATGAGTATGTTTGGGACCTCTACTACCTCGACAATTCCGCTAAGCCCGCGCCGAATGCCAAGGTTGCTGAGTTGTAAGTAACCCGACCTGACACGTACTATATCGTAGATCAAAATTGATTGGACCACGGATAGAACTTGGGAGCAGGACGATGATGTTTTCGTAGCGGACGATGATGATTCGTCTGATTATCTTGACGATGACGAGGACTCTAATGCCGAGGATTATTGGGCGAATGATTATCCTGATGCCGGCAGCGATGATAGCCTAGACGATCCTTACGGTGAGTCGCATTGAATTGATGTTTGGTCCTGAAATTAAAACCAAAATTTTACCTGACACTACTCTATAAGATCCCTATGTATGAAACATCGAGCTTATTTTCATTCGGGAATTTTAGCAAAGTATGCGTTTCCCTCGGCAGAAGCGCTGGTGCACCAAAGGGTTCAAAAATGATCTCCTGGTTCGACATATCAAGCAAATGGGGAACAGTTTCATGTAGCATGCTTCACTAGGACTGTGGATGTTGCTGGTGTTTCTATGGCATTCAGCTCATGTACCGAAAAGATGCACATAGTTTCGTACCCTAGTCTGTAGATCGACTGGATGCAGATTGGTGAAACTGAGATGTCTCTGAGTTATGGTAGTGCAATTGTTGACTTGTTCAATCACTACAGTATAAACAAGCCGTGAGATATAACGGTCAAAGTTAGGGCATCTTATTTGTTTAACCTCAAAGGGACTGGCAGTCGGCACTCGTTTTTCCACCGCTGAACTTGACGCGATCGGTGTCTGCTTAGGTCATCATCCATCACGTCCATTTACAACGTGCTGCTGTTTCGTGTCAGTTTGGTAACTAAAAGCTATCCATCATGACCACCATAGACGACGGTAAGTACTAGCTTAGAAACTTGTTAGCCAGCTGCAATCTTATCTTGCAAGCCGTGTCCCCCAGATGTCCCTCCTCTCGAGGACATGACCCAAGAGATCGAGCGGCTACATGCCATTCGTGGCATAAAGGGTAAGCACGCATTTCGGATGGAGAACGAACGGTTACCGTGTCTGAGCGTTCTTTCCAGATGTCAAAGCTGGTCAATTCAACAGTACTGGTACAACTTCAGTTCGTGGAAAAGACCCGGTGATGATGAACCACCAAACACAGGTAACATCCAATTTCGCCATTTGGCAGCTCTGTGGATGAGGCTAAGTTCGTATAGATAGAGTGCATACAGCGGACTAAAGAAGGGATTTTTGAATGGGGGAAATGCAGCCAGAAAAGCGCCGGCGAAAACAACGAAATCAGCAAAACCCGCCGCGGATATTCCCCTCATCAAACCGAAACAGTCACCGACCGATAATCTCCGCATTGACGAAGTGCAAGCAGCCATGAGATCGCAGATGTCGTTATTGGACAGACAAGGTAATCTCATATTGCCACAGTGACTACCGTGAAGTGTTCTCATCAGTAGGGTATCTTCTTTTCAGAGTGGCTAACACCGGAATTTCTCGAGAAAATCGAACGAAATCCAGTTCTCACTCGTGCACTCACTGACCCTGTATTCCAGAAAGCTGCTACTGAATTATCACGCGACCCGCAGGCTGCATTCAAGAAGTATGCAGCAACACGGCCGGATCTTATGGTTGCTCTCCGGGAATTTGCCGGCCTTCTTGGGGATGCCTTGGGGGGTTTGGCTGACGAGCAGGAAGGACAGAAAGTGAAGGAGAGGGGAAAGGAAGGCGCCTCGGGCTTCCAGATTCCAGATGAATTGCCTGACCATGAGAAGGAGCTTGTGAAGCGGGTTATGGCGGACCCGGAGGTGCAAGAAGCTTTACGAGATCCGAGCATACAAAAGATTTTGATGGAAGCGCAAAAACATCCGCCAAGTCTTGCCAAGTAAGCTTCCTTATTTCGCAAGTGAACGTCGTGAATGCATAGTCATGGTGCTTTCCCCTACAGCGCGTTGAACACAGCAAATAAAGACATTCAGCGCAAAATAAGCTGTCTATTAAAATGCGGACTGTTACAGATTCAGCACTGATAGATGGATGTCCCATCTTCATTTCATAGTTATTGATCTATGTCCCGCACGCAATGTACTTATAGCTTTGTAACTTTGATTTCTGGATGATGCTCACATTGGTAATAACACACCAGGTAATCCAACGATAGCAAAAATGTAGGGACCTCCAAACCAGATCGTTCCCTCATGGTACAGTCCATCCAACAATTCGATACAGAGGATCTGGAAGGCTGATCATGGATTCTGTTGAACTTAGCTGGAATTCTGGCTTATTTCCGTACGAGAAGCGGTTGAGAAAACGCAGACGGCAGTAATTCATAAATATTGCTATATACAAAATCCATCGTACGTCCCCACTGCTTGATAGGATATGCACTGCTGCTCTCCTCGAAACACCAACACGTAATCGTTCTCACCTCCAAGAAAGTAACCATGATCTTCTTCCCGCCATGATACTGGTGCATCCCGAAATCCCCACACCAGTATTGCAGCCCACGGCAAACCCTCCTTTTTCATGCAGTCTTTCACACTATCCTTTATTCGCACGATTTGATGAGTAGTGAGGTATCCTGTCCATCGTACGGATACAGTAGTACCCGGTTTGGATGGCTCGGGAGCCGAATAGACGGAGAAAAATGGGTCCACATTGTCACCAGCCTTTATTCTAGCTGCTCCACATGCAAGGAGCCCAAGCCATTCAAATAGGTTCAGAGCGTGATCTCGCCATATTTCGCCTTTCCGGTCATTCTGGTCATTGAGAAGATCCTCAAATGCAATGTCCCCAATTTGTGGTACCATAATGTTTTCGTGAGTTTGGCAGACTCCGTCGATGCATACTCGAGTTGCTTTCACATTCGGTGGGAAACTGATCTCAGATGACAACCGAGTCTCTGAGTTTCGATCAGGCGCGGACGTTAAAAAATGCACCCTTAACAAATAATGCTGTCTACCTACCAGTATCGGTAAAGGACATTAAAAAATCGTAAGTATCTGTGAGGGTATGTGTGAAGCACCACTTGACCCGCTCGTAAAGCTTTCCCTTTGGCTTGAACGCTGGCTGGGCAAGATCAATGTGTATGACTAGGGAAAGGGGCGTCAATCTTTCAATCACTACGTCCTAAAGATGCTTGAAGCCCTCGCTTACAATATCGATTGCCTTTATCACCGAATTTGCTCGGCCGTCCAACCAGCCCAAGTGTTTCATAAGTGTCCTTTTTTACACTCATCACCAATCTCCCAGAAGGTAACAACGCAAAAGTGTCATCTATATCAGCTTTCGCATTGCTTCTGAGGGCCGTGAAACCTCCTACGGGGTCAAAGTTAGACATTGTAAAGCTAGACTTGGTCGAGATTCAGTGACCATGCAGATGCGTACCTTTTCGAATGTAGTTATTAACAAAGTCGGGTTGAATGAAGAACGACAAGGGAACACTGGCTTTGTAGTAGAAGTATGATGCGTCGTCTTTTCGCAATTGCTCAGTAATGGTGGACGATTGTGAAGGGAATATGACTTGGACCTGTCTCCATGTTGGAAAATGCATTTCTGGGCTGACCAAAGTATAGCGAGTTCACTCACCGCATGATTGTAAGTGTGAGTTTCGCATATACCTGGTACCGGGTTGTTGTTCGTGGATAAAGCAATGTGCAGCCTTGTGGCCGGTTGGTCAAAGGTTGGGTAAACGGACATTCGACCACTACGGCAGAGATCAGGCGAGATCACCTTGCAAATAAATTCTTGCGATCGATGCTTTCGACGCGTTCAGATCCCCGTCGCTTATTGAACTTGGCTTCACTTATCTTAACGGCATTTCATATCGTCAGAGAGCACTGGATTGTAACAACATAAAAGGGGGGAGGGGGTTGGGAGAATGGTATACGGTACATGAGCTCCATACATTTACGATGGGTGGAGAGGCGATCTTTGTATCGCTCTTCTAATCACACTGAATGCATTGCTGGGACCCTTGCTGCGTTTAGCTCGTCCAAATGTATACGAGCAGTTCCAGATTCTATGTAATTTTGAACATTCTACGGGCATCGATGGCCCTTGCAGCACAGCGTTTGCTACTCCCAGTGAGAGAAATAGTGAGTTGCAAAAGCGCAGCGAAACAGCTGCTTATCTAATGCAACCGCGCCACAGTGCTTGACTGTCACACGCGTGCATGGAAGGGTTTCTACCTTGATCTTCGATCGCGAGCATTCGGACCACAACAGGAACCGGAAACTAATTCGCCCAACGCTCTAACCGTAGTCTTAAACTATTCTTTTGTTTGCCTTGTTTACCCATGGTACGAACTCAGAACTACCGCCGAGGAAAATGACTTTGTGACTCTAAATTGTTGGTCCATGTGACAGGCAACGACATTCCGCAAACCACCAACCGCAGCACCGTCAAAACGTGTCCCCAAACCAAGCAGCGACCTTACTCCAGATCAGAAACAAGAGATTCGGGAAGCATTTGATCTATTCGACACAGATGGGAGTGGGACGATTGACACAAAGGAGCTCAAAGTTGCAATGCGAGCATTGGGATTTGAACCCAAAAAGGACGAGTTGAAGAGGATGATTGCAGAAGTAGATCGAACTGGTAGCGGTTCGATTGATTTCAACGACTTTCTGGAGTTGATGACGGCAAAGATGGTGCGTAGGAACACGGCGCGTAGGGATCTGATTCATGCACTTATCAACATCAAACCATTAGGCCGAAAAGGACACTCGAGAAGAAATCATAAAAGCCTTCCGTCTTTTTGATGACGATGAGACGGGCAAAATTTCTTTTAAGAATCTGAAGCGAGTCGCAAAGGAACTGGGCGAAAATCTAACAGACGAGGAGCTTCAAGAAATGATCGATGAAGCAGACCGAGATGGTGATGGCGAAATTAATCAAGAAGAGTTTTTGAGAATTATGAAGAAAACGGTAAGTAATAACGCAAGTAACCCCTTCATACATAAGCACGTTCGTCTAACGGTCGTCATTTTGCAGAATCTATACTAGCTTGTTTGTAAATAAATTTGACCCCGTGAATAACCTAAGAAGTAGCCCGTACATATGCGCCTGGATCTACGCCCAAGCTGCCGCAAACCCATTATTTGGGAAAGGAGAGCTTTTAGTTCGTTCCGCCCGACCAATTACATTCTGCATTTTCCTTCCAAACACTTCCATCTGCGTATTCCTCTCTTTTCCAGATTGGTACTTTTCGTTTGAGTTCGTCAATGATCCACGACGCGGCATCCAGTGCATCTTTTCTGTGTGGTGAAGATGCTGTTATGAGGACCGACTCCTGACCTATTGGCACTAGTCCAAGGCGGTGAGCGACAGCAGTACGGATGAGGGAGGGATATAAAACGTGCGCTTGTTCTAGGATGCGGTGGAGTTGTGACAAAGCCATCGGAATATAGGCTTCGTATGTCAAATGGAGGACTTTTTTTGTCGTACCCTTGACTGATTCCAGCGTTTGACTCTTACTGTGAGTTGCAGACCACTACAGTACCATCGTACCTGTAAACGTGTTACGGGTCGTTCCAGAGAATGTAGCGACAGCTCCTGCTTCATCGCTTCGAACAAAATCAACGAGCGGGACAAGGTTGAGTGGGTCTGCCGTAATGTATACATAGTGCTTGGAGTCCTCTATAGCGGTCTGCTTGATATCACCGAGAGACTTGCTACCGGGCGCCGACGTCATGTTGGACATACAATTCTGACTAGAACACTGCGCGCCCTGTTGAAACAAACTGCGAGCCACTGACAATTACCATTTTGCGCCCAGATGTCAAAACACTCCAAACACTCACCTTGTGCAATAGATTCCTTCACTAACCCACCTGTGGAATCCTCACTTTTAGTTGCAAGCCCAGCTCAAACAAAACAAAAAAAAAACAAAACTCCTGCAAAAAGGGTTGCAGTCGGCGGGAGGCTGGTATGTCCATTAACTGCTGTGCCACCAAGATCAGAATTTTAAAACACGCGTCGGTCTCGTCTATATAAGCAAGGTTCATCTGCCCTCCCCCCACAGGCAGAAAAGAGGCGCGTCCCACAACATTTCACATTCGATCCACTGCCATTCGGAGGCATTCCAAGCCCATAACCTCTGGTTATAAACAAACGGATCATTTGCGATGGCCACCAGGTACGGGGGATATGGGATGTTACCAGCAGGATAGGGTAGGGGCAGGCTGGAATCAACATAAGTGAATAGAGAGATACGACGTCTATTTGTGGAAATCATTATCTGGTTTCTATCCGATCTTAATATCAGTGTTTTATGTGGCATAGGCTTGAGCGCTTGATCCTCCTGCTGGATACGGGATCAACAACCACCGTACGCACAACTGCAGCACAGCAGATTGGTGAAATCCAGAGGCAGCAGCCTGATCAGTTGTATAATTTATTGGGAAGGGTAAGCCGTCCCGTTTGACATGCATCACGCAAAACCGAAAGATTGATCGCTATCAAGGTTCTTGTTCATTTACGCAGCACAGAGTGGGCCACGCGGATAGCAGCAGGACACGCCATCGAAGCGATTGCCAAAAATGTACCGCAATGGGAACCTCCAGTACCTGCGAACTCGGATGAAGACGCTGTCAAGCATGCATTGGATGCAGATAGCGATGGATTGCTGAGATTTGAATCCTTTGACATTGGAAATGTCGTCAAGAATGGGGCACCCTTACTGGCAAGCGCGGGGCGCGAGTTTGACATCGATCACTCTGATATGGATCCAAAGGAACGAATTGCACTGCAGAAGAAGGAGCTAAAGAAGAGATTGGGAATGGGGACAGAATTTATGAAAGGTATGTACTGACTGCTAGTCTACGTTTGCAGAACGCACCGTTTTTGAGCGCTCATGTTCCTGCACAGATCTACTTGATGAGTCGGATGTGGTATCTGCAAAATCACCAACCGATGCAAGCCAATCAACGCAGCAATCGGCGCAGCAATTGTTAGACCTTAGCTCAAAGTCAACTCGTGGGTATGTGTCATGATTTTGTGGCTCGTGTGGAGATTGGCAGGTTGCTCATATGATGCCTTTCGTAGAGGCATTGCCGATGATGACCCTTCGATGGCTGGACTCAGCCAGCGCCAGAAGGCTACATTAAAGCGAAAAATGAGAATGATGGGCAAAGACAGGGGCAGCAAGTAAGTCGTCGGTCACGTTTAACAGGCACTGAAATTACTGTATGTTTACAAGGTTGGTGCATTAGAGTTCGCATTGTAGAGGTATCAGCAACGAAGCAACGGAAATCACTATCTGATGCCAAGCCCATAACTGCGTCCATCAAAATCAAACAAGAAGACGAAGAATCAATTATGAATGGGAGTCCAATGGTTACCTCCCCTAGCACGGAGACTCCACCAAACGATGACAAAGTCGTTGTGGAGGCAAAAGTGAAACAAGAACCCGCGTTTCTCGGTGCCATTCATGAGTCAGGCGACGAATGGCCGTTCGAGGGATTGTGCGAGCAGCTTTGCTTAGATCTGTTTTCCCCAAGTTGGGAGACACGACATGGAGCAGCCATCGGACTGAGAGCTGTGCTCAAAGTGCACGGCTCCGGCGCAGGCAAATTAGTTGGCATCCCCCTCAAGGATAACGCTGCCCGTCATAGAGCGTGGCTGGAAGATGTGGCAATTCGGCTTCTTTGCGTGCTGGCATTGGATCGTTTTGGCGACTATGGTAGCGACCAGGCGGTTGCACCAGTTCGTGAGACTGCAGCCCAGACGCTCGGGGTTGTTATGCAATGGAGTGAACAGGAGTTATGCTTAACGATGGTGAACCAGGGCCTGTTGAAGCTCCTCGAAGCAAGCGAAGAACAACCTGTCGCGAGTGGAACAGCACATGGGGGACGTGGCAAGGGTTGGCAAGTACGGCACGGTGCCTTGGTCGGCCTCAAGTACTGGATGGCTGTCCGGAAAGATTTGTTACCGAACGTGTTTGGATCACAACAAGAAGGGAAGGAAACTGCCCTGTTCCGGGCTGTGATCAACGGGTAAAGTACCTCGCTGTTCGTGTATATCGCACGGCTTACTGATGGAATGCGTTACTAGGCTCCGGGATCATGACGACGATGTCCGGGCGGTATCATCCTCGGCATTACTACCAGTTTGTGATCTCCTAGTCAAGATCTTGCCTGTCAGGACGGTGTTCTATTCCATCGTCATGACGCTATGGAATTGCCTGGAAGAGCTAGATGATTTGACGTCAGCAACTGGATCAGTAATGGACTTGCTCTCTCAACTCATGATGAAGCCCGAGATTGTGGAAATAATGAAGGCTGAATCGGCCAGTTCTTTACAGGAGTTAATACCGCGCCTATATCCGTTTTTCCGACACGCCATCGTATCCGTTAGACAAGCAGTGCTACGCACTGTTGCAACGTTTGTTGATGTAACGTATGGAAGCAATGGTAGTTGGGTGACCATGGAACTCTTGAGGCTCGTATTTCAAAACTTTATCATCGAGGAAAGGAAGGATATTGGCGAAAGCACCTCTGAAGTGTGGAAGAAACTGATGAGGTTTATGGAAGCATACAATGCTCGGGAACCAGGACAGCTGAAAACCGTTACACTATCTGTTCTACCAGCATGGTTTGCGCTTGTCATGACCCCTGTGGGTTCTCCGCTGGATCTACGCTTCTTTTATTCCCCTGGAGCAAGTCAATCATCTAAACCACAGGGCGTTCACGGTAAAAAGCGCCGTGGAGATACGGATGGCTTCAACGTATCACCGCATGACAAGGCTATGGCAGAGCAGGATTTAACAGTCATATCGCGGGACGATGTCATCCGAGGTCGATTGGCGGGTGCTACAGCACTGGGCGGACTGGTTTGCGCGTTATTCGGCACCGACGACAGTGAGGTAGAAGAGCGCGTGCGAGAGCTGGTTACTGCCTATCTCAACAGTGGCTGGGTTGGCCATCGTGTGTTCTGTAACGTCATGTTGGACGAGTGGGCGGGTTGTTGGCAAGAGAGGAATGCAATACAGGGGTCGAAAGTCGGGACAGAGACAGCGATAGTTTTGGACAGTGTACCACTCGCCGATGTGTTGTGGGGAAATATGGTGAAATCATTGGCCGAGGCGGATTCTGGCACGACCCTACTATATAGCGAGCTTGTGCATCCTCTGTTGACTGTACGAAACGAATGCGAAGGACTACTTGCAGCCAGCGCGGAATTCTGTGGGAAGGATATCCCGGCCTTACCCGAGCTCCCTTCCAACCAGGGACAAAGACCATCTACGCCCTTTGGAAATGTATTCACTCTAACAGTCGCGGAGCATGTCGTTCAACAGGTTGTACCCAAGATGATACCACCAACATGCCCCCCACGCACCGCCACTCAGATCCAAGATCGTATCCGAAGAGCTACAGCGGTCATCGACTCTTTCCGCGAGACACAGCGCAAATTGGAGGTACAAGTCCTTGCCAGCATGGCTTCAGCAGTGGTGCGCATGGGCCGGTTGCCAGCAAAAACCAACCCAATTATCCGATCTCTCATGAACAGTGTGAAAGAAGAGGTGAACGAAGATATCCAAAGTCGTGCCGCACGCGGTGTAGCAGGTTTTATTGAACTGAATATTAAATTGGGAAAACCGGTCGCGATCAACGAGAAAGTGATCAAGAATTTGTCCGCGTTCCTCTGCGGGGATCCAAGTGTACGAACAGACAAGGAGCAAGTCATCCAGAAGAAGGACGGGATACTTACCATAACGTTCAATGAGACGCTGAACTCGTCGTCGTTGGAGGATGTAGACGCGTCTCGCAAGACCAAGACCAACGGAGCCGCAAAGAAAGGGGGAAGAGGCAAACGCAAAAGCGCTGGGCCGGGGGTAGACTCTACCGTAACTGATACTGTCAGTGAAGCTGACACGGCAGCCTTATCAGCCTCTGAGGAGGTGGAGAAAAAATCACGGGCGATCACTGCTCGAGGGGCTGAATATGCGTTCCGTGAGATTTGTGAGCGGTTCGGTGCAGAGGCGTTTGTACAAGTGCCCAAGCTCTGGTCGCTTGTAGCGACAAATCTCCTTGAACTCGCAAAACCGGATCAACCGATTGCATCAGTCCTAGAGAAGTATCTCACTATGGAAGGATACGCTCAGGAGCTGGTTCACTCCCTTCATTTGCTATCTAAACTACTACCCTACCTGCACACTACCCTCTACTCCACGGTCATCACCGTTCTTCCCGGTGTCGCCAGCTGTTTGCGCGCTTCACTTGCCATTGTTCGCCACATGGCAGCCAGATGTATGGCCGCATTTTGTCAGGTCATCACTGCGCCCGCAATGCAAGCCCTGGTCGACCACGTCCTTCCTCTCCTTGGCGACACAAATAACCTTGCGTATCGACAAGGTGCTGCGGAATGTGTCCATCACATTGTCCGTGGCATGGACCACAGCATCCTTCCTTATATCATCTTCCTCATAATTCCCGTCCTAGGTCGCATGTCCGATCCAGACGAGGAAGTGAGATTCGTCAGTACGAATGTCTTTGCGCAGCTGGTTAAGCTTGTTCCTCTTGAAAGTGGAATTCCCGATCCAGAAGGATTTAGCGATGAGCTTATACGGCATCGTAAAGAGGAACGAAAGTTCATTGGACAACTTATTGGGAGCGAGAAAGTGGAGGAGTTTGAGCTGCCAGTGCCAATCAAGGCAGAGCTGAGAAGTTACCAAAAGGAAGGTATCAGTTGGTTGGCATTCCTCAATCGGTATGGGTTGCATGGAATTCTTTGTGATGGTAAGTGAAGCTGTTCGGCTTTGGGTTCCACTTTGCATTAACCATTTCTCCACTAGATATGGGTCTTGGGAAAACCCTGCAGTCCATCTGCATGTTGGCATCCGATCATCATAATCGCGCAGAAAGATATAAGAAGACGAGTACCCCAGATAGTGCCCATGCTCCGTCTTTGGTTGTCTGTCCGCCAACGTTGACTGGTCATTGGTCCCATGAGATTCAGACCTATGCCGAATTCTTAAAACCAGTCATATATGGAGGAAATGTCCAAGAGCGTGCAGAGTGAGTAGCGGATCCGAATACGAGTGTTCTCTGTCTTGATCCCCTCTGAACTTGTGTAACATCTCATATCCACAGGATTCGCCGCAAAATCCCCAACTACGACGTAGTCATCCTCTCTTACGAGATTCTCCGCAATGATATTGACGAGCTCTCACGCTTCCACTTCAACTACTGTATCCTCGACGAGGGCCATATCATCAAAAACCCCAAAACGAAAATTACCCAAGCGGTGAAATCTATCCAGTCCCTCCACCGATTGATTCTCTCTGGCACACCGATCCAGAATAACGTTCTGGAGCTTTGGTCCTTGTTCGATTTCCTCATGCCAGGGTTCTTGGGCACCGAGCGATTGTTCAATGATCGGTTTGGGAAACCCATTCTCGCATCCCGTGATGCGAAGAGTTCAAGTAAGGAGCAGGAACAAGGTGCATTGGCAATGGAAGCCCTGCACAAGCAAGTCCTTCCTTTCCTACTACGTCGGATGAAGGAAGATGTGTTGCATGATCTTCCACCAAAGATCATTCAAGATTACTATTGCGAGCTCAGCGACCTTCAAAAATCATTATACGAAGATTTCGCCAAGAGCCAGGCCAAGGAAGGCGCTGAAAAGATTTTGGTTGGGGAAGAGGTGGAGGAGAGCAATGTAGTCGCCAAGAAGCAAGGAGGAAAGACTGGACATGTGTTCCAGGCTCTACAGTACCTGAGGAAGTTGGTAAATCATCCTGCTTTGGTGGTAAATCCTTCCCATCCCCAGTGGAACAAGGTGCAGGGATGGTTGAGTGCCCGCCAAAGTCACATTCGCGATATTGAGCATGCGCCAAAGATTCAGGCCTTGGGGTATGTCGCCATGGTTCTTGCAATATGTGTGTGTACTCATGACCATATCTCACAATTCAATTACACATTTATAGCCAGCTCCTCCAAGACTGCGGAATAGGTGTCGACCCAACCAGTAACCCAACCACCACCGCCGTCGCCCCGCATCGCGCATTAATCTTCGCCCAGCTCCGCCCCATGCTAGACATGATCGAAAAAGATCTGTTCAAAACTTTGATGCCCAGTGTCTCCTACCTCCGTCTAGACGGCACAACAGACGCAAGCACCCGACACGATCTCGTCCGCAAATTCAACCAAGACGCCTCCATCGATGTCCTTCTGCTTACTACCCATGTCGGAGGGCTGGGATTGACTCTTACCGGTGCAGATACGGTCATTTTTGTCGAGCATGATTGGAACCCGATGAAGGATTTGCAGGCCATGGATCGGGCTCACCGGATTGGACAGAAGAGAGTTGTGAACGTTTATCGGTTGATAACCAAAGGAACATTGGAGGAAAAGATTATGGGGTACCGTATCCTATTTCCTCTTGTCCTCTCTTGTCAAACATTACCGACTCACACTATACACTCTCACACAGGCTCCAAAAGTTTAAACTCAACATTGCCTCCTCAGTTATCAACCAAGAAAACGCCGGCCTTCGATCAATGGACACTGATCAAATCTTGGATCTCTTCTCCATCGGAGGTCCATCCGAATCCGCTAAACCGAAACAAGACAAATCCAAAAAGGCGACCGCAAAGGACGTTTTGGAAGGTCTGGAAGAGCTGGCCGATCAGGACCAGTATGAAGATCTGGATGTTGGAGAGTTTTTGAAGGGTTTGAAGTAGCTTGTAATATTGTTGATTTTCTTATTGTATTTCTTGCTTTTTGGCTTGGTACTTGCTTTGACCTGTGTACATGTTAATAAAATTTCGATTTCGCATATTTCTTGCTCTGTTATTTTTAATCACCTACGTCAGATAAAATGTTGCCCATCCAGAATCGCAACATCAATCCTTCTTTTGAATCTTCACACCGGGAGGCGGTGGAACGACTCTGCTCCCCTTGAACCCACTAAAGATTCCCAATGCTTGTACAATTCGGAGGAGAATAACGCCAAAAAAGAGGCCGCCTAACAAGATGAGGGGAAAGTACTTGTTTATGGTTGTTGCGTCCATAATTCAGCGAGAGGATGAACAGAGATGGTCGCTCTGGTGAGATCTACAGTGATCTATGGTTTAAATCACGTGATTGCATTGGATTTCCCCAATACACACACCAGCATGCTGGGGGTCAAGTCGACAAATGATATGGAAAATCATGCAAGAAAATTCACTTCCAGCAAACAAGCAACCGAGAATATATTACACCAAATCGGTACTATATCATCACTTAAGCAGTGGCAGCGGGTGCACGAGCAGCCTGAACCCGGGCGCGAACCTGTCTCCTCTTGGACAACTTTTGCACCAGCTGTTGCTCCTCCCTCTGAACCTGCTTCTCCTCCTCAACAAGAGTCAACTCAATGTGGCAGGGGTGGCTCATGTAGGCTAGAAAAAGTGGGTAAGTATACACCGCTCACACACTTGAGAAAATTTTCATACGAGCTAAATACATACGGTTGATACGACCGTGGGCACGGTAAGTCCTACGGCGCTGCTTGGGGGCCTGGTTGACCTGAATGTGACGAACGACCAAGTTGTCGATGTTGAGACCCTTCACCTGCACAAAGGTTTAGCCAAAGTGTATCTACAATCCATGCACCGAAACAAAGTGGCGCACCTCAGCGTTGCTCTCAGCATTCTTAAGGAGACCCAACATGAACTCGCAAGACTTTTGGGGCCACCTCGCCTGAGTTACACCCCAGACCTTAGCCTGCGCCGTGCGACCAACACCGCCCGAGAACCGGCGGAAGGGAACAGCCTGCTTGTGCTCCTTCACGTCGTTAAGGAACGCAACGGCCTTACGAAGCTTCATGCCGGAGATGGTCTTGGCCACTTCTCGGGTGTTCTTGAAGTGGGTGCGAAGGTAAGAGCCCCGCGCCTTGGCGGCTAAAAGAGGAAGGTCGATCAATACATGACAGATCACACGTCTGCGGGATTCCACATGTCCACCACAAGATCCTCATTCCATGACACAACCATGGCCCATACGCTTTTCTCCTCTTGTTCCGCCCTGCTTCATTCCAGTTCGCTATCCACAACTACACGGCCCCATTTCGGCTCCTCCAAATCTCTCCTTGTCACCTCGCCCTCCGCCAATGATCCACAAAAAGTCTAGCAACACTCACACTTGGCGGGGTTCTCGGGAACGGCAGCGTAACTATTCAGGCAAGCGTTTTGTTAGTCCCACAATGAGGCAGAGGTTCAATGCGTCATTGCACGCAACATACCGGACCATGACGACTGCTACGGCACGATTAACAATGGTACGACAGGGTGGGTGAGGTATGTGGGAGGTCAGCGCAAGGCCAGTAAGAAGAGGAGTGTCGATGGCGATGGATGGATGGATGGATGATAAGGGGAAGGGAAAAAATCGTCGGGTTGAAAGCAACGGATGGATACCAACGAGAGCAAGAGACAAATGGTCAGTCAAAATGCTCGGCCCAATCCTCCACTATTCCCCACATGAACGCCTTGTCCTTCTCCACTGTTTCCCCACCCGTCTATTTACTTGTCGTATATGCACTTACCTAGTGGGAGGGGATTGCGACCACGAAGAAAATACTCGCGGATATGCTTTTGTTGGAAAGAACTCTTCCTCTGCAATTCGCTCCAACAGCTACAAAGCCCAAAGCTCCAAAGGGCGCTTCGACCGAAACATGTCACGTGTTTCTATCCAATAGGCACAAAGATATTTATCCTTTTTGGGATAAATTGCATATGGACGACGATAATAAAGACTTTTGAATGAATTGCTGCATCAGCCCTACCCATCCCGCGCAATATATATAATATATAATAGAAGAAGAGGAAAATGGGACAGACTCAGTTCCCTACCGACAACCGCTCCACACCTTCAAGCACAGACTTTCAAACCTGCGCAATACACAAGACACACAACTATTTCCTAACCATCTTCCCCTTGACTTCTCCTCAGCCTACCAACCATCTCTCTATAATATACATCTTGGACGATCCAAGCTTGTCCTGTAACTTGGGACGTATCTGATGGCTACATCTAGATCCGCCAAATGCGTACAGTGGTATCCATCCCTCCGGAAATAAGTGTGTCATCCATATGTCGCAGCGATCGCACAGGCTTTGAATGGCCTTCCAGACTTTTGATGACGGATGTCGTCCGATTGTAGATCTAAATTCAAGAGAATATTTGAGTGTGTGTGATCTAGGGTTGACCCTCACACGCGCAATCCGTACCTGCACATCCTTGGAGCCTGCCGCTACGACTATCCTAAACATGTCATGATGCAGGTCATTTACACAACCGTCAAATCGAACTTCGTCAACAGCTTCTCCTGTGCGTAAATCCCACACCTACATGAAAGAGATCTTAGCACAGTTGAGACATAAATACCATTTTGTAAGAAGCCTACCTTGATCGTTTTATCTACACTACCCGAAATCACATGTGCTTGATCAAATTTCAGGGTGGTAACCGCCGCAAGATGTCCAGCCAGCTCACGGTGGCACTTGCCGGTCCTCAAATCCCACAGTCGCACGACCCCGTCCCCATAACCTGCAGCAAGAGCATGATGCCAGAACTGCAAGGCACCGACATGCCCGCCAACATTATACAACTTGAATCCACGTTTCGAAATAATGCCCTTGCCGTCCTCGGCCTCCTCTAATCCGGATCGGTCGTCCATAGAGGGAAAGTCTCCAATCAGTAGCCGATCAACCTTGTCCATGTGATTTCCATCCACCCATTTTTCACTTCGCAGAACCGCAACTTCATTTCCGGTCTCTCGATCCCATTGGCGAACTGTCTTGTCGACACTCCCACTGACTAGCCACTGGTCATCGAACATCAGGCAGCCAACTCCGCCAGTATGCCCTCGGAACATATGTACACAAACTTCATCAGCTTCTGGTGTATAGAAAGGGGATGAGGCAAGATTCCCAGGAGGTGCTGCTGGAAGTGGTGGCAGATTTGAAAGGTTCCATTGACGAATGCTGTGATCCCCTGATCCTGACATCAATACTTGGTCCTTCACTTGCACAGCTCGGACCCAACCTAGACGTGTCGTGGCTCAGTATTAAGCTCTAGGGCACCGCAATCACAACAGAATGCTTACCAGTATGGCCCTGCAGCAAAGCCGCACATCGGTGGCTACTCAAATCCCACACCCTTACTGACCTGTCAGCGGATCCAGTTACCAATGTTCCGTAGGGCATATCAAAGTCCAGGCATTCGACGCTATCGCTATGCCCATAGAGGGTCTTATAGCACGTGTTCGGCTGTATCTCAGGGGCCTCATCATCCGTCTCTACATCAGCCGCAATCGAAGCTGAGCGACCTTTTAAGGTGCGAATAGTTCGCTCAAACGACATGGTCTCATCCCCAATGGACGATATCCTTGCGTCCAGGTCATCCAACATCTGGTTGACTTTGTCTTCCTTTTCAACTACTCGTTTTAATTTGCCCGACAATTCGTGCTTTCGTCGTCCCAACTCAGTAAGGAGATCTTCAATTTGTCTCAGCTCGTCAGATATTGCCGTCCGTTGTCCTTCTAGTCTTTCACTTTCGTGCAGCACAGAGTCACGTTCATTCAACAGTTCAGAAAATAGTCGGGCAATGTTATTGATGGACGCCGCGTGAATCCGTGCTTTTTCTGGAAAGTGTTTGGCAGACGGCGGGGCCCTGTATGAGGGGTTTGGAGATCGTGGCAAATCCAACTCGGTCGATTGGCCGAGTCTCAAGCCAACGGAGCGAGGTGATGATGGGTTGGATGGCGTTGCCAACTTGGGGTGAAGCGCACGGAAACCTTGATAAAATGTAATAGAGCTCTCCGTTGACAACTCTTCCGCATCTGAATCAGCTGTATCATCAGTGCTTTCAAATACACTTGGTACTTTCAAAGTATCACTGTTGGATGTCGGGGTCGCCTCAACGAGGGTGGATGTAGAAGAGTGTACGGAATTATCCTCGAGGGTAAGGGGAGAAATGGGACGTTCAGTCGAAAGTTCAGGAACCCGGGGTAGGCTCCTCAGGGACACTATGGAGGACCTCCGCCGAGGTTTAGTAGGAGATCGCGATCGAGACCGATTAACAGAACCCGTCTCACTGCATCGCGCAGGAACATGGTTAATTGTCAGAGTTCACTGGCCAAATACTATGCGCTGGACACTCACCTCCCATCGGAGTGTTCGATCACACTAGACTCATCTCCCGACGTCTCGGCTTCAGAGAATTGCCGCGCAAAGGCGGAAACGACTTCAGCTGGGACCGCAGCTGCCCCTTGACCAACAGCGAAAAGGTCATGCGGTATCATACTAACAGGAGATGTTGAGGATGCTGCTGTCAGAAAGGATTTCCACGGATTCACGCCATTTTCCAAGGAGGAATCCTTTCGCTGCAGAAATGCTGGTGCCAGGCCTCCAAAGCTCGTACGTCGAAGTCCACTGAGGGCTGGCACTGACATGTCTAAAATACAGAGAAAGGACGTAAGCACCTATTTGAGAGAATCTTACTGCGCATGGCGACCATCATACAGGTCGCAAGGTCCCAAGGGCAAATGTGCCACCTTGCCTTCCCCATCGAGATGGCGGCACAAGCCGGAACCATTAATCGACCCTCACCTTTTGCTCTTTCTGACCATTCCTTTTCCTGTTCGACTTCTCTCCAGACCTTATCTTCCCCTACTGGGACTGGAGCGGGAGCCCAGGCGTCACTCTCAAAGCGCAAGTTCATTTCCACTGCTGTAGTTGCCAGTTTTGCGGCTTTCGTGCTTTCAAAAAGGCGATGAATGAAACAAATATACACACAGCCGGTTTCCCCGCTCTCCGACCACTATATAAGCGGAGCTTTTGACAGCCCAACCAAAGACCGAGGACCCTCGGAATGAAGGGAATGCAGCTGTCGTTGGCTTGAGAAAAAAGGAGGGCGACAAAGCTCAAACGATTCGACAGTTCAGACCTCATCCTTGATTTGGGAATGGATTGAACCAGCCATTCGAACCTAAACGTCACTCATTTATCAAAAGTTGCTGATTCATCGGATACTAAATCGGCGAACAACGGGCACAATTCAAAAGCCGTGACCATCAACGCTTTGGAAGAAGGAAGGACACAGAGGCTGTGCAAAACCCATCGACGAAGAGGACACTCGGTCCTCCCCCGCTTTCCCTTCTTTACACCTCTGGCCAGCGTCCGAACATCCCAGCGGAAGTTTTCTTGACCATGACCTCCTTCTTCGTCCCCAAGTCCCGCAAAGTCAAGTTTGAAGCAACCTGTCATGTCCACGACCTTACGAACCTCCCATATGTTAGCGGACTTTATTTTGTTAAATGGAAACTAAAGAATGGTGGAAGCTATGAGGGGCTGACCCACAAGTGAGTACGGTGAAATTATCAATGTCTCTTTCTCCTTACCACAAGTATAAACAAACTTTTCCTCTTCTCCCCTGCACAGAGTGGTAGTAAAAGAGCATGTCGCCTCTTGGGACTGTACCTTCCGCCTTGAACCGACAATGATCATTGGAAAGGATGGCGTCCTTCTTCCATGCGAATTGATTCTCTACATACGACAGTCTGTCAATGCCGGGAAAAGCACCGAAGACATTGGAATGGTTTCAATTAACCTTGCGGAATATGCAGCGTCTCGATCAACGTCAAGGCGTTATTTGCTGCAAGAATCAAGAGTCAATTCGATCATCAAGGTGACGATTGAGATGAAGCTCGTTAAGGGTGGTACGTACAATTGCCACGGCAGCTCACTGCGATGATGCTGGTCATATGTGGCTTCGGTCTCATCAGAGTGGCTCCTCAGATCCCGTTTACAAAGTTCCCGAAGTGTCAAAACGAGACCTATCCAGTGAGAGTATTAGGGGTATCTTTTCGGAGGAGGGGCGTGAGGACCACTCAATGTACTCCCTATCGAGTTTGGAAGATCCAAAGGTGACACACTCATTGCCGATGCAAACTCATGATCTTTCTACTAACAAAATACAAGCAGAGTGTGCGGCAATCGCAGGTCCATCCCTTGTTATCCCAAGGAGACGACCCAAACGTTGATCTAGTCAATCGCCTGTTTGCCACTACAACCTCGCAAGGACACTCATAATTACCTCATTTGTTGTCAACCAAATCGGCTGATGCGGGCGTCCCTTGGACAATTCGGAATTTGTATATATATAGTCTTCTTTTTTTTTGGATTTTTCTACTTAACTAATACCCAACTGATATAATATAACCCATCCATAGAGGATTCCAACTGAGCAATAAATAGATGTCAGCATCAGTGGGAGAAATTGGAATTTATCTGGGCCTAGGAAGACTGGATGGATGAGTTCTGTGTACAGAAACAGGGGTATCAGGCCCTGGAGGTAATTTCGTTCCCAAGGGAGGACTTGGAAGTCGGAACTGGACTTTCCACTGCAGAAGTCAGGACCTGCATGAGACAAGGCTCGGGAGAGAACCGAAACTGCTACCACTTACTGCACGCTATGCAGCATCGCCAGGAAATGGTGTCCAAACAAAGCAAACGCAACCAGCGTGATGGTCTTGATAACCGTTTCTGAATGTCGCACAATTAAGTCCTCACCAAGCAACGACGCCTTCTCATGTAGGACTCACCTGCTGGTCTGAACAACAGTGGGAAAAGCGAATAATAACCAGTACAGGCTAGCACATAGAAGATTCGTGCGTATTCCGGTGATTTCCTCACCAGCAAACTGTAGCCGCCCAACATCAAAACGAGAATTATATGCTCTCACCAAAGAACACGCACCTCAATGGAATCAACACCAATAAGATAGCCTTCTCATGCACATGCCACCCAAACAGAAATGAACCAAAGCCGCAAAGAATGAGACTATCGATAAATCGCGCTGGTGTCGGATCGGACCAAAGTTTCCACAGTGTGGGCTAGAATTAACAACACTTTAGCCAAGTGTAGAGGAGAACGGTGAACGTTATTACGGGACCGCACCACTTGAGAAAGTACAGTCAAAAGCAAGGTATGCACCGGCTTGATATCCGGAAGGAAGCCGAAGACTGTATCTCCAACAAGTCCCCTGGTCAATGACGCGGTTTCAACGCCGGCGCTGAGGCCTATGATACGAGCAACTGCCATAGCACACAACGATCGTTCAACCATTCTCGTTCCCCGTTGATCATGTCGAAAAATGTAGAACCTCTCACCATGTATCAAAACTCGATCTCCAAATGCATACAGCGCCCAGAAATTAGGGGCCCAATATGCATGACATAAGCCACGTTTGAAGGGAAACAGTCTGGCTATGATCTGTGGTATGTGGGCTATGAAGGGACCGAATGAGGCTGTGAAGACTCCAATTGTTGCCGCGCCAAGGAGTAGGAAGTTTGGGAAAGAGAAGCGGTCTGTTTGGCGCGAATGTAAGCTCAGATGCTACCAAGTCTTGCACAGGGCCAAGTCGTCCGTACCTGCGCGAAAGCAGTAGCTCCGTAACAGATAGATAAAATAAGCTGGCGCTTGGTAGAGGTAAATGTGCTTGAAGTTCAATATTGTTGCGAAGAGGATCGCGCCGATAATTGGCTGATTCTTGGATACTAAAGTATTTATAACAACATTCAACGCTATGGCATGTCGGCAGGAAAGTAACAAACCTGCAGCATTGCAGATATCGAAAACAGCTGAATTCCGTACAGAAACCCATTATATTGGAAATGGATGTGGTCCACAAACAGTAAACCCGGACTCCAAAAAATGATCCCCAGGAATATGAGCCTATGTCGCCTGTCTCGAACGTGTTGAACTATCCTAGTGGCGGTATCTAGTTAGATGGAGATACCTGGAGAATCTATGAGAGAATAAGGCACTCACCTCAAAGCTCCCGCAAAGAAGACCATCTCGCTCGCCATAACGCTGAGTCTTTGGAACAGAACAGTACCAGAGCTGGCATACTGGAGGTTATCAATTTCCAGCATCTTGGCGTCGAATAACTGCGCTGGATGGGAAAGTATCCACTCAAACCAGGCAAAGAACGGAGGATAATCTAGGGTCCACTCTGAGGTATTCTACGTCTCAAATGTTCGAGTCCAATAGCGTCGTAGTTGCATCGAACGCCCTTACCTCGTAATACCATTTGGCACTGGGGAGGTTGTGGGTTATTGCCAGCCAGTTGCGATGAACTTCAAAGTCAGTCGAGCGGCTGTAATATGGAAAGGAGCGGTTAGTTGTGCTTTGACTTATATCTTCTGGCGGGGATACAGTTGGATAGCTCACTAGGACGGGATAAGGAAGAGTTTGACCAGAAATGCAAAGAGGAATAATGGCGCATAATCCCGCCACGACATTCCTGCGATGAAAGAACCCGTCGGACTTGGTGACTTTCCGCTCGCCTTGAGTTGATGCATGGCAGATTGAGCCCATGGGGCGAAACGAGAAGGGAGAACGAGAGCGTGTTATTAACGTTCACAGCCACCTCATGAGTTCCAAATATGGTTAAATGACGCCGTGGGCTGGTCGTTGTCATTCACCTACTTTTTCTCGCCATTGCACTTTCAACTTTCTTTCAATGTCCACCCGCGACGTTCTCGCACTCATTGCCAGTGACCTGAAAGCATCTACTTCCGACCTTCTCCTCGAAACTCCCCCGCGCATTGATGCATCCAAAACATTCTCAACACTCCACAACTACATAACTCACCACCCCGTCTCCCCACCTACGTTCCATTCTTCTGCGGATAAACTCGCAACAGAACTTGTTTCTCTTTATCGCTCTACATTTGCCCCCAAAGATACCCAATCGCATAGGGGTGTGTACCGATTGGACTTAGAGCAGGTCGCGGGGGAGGATACAAAATTGCTGGTTCTGGTCGCATGGTTACAAAAGCTGTTGCCCATATATGATCCATCACGGTTCATAGCAGATTGGTGGGAGAGTTTTATGAAACCGGTGCTAACGGCAGGGAGATGGAAACCTTTGGTGGATCGCGTGACAAATATTACCGTTGAATTGCTATCTTATGAGCACTGGTCATGGGCCCAGAATATGGGAAATCTGCCTGGAATTGAACAGTTTCGACGTGCGATTGTGGGGTCCTACTTGGCTGAGCGGGCTCTGGTTTGGGAACGAGGGCAGACGAGTAGTAAAGAATACGGCCCGGGCGGCGTAACACCTTTAGCAATTTCCGAGCGGGCTAATAGAAAGATTGGAGCATTCTGGGATACCGTATGCGCAAACAATTTGGAACGAGTCCTGATGCAATTTGGGGTTGCAAGACCAAAGGTAATATCGTACCCAAAGCTGATTACCTGCAGATGATTCTGGGAATGATCTCATTACAAGAGCGTTGAGTTTACCAATTGCTGCCCACTTCTATCAAATATTGTCCAAGTGCTGGCAGCGTGCCCTATACCGCTTTTTTATTTCTTCCTGAATAAGAGGCTTGACATTGCGCATACTTTGCACAGGACTTTTTTGACTTGTTGAATGAATACTGTGTAAACAAGCAACATCGGATGCATGTTCTTGTGTTTCTGATCAAATTTGGGCGGCGTGAGGTATGTGGGGTGTCCAGTTTGAAATTGATGATGCATATATTGTTAACGTAATTCGCACAATATCGACATGATACTAGGAAGCACCACTCTACTATATCCACGAAAGCAAACTATTTCATACCATTTTGAGCAGTGCCATGGTAAATAGACGCTGACCGTCAAAACCGAATACCCGAAGAAGAGGTTTAACTTCTCGTTTCTATTATTGTGCTACAGAAAGATACCAATCCGGGAATTATATGCTCTATAGTAACGTTCCTCACCGTCCTCATGCCGTCAATTGTAGGACGATTAGTAGATACTCTGAACGATCTACTAGCTATCCTGCTGCGGCTCGTATATTGGGAATCCACCTATTCGATTGTTCTCAATCTCACCAGCAAACGATCGCATCAGGTCACTCATCGGTCGGAAATTGAAGAACCACAAGTAGCTGTCGATACTATTCTTACAGAGTATACCCACGTCGCGATTGCAGAATCCATCGAGAACTACTTTACGCTACTCTACGGTATTTTTCCCTGTAATACCGTAGAGTTTTTACGGGCGTTTTACGAGGTGAAGAGACCAGATTTCCAATGGCGAGATCAGAGTGGGGTCTTGAGTGGAACTTTTGAGCTTGCGGATGATCCGTTTATGGAGATGAGGAAACAAGTTGATGAAATGGAAGATATGGACTTGAATGATATTGTTGTCAAGAAGTTGATGGTAGGCTTCTGGCCGCATGGTTGTATGAGATTTGTTTACTTTCTGAATCAAATTCCCGATAAGACACTTTCAAAGTCCCACCGATTACATCAAAATCTTCTCTTTTTGACATCTCAGAAGGAGCGCGAAATGTCCAAGCTGGTTCAGAAGGACCCCTCTGACGTTATAATCGAAAGCCTAGAGCTCCGCAGCTATTCTGGTCTGCAAGCTGCAGCGAACGATAATAAGCCAAGTGCTGTGTCGATACATTCCGTTGAGGAAGGAAATGAGGAATCTATTAGACGGTTCACTATCTTGGATCACACGGAGCATGTCGCCCCCATTCTCTCTCCTGTGCCTAAGCTCAAGGATCGGGGATCGGAATCCATATTAGATGTGAATGCCGTCAAGTCCACCTTGCAGGGTGATGGTGCTAGTACCGCATCTGCTGAGGTCAGACAACCTACTTCTTCACGTGAAACAGAAGATGCTGTTCCTGGAGTGTCAGCCGAGCCTGAAGGTAGACCGATAGGGCCTCAAAAGAAGGTGAAAACGGTGGCGCAGGGTGACGTGGGCGAAGCTGGCGTTGACTTGAATGCCATTTTGAACATCAACCGCATATTGCGAACGACTATAATCGGTTATAAGGTTCGTGTTGTCGTTCGCTAGCAGTTGAAGCGAAGTACGCTAAAGGCAGAACGTCCTACTCTGTAGGATTCCCTGGCAACCCTCCCAACATGTACCCCGGAACAGTGTCTCACACCCTCCCATGTCGACATCCTCAAGCTACAGCTTCTCCTCCTTCTCAATGACATCAACTTCCAATTCTACTTGCGCTATCATCACATCCAATTCATTAGGAAACTCCGAAAGGACCACATCCAGGAGGAAGTAAAAGAGGCTGACCGACAATCTGTCGTACGTGACCAAGTCTGTCACATTTTCCTCATTCAATTTCTAATCAATATATGGCAAACAGTTCGAAAAGCTTAAAATCCAGAATCAAGAAATAAGTCTTCTCCACGATAACCTTAATCGTCAACGCCAAGAAGCCTCGTCCATCCGCGAGAGACAGCGGAAATATGAAGAGGAGCTTTCTAGGCGATTGCGTGTCGCTAAGGAGGAAGCGGTCTTGTTGAAAGCAGAGGTGGCGCGCTTGAAGGACGGGATTCGGAAAGGTGATATGGAAATGGATGAATTGCGGAAATCAGCGGGTGATGCTGATGCTAGGTGAGCGGCTAATGGAAATAAATACCATGGACGACTCGGTTTTCACCACTGTATATCCAGGATCTTCCAGCTTCAAACAGAAATAGATGTCACGGCCCCTGACTTGGAAAGACTAAAAGAATGCGAAGAGACCATTGAAGCCTTATCAAAACGAGTTTTAGCGCGGTAACGACTCATCCCACCATCTTCGTCTTTCAGTTGAAATTCATCTCATAGTGGGTGATAGGGAAGGAACTGAAGCCCAAGCAGAACTTTGGTCCCGCGAAAAAGACCAACTAGTCGATCGAGTGGTGGGGTTACAGATGCAACTGGCCGATGCGGATCGGGAGGTGGAGAAATTGCAAGCTGAAATACAGTGCGCTCATGTTCTAGTTTCTTTCTCACTGTGTTGGATTCTGACTACAGTTATGGCGCAGGACCCATGTTCAGACTGCTGGTCAGGCATGCATTAGGGCTAATCAACTAGAATTGCAGATGGAAAAGCTGGAGAAAGATGCGAAGGAACTGGTATATAGAATCATCTTCATTCTACTGCCACTGGCTCTTCCTCAAGTGTCGGGTACGACTGTTTAGGGCTCTACGGTGCAACTCCTTCAAACTAGCAACAGCGAACGGATCAAGGCCATTGAGGCTAAGTACGAGACCATCAAGCGGGTGAATCTGCAATTACAGGCACGTACGAATGCGCCTTGTCTGGACTACAGTTGTGTGGACTGACATTGTCCGTTACGACTCACAGGGAAGGATAGCGTCGTTGTTGATGACAAGCGAACTAAGGCAACCCGCGACGTTTTTGGAGCAGGAGGTGGCATTGCCTGTTACTATCGGGCGCTATGATTGAGCGTTTCCTATCATGAAGGCGCCCTCCCAATAAAATGAGGCGAGGACGTCCTACTATGCCCATCATCATCTTGGTAGTGAAAACATGTTTGTAATAACAAAAAGTCATAAAGCTATGTACAATGTGTCAAAAATCTACAGAGAAACTACCGTGCCATTCTGATAGGTCACCGTTCCATTCCCTCTCACTGTCACTGGATATGAATACTCAAGCGCACTACCCGACTGCACGAAAGCCACACGAACATAGTAAGGTCTCGTTGGGTTCGAATCCGCCTTCACGGTCTTCAAGTTAAACTTGCTTTCCGCCCCTCTGTACACTTCTACGTCGTTCAAAAGAAGGGAAAAAGAATCGTAGGGTAACCCATCGGGTATGGTTGACAAGGAGTCCATACCAAACGACCATTTCACAGTCCCGTTGGCAGCCAAGCCGGCCGGATCAATGGTAAACTCTGGCCGAGGAATCCATACGGCTTCATCTCCGTTCAAGTTCTGGAACGACGTGTCGAAGGGCGACGCTGGACCCCACCGTGCCAAACCCTGAACAACGAGACCAAGAAGGAACCCCTGGATCAGAAGCGTGGGACGGGTTTGAACAAAGCGTGTAAGGGGGAGGAGAATCACGCCGAGTGTATAATGATGGAGGTGAACGTGCAGGAACAAAACGAAGGGGAGGAGGAAGTAGGCGATTATAGCTAACCCATATCCAAGGAGGTATGATCCCAACACTCCATGTCGCCGCAAAAACCACAGTTGAAACAAGCACAATATCACCACCGCTGGCACGGCAACGATAAAGACTATCAAAGTCGTCGGTTCACGAAATGCGCGGGACGTCAGTCCGAAATTGGCTAGCGGTGCCGTTAGGATTTCCATGTGGAGGGCAAGATAAAAGGGTAGCGTAGTAAACAAGAAGGTGTCGATCGGAAAGTGTGGGGGTGAGGGTATAGTGTCCCGGATAATGACTTTGTACAAGAAGTAAGCGAATCCGAGTGTTACAAAGTATGTTCCCCACGCAGCAGCTGTCCAAGACTCGTCGTGAATCGGAATGCCAACAAAAATGATATGCCAGAAGCCGGCCGAGATGAGCGCAAAGAAAAAGGCACCCTTTGAGGGATGGACGAGGGGGAAGAGTGCAACGAGGATGATGGCGATCGGAAGGATGCCCCACGAAAAATCAGTGCAGTAAGACGAATCTACCGGCTTGAGTCGGTATGATTTAGGAAACCGAGAGTCGAACGCGAGAGATGTCATGCCGTTGGCAGTCGTGGAAGGGTAATCGGTAGCTTCACCCACAATTTCGACGACCGCACACCCTCCCAGATTTTTCGACACTAATCCCGCATGAATCGCACTAGGACAAATCCAGCTCTCGGCTCGATACACATCTGTACCAACTACCCACGGCTGCATGAAGCCAACCTGCGATGGTCCCAACCACCTCTTATTCTGATTATAGGTTAAATGACACAGAGAAGGACATCGGACAACGAAGGATTGATTTGAAAAGGGTTTGCAATATACGCCATCCGTTCCACATGTTTCAACATTCCAGGCCCATAGCTGGGTTGTGCAGCCAATGTAAGAAGGTGTACCCTCGATCGTCGTCGCTTTGTAATTGTTGAACAGAATGAGAACGGCAGCAATGATGATCCAGCACGCTACGTAGAGCCAGAAAGGTAACCAACGCCATTTAGATGGGACAATTGACATAAGGTTGGTGAGTTTCGAGCTGAGTTTGGGAAAGAGCGGGGCAGAGAGTTTTGGAAAGGGCTGGATTATTGCAGGGCGGATTCTCGCCTTGACCTCAAGTCGGCGAAGCCAATCTCTGCTCGATACTGGTTTGGCAAGGAGTCCTTGCTCAGATGCATCATTTGCGAACTGACCACCTGTTGATACCGGAAGTGGGAGTGCGACCTGAGACTCTTGGACCAAGTCAGCTTGGTTATCGCCAATCTCACCGCTCTCTCTGCCTCGCTCCCTCTCTCCATGCCTCTTCCGGGTACCATTCCCTTCCACGGTATTCACTTCCGTTATCAACGGTTCACCGGGGAGACCCGCGTAACTCCCATAAGCTGGCCCGTCGGGTCGTCCTTCTGTCCTCAACGAGTTCTGAGAATCGGCAACGTTTAGAGGTTTGGAAGACATACCCAACGTAGACGTCTTCTGCGATCGTTTTCCACACCCCAACTACCGTGCGGAATTTCTAAAGCAAACGCTCCAACGCCCGGTCTGCTCTCCTCCAATGCAGCGTTTGAAACTTCAAGGTTTGACGCTGGAGTTTTGCGGAACGTCCCACACGCCAGTTGCTTACGCGTTCCAAGGTAGAATTCTTACCCGCCTTTGAGTTCCAAAAGGTCGCTCGCCATCTGTCCTCCCTCATCACTAATAGCCAACGGCATGTTCAAGGCAGTATTTTTCGATATTGGTGGGGTATGCGTGCACAGCCCTTTGGAAGGCATCCGCAAGTTTGAACGGGAACGAGGCATCCCAGAAAACTATCTCAACGTCGCCATGTAAGTGATCTCATCCCCTTTCCCCCTCTCCCCGCCAAACTGTTGTAGATATGGTCAGCGTAGCGTAGAGATAGGTCATGTAGATATGAGATAGCTGTCCTGTCCTCGTTTAATTTGTCGACGGTGCTTTACAGCCAATCCCGTGGCGAAGGGGGAGCATTTCAGAAACTTGAGCGTGGAGAGCTCCCACTATCCGACTTCTATCCCATCTTTGGACAGGAATGTTCTGACCCAGGGAACAAGCAAGCATATGTGGAATATCTGAAGAGCAAAGGAAAACGTAGGTTGTGTGCGTTGGGCAAGAAGCCTCATGCCGTGAAGCTCACGTTGCTCCCACTTAGCGATCCCAACCATACCGGATGTAACGGTAGACGGCAAAGAGCTGTTTACCTTCATGATGCAAGAGGCCTCTAAAACAGATCCCATTGTTATCAACGCCATTCGCAAATTGCGAGGTGATCCTCTCAGCTTTTACCTTTCACACGGTTTAGCCCTCCTTGCTGACCAGCACTCGATAGAAAGCGGCCGCTTCAAAATCGCAGCTTTAACCAATAACTTTCAAATACACGGAGCTGAAGAGGAGGCAACATTTGGCAAACCCCCTCCAGAGCTGGTTCAATTGTTTCATGAATACATTGAATCTAGTGTAGTTGGATTGCGAAAGCCAGACCCGGAGATCTTTCGGTATGCGTGCACGAAGATGGGTGTTGAGCCCAAACATGCAATCCTATTGGATGATATCGGACCGTAGGTGTTGGCTTCAGATTTAGTTCCATTGTGGCCCTCCCCTGACGTTTTACGTTGTAGTAACCTGAAATCAGCGCGAGAAGTCGGCCTGGCAACTATCCGTGAGTCCTCTCCGCTCTGACGAGACCGAATTTTGACGACCCATGCTCAAACTTCTTCATCATCTCCCAGGCGTCGTTGTAGGCAACTCGGTAGAAGCAATCAAACAACTAGAGTCCCTGACCGGCATCCCCCTCCTCGACTTAGAAAAAAGTAAATACAAACTCTGAACCCCATCATCAATAAGACAACTCAGTAAACGCCCCTTTTTGTATAAAATCACAATATAAGAACCCCTCATCACAGGATCAACCATGCTGTACATCGCCCCGAACAATGACATTCTTGAGTCATGCACGGAAATATCGCATTTGGTAGTGGATGATGCGAAGACGTTGTCCCCTCATCAGGAGATTGAGATTCCGGAGTTCAAGGTTGTGGATCAAAAGATGTTGAATAAGCACATTCATGAACTCTTTCCCAAGAGTGAAAGCACCAGTTCTCATGTTAGAATTTTATCCCATTGTCGTGGTTCCTTGAGGATGTTTTGTGGTTGATCTCCATGTATTATTTACAGGCACAGGAGCTGTCAGACGAAGCCTACCTTCAACGCCACAAAAAGCACGAGTATCTCGAGAAACGGATGCGAAATCGCGAAAAAGAATACGTCCGGCATCAACTCTACAAACGTCGGATGCTGGATACTGGATCTTCCGTTCCATCGAAAGCACCTCCTAAAGCGGCAGCTCCTTTACCACGATTAAAAAGCGCCTATATACTACAACCACCGGCGCAACTTGGAGGAAACCTACAGACGCAACAGAGCGAGGCGAGAAAGGGGACACGAAAGCCTCCGTTTAGGACAGTGGGAGCGACACAAGGACGGAGAAGTTTGCGCCTGTCAATGCCGTTTGGATATCCTATTCCTGTTATGAGAAAGCGGTCATTTGAGCGGTCTGAGAAGTTATTGGGAATATTGAAGGAGCGAGGAGTGGCGGTCAGCCAGTGAGAATTGAGAAACTTTGCTCAGCTGGTCCTGGTGCAAGTTTAAGTCGGTCTATAGTGTTTGGTTTATTGCGGCGTCAGTCGACATGCACACATAGCATCCTCAATATACACAATATGCTAGTCCATTTCCAGTATTTGCGCCTGCTGCGACGAATGACCTAGTGCTGACGGTGGTGGGGCGAACAGTGATTTCATCATGTCCTATACGAATACGAGGATATTGGTTACGTGCCTAACCCCAACAAACGACATTGGTAACATACCTCTAAAGGATTCGATACTTTCTTTGGTCCCAGTCCAAAGAATACTTCGCCAATCTTATCCACCATATGCACTAAAAATGAATCAAATCCAACCACAGAGCGGTATTGATTCTTCAAAGATGTAAACTGTTCCACAGCCTTGCGCTGCACACAGAGCAACAGGAACTGGGTAAAATTGATGAGGGAGGATTTGTACAAAAAGACTTCAGGTGTAGACGCGTCAGTAGGTTTGAAGGGGAGGGGAATGCCTTTGGATTCGGGGTCATTGGCTTTGAGATCTTTTATAAACGTTTCAAAGGTGATGTTGGCGTGATGGATTTTCTTTAGCACCAGGGATCTACATAGAAAAGACGGGTTTGAATTCCGAGGACAAGACGGCATGTTGCAGTGATCTGGGTTAGAACTTACTGTAGAACAGCCCGTGCAATAAAATAACCTCTGTCAGGAAAGTAACCTTCTCCCGACCATTCCCATATCATATGCCCAAGGGCTTTTGCACTATCAGTTGTCCCGTATATGAAGTGATACTCCGCATCATAATATTGTTTTTCTACCGATACTTCTTTTAGGGCGACATGAGATAAAAGCTGTATTACCATGAATGCCTTACCTTTATAGTATCGGGATCCAAATGCATGATGCATCAGTGGGTCGCCGGCGGGACACGCACTGTGCTTTGCCGACCACCTCAGGCACATTCTTACATATTGATCACATTGCTCGGTACGTAATGGAAAGTCTTGGAAAAGATCAACCACTCTCGCTAGAAAATTACCAACCAAACGATATGAGACCACTCTGGCAAACTACCGGCCTTTTTCCCGCTCCCGCCCCCAGCTCACCTCTAGTCTTATCATCCACTTTCAAGCCTTCAGAATCATAGATATCCATCATCCGCTGAGCAAGGTCCTCCGCACTACCGAGTTGGTCGTGCTCCAACATATTTTTCGCCCCTTGATGCAGCAGCTCCAGCGCGTCGTCGAACTTTTTCTGCTTGAGATACCTATACTGCCATTTTTAACAGTCTGTCCCACAACATAAGACGCCAAAGCTGATATTACCTCTGACAGACCGAGTGGTACATTTGGTGTGCTTCGTAATAGTTTCCATCTGAGTAAAAGATCATGAGTCAAAACCTTCCCGCGCTAGCCCACAAAGAAAGACATGCCTTGTACTGATTTCGCAAGCTTCTTCAGCACGCGCCCTACACCACCTCCTCCAGCTGTTGCAGACATTGTCGGTGTGTGTATCAAGTAGGATGATGGGGGAAGGTCCCGCAAAGTGGTCTTGGCCGCCGAGGGTGACGTGGTGTTGCCATAGCAATTGAACACATCGACCCTTTGGATGCGTTTGTTGAACTTTTATTCCAGTTGGTTTAAACGAAAGAATAATGGGCGGATGTGCCGCTTGTCCAAGCATCTACCTTTGAATATTACATGGCAAGTTGTTGGGCACCCAGCAGTAACGGCGATCAGATCGAGATGATGTCTAATGTTCTGAGGATATTCCATGATCTTGAGCTATGTAAACCTTGTGCAGCGCAGACCCTACCATAGCTGATCGGATGTGCTGCGCTACGCTGCAAGCTGTTGACCATTTATGACGAGACAGCACTCACCTCGTTCCATTCAATGGGTTTGTTATGGTCCTGCTTATGCAAGTCTTGATACGCCCAAACCATCTGGATGTAAAAACAAAAGGCCAACGGCGTGATGACTCATACGCGAAAGGTCTTTGGCTGGGCATTGTGTTCATTTCCAATCTTTAGACATCAACGATGCGGCTGCCTTTGCCTTGTCGGGTTGCTATACTTTGCAATAGGCGCTCTTTTTCCTCTTCTGTCCCTTGTCTGTCTGCAAGCGTAGAAAAGACGCCAAAGGCATCCACCACCAAGAGTGATAGGGTTGGTTCATGCATTGTGGTTGTTCGCCTTGTAAACTCATGTAAATAACCCTTTTCTTTTTTCTCAAATTAGCAACTCATTCTCAATGTTCTCAGTACATTGCCATCGCAGCGAGAGGCCAGACATTTTCTGAAAAGATTCAACCAGGTGCCACAAGAAAAACAGCAGAATGCGGATATTCACTATAGAGATCTTGTCGCCGCTCCTATTCAACGCGCAGACGAACTCTTAGCTGCTTCAAAGAGGCAGGAACATGTGGGGCTAATAAAAGTAGACGCATCACTGACGGAGGTGGAACTGAGCGCATTTGCGGGAACCTTAGTTCAGCTGCAAAAGTTGGGATTGACACCGATTGTAGTCATCGAACCGAATTCATCGGCAAATCGCACAAGGGTGATTGAGGACTTATTTCGAGTAGTCGAGGCCATTGATGGCGCTGGTGGAAAGGCAATGGCTCTCTATAGTGGAGTGTACGAAACAAAGGATGAAGGGAACGTATCCGTCCAGTTTCGTCCAATCCAGACTGTCATAAGTCTGAATCAGATACCCGTCCTTGCACCACTCGGACACGCTTCAGCCAGGCTCACCACGATCACTTCTCGAGATGCCTTGGTATCCCTCTCTGCAGCCCTCGCAAACGACACCCGCTTCCGGTCTCCCGTGAAGACCATCTTTGTGAACCATCGTGGGGGGTTTACCGTTCATGGTCGACCAATCGGGTTCGTGAATTTAGAAGATGAATATGATGACCTTCGTGCAGCACTATCTGATCAACATGGCGGGGCACAACAGCAACTAGACGATTTAGAAACTGTTCGCACTGTTCTGTCCGTTCTGCCGTCTTCATCATCTGCCATCATCGCGTCCCCCGTGTCATCCGCAAGTTTAATCTCCAATCTTATTACCGACAAACCCCTGTCTTCCACTTCCTTTGACCCAACATCCTTCAGCAGCTGTTTTTTCAAAGATGCGAATGGTCCCAACACCCCAACCGTCCTACGGCAGGGCCTTCGCGTCCAGTTTCACCCATCCCTAGCAACGCTTGACTTGAGGCGACTCCAAGTACTTTTGGAAGCGTCGTTTCAAAAGTCATTAGAAGCGGACGCATTCTGGAAGCGAATGGATAATGTTATGGATGGTGTCATTCTGGCTGGGGACTATGATGGCGCCGCTATTGTCACCAATGAACCGGATCCAGATGGAGTCGGGAATCCTATAGCATATTTGGACAAGTTTTCCGTTGCCCCAACAAGTCAGGGTATTGGCGTTGCGGATATATTGTGGAAACAGCTGCGGAAGCGATACAAGGATTTATCATGGCGGAGTCGTGCGGCAAATCCAGTCAACAAATGGTATGTCCATTTAAACCTTTTGCATCGGTTAAGGATGCTCGTTGACTCTAGCTTTTTACAGGTACTTTGATCGCTCAGATGGAAATCTTAAGCTTCCTGGTCATTACTGGGTGCTTTTTTGGTATGGATCACAAGGAGTGAAGAGGTTGAATTCCTACAAGGAAATGGCACGAAATATTCCGGCGTCGTTTTTGTCTCCACAAAAGAGTTGACATGGGGAAGCACGCTTTATATAATTGTATTGATATATATACTATCCAATATTGCCCAAATCTGTTCACTCTGCCCTTGTAATGCTCAACGCACACTTTATACTATCAAAAACAAAAAGAAAAAGCAGCCGATCGAGCGATGCGCTCAGGCGACCAGCGAACGCGAATCAAAAATGGGGTGTTGCTTACATGGCGCGTTTCCCCCTTGGATTCTACCCCCATCTCACGCGGGCGGCAAGCTTCAAAGCCACTTTAGCTGATCACCATCTAGTTTGTGATCCGGATCATCTGGCGATTGAGGAACACGCGGCGGAACGCAGAGTGTTGGTTGTTGAAATCTACTCGTGCTTTTATTATTAATTGCCAGGATGTCGACGAGGGCGACGCGCCGGGGAAAGAAAACGACGCTGGACGGTCAGTTGGAGATCTTCCCATCGGTAGAGGGACAACCGATACAGTGGGGAAATCGTATTTAACACCACATTCCCTACCAGGCGTACTCGAAACCGAAGGCAGCACAGTAACGTCCACACGAGAGACAACACCTGTTGGCGGTGACGGACCGATCGCCAACCGTACCCGTCGAGGCTCAGCGGCGAGCACCACGCTCTCAGATCTCATCGGTAGTCCCTCTCGTCGTGCTGCGTCCGAACCGCCCAGCGACGTCCCTGTCCGGCACTCTCTGGCGGGGTCAAGGGCATCAACCAGACAGTCGAGTGTGACGCCGAGTATCTCAAGCCGAGGAGGATCTGTAGAGCCGGGGCTCGATGAAGATGAAGAGCTCGAAGAAGAAGAAGAAGCTACAGAGCTTGTCGATGCCGACATCAACTCTATTACAACCACATTTGAGTTTATGGGGCCCCATGGAACAGCATTAGCTGTTCTTGGCGTTCCCGTTGTGACACTTGCATTGCAGCTGCTGTGCGACCCAGTGAAGGGATGCCCTTCATCCAATTTTTATGAATCGCCTCTCGCGTACTTTACTGATCGCATTAGCCATGCGACATTTTTCAAGCTCGAAGCAGTGGCTGCCATTTTTGGTTGGATGATCTTTCAGGCTCTTTTGTACGGATATTTACCTGGAACATATATTCAAGGAGTTCCATTGCCAACTGGCGAACGACTCACCTACAAAATCAATGCTTTTGGATGTATGATTGCCACGTATATTGCTGCGTACGCCGTTTTCTCCGTCAAAGGTCTTGGCCCTTTTCTGTGGGTAGCCGATAACACCCTACCTCTCGCCGTCGCTGCAACTATTTACGCCATTATCCAATCGGTCCTCCTCTACGTTCTATCTCACCGCATTCCACCCCATGGGCAGATTTTGCTGGCCAAGGGAGGTAACTCTGGGTACCCCATTTACGATTTCTGGATGGGAAGGGAACTCAATCCACGTCTGTGGGGATGGTTTGACCTCAAGTATTTCTGTGAGCTGAGGCCCGGATTGGTTGGGTGGTCTGTACTGAACGTGTGCCTTGCATGTCGGCAATGGGTCAATTTGGGCGGCACTCTGACGCCTGGCATGGTGATGGTTGTGCTATTTGAAGGATATTATGTCATTGATGCGCAGTGGAATGAGCCAGCTATTTTAACTACGATGGACATAACTACTGATGGATTTGGGTGCGTTGCACGGTTTCTTTTCTGGTCGGAAACAAAGGAACACATTAGACTAACATTCTCATGGTATTTGTTCTTGGCCAGGTTTATGCTGACTTTTGGAGGTAAGGCTATTGCTCATTATCTCATGTGTGCTGTTTAACTCAGCCTCAATCTTGAGTGAAGATCTCGTCTGGGTTCCTTTCAACTACTCCCTACAAGCTCTTTACCTTTCCCGCAACCCAGAAAGCCTGTCTTCCGCCGCCGTAGCTGGCATCTGCCTCTTACAGCTCTTTGGAATCTACATCTTCCGTAGTGCCAATTCCGAGAAGAACCTCTTCAGGACCAACCCCGACGATCCTGCTGTTCAGCATTTAGAGTATATTCAGACCAAAAGAGGGTCGAGGCTACTTGTCAGTGGCTGGTGGGGTTTGGCTAGGCACATTAACTATTTTGGTGGGTATCAGATTGGCTTTGTCTGTTGTCGTTTCACTCTTGATGATACTTATCCCTCGGCATCATGCAGGCGACTGGCTTATGTCCTTATCTTGGTGCTTAACAACCGGTTGTTCTTCCCCGATCCCCTACTTTTACTGCATCTACTTTGCGATTCTTTTAATTCACAGGGAGATTCGGGATGAGCATAAATGTAGGAACAAATATGGAGAGGATTGGGAGGAGTATTGTAGAAGGGTTAAGTGGAGAATTGTGCCGTATATTTGGTAGATGTTGGATTCTTGCTTTTTGAATTGCGTTATTGTCTCTTCCCTGGGGCGGACTTTCTGAGAGATTTGGGACAAAAAAGTAACTTGAATAAATTGGGATATTTTTGAGATATCATAACGTATCGTTGAGCTATCTTGTCAATAAGTGATTCCTTATGGCTGTTTCCAATCCCTCCATCCTAGCCACCTATTCAACGGGAACAGTTTCCCAGTAGTAATAAAAGCTCACGTTTATGTGTTCAAAACTGGGAGTGTCGAATTGCTTACGCGCGTCTCCCTCAAAACTCCGACACCCAAAGACTTTCAAACTGTTGACGACCAGTAACAGAGCAAGCAGCACAGATCACAACCAACTCAAAAATGGAACGCAACTTTCTGCTCCTCAAGCCTGACACATCCTCAAATGAACCAGCCATAGTTTATACTCTCAAACAAGCCGGGTTCAAGGTTTTCAATGTAGGGTTTCAACACTCGTCGCCTTGGACAACACAAAACGCAATATCTGAAATTTCTTGTGTGCTCATAGAGAAGAAGAACGATCCTGACATCCGAGCAAGCTTCCGAATTTTATAAAGAGTGGCGGGACGATCCTGATTTTGGAGAATTGATCGTGTACATGACCAGGTACACTACCTTGCACCTCTGTTCCATCTAATTCCTGATGATCTAAAGCAAAGCCATTGTGCGCTGAATACGTAGCGGCCCTGTGGTGGCACTGGCTCTTCATCACTACACCGGTTTCGAAGTCCTCCGCAAACTCGTCGGTCCACTTGATCCCGCTGTGGCCAAAACAGATGAGCCCGAAAGGTAGGCCATCAGGTGCTTTATTGGTGATTGGTCGTTTTGATCAATGATTTGGAAATAGCTTGAGAGCGAAATACGCAACAGATGAACTCCGGAATGGGTTTCATATGAGTGAGACGAAAGAGGCTGTGGAAAAAGACTTGTCGTTCTTCTTTCCGGATAGTGCGTATAACATATTTTCTTTGCGCGCGAGCTGTCCCGTATGATAACTTGTACATTTGCTTTGGATGTAAAAAAGCCCATGTAGTGCCCCTCCCAACACCCGAAGACGCCAAACTTATCCTAGAAACTACCGTTTACCCCGTGCTGTTACAAGGTCTGACACAGCTGTGCAAAGAAAAGCCAGCAAATCCCACAGTAGGTTTTCCAGTTTTTGCTGTAATTGGGCAGTTTTGGAATCTTGTTTTATTCACCTGATCCATTCTGTGCGGGATAGGCCTGGTTGGGTACATGGTTGCTAGACAATAATCCCAACAAGCCCAAAGTGGAGGAGCCCCCGGAAGTAGTCGTTTAGCTAATGTTGGGGGTATTGCTTTTTGTATAGATTATGGTGCTAATTGTCATTTGTTGCTATGCTTGGTGTCGGGTCTCTTTATTTCACTATACTTTCCATGACACCTTTTACTTATACTAGGAGATCTATCGACTATCTTTCTATCTAGTGAGGTCTAATTCTGAATGATGAGCATATTACTGCTTGCGTGTGCACTTGGGCTTGGGTGTGGGGATTGGGTAGGACCCAGGAGCTCCTCCAACGGGAACGCCAGTGGGGGTACCGATCGGGTATTCGACTGGAGAGCCAGATGGGGTGCTGGTGGGGTATCCAATTGGGGAATCAGTAGGTGTCCCGCTGGGATAAGGAACTGGACCGCCGGTTGGCATACCAGTGGGGTATCCAACAGGCCCAGTCGTCGGTGTCCCGCTGGGAGTCGGCTTCGCTTGGCCACAGCCCGTCTTCAACAATTCGGCAGCGACTTTCCACGCACCGGGCGGGAAAAACGTCTCCTCCGTAATATCAATCCGGCAATCGGCAGCAGCATATGAATATTCAGCTGGCAGGTCCTTGCGTTTGCTGTATCCAACACCCGCATTCACACGCCACAATGACACTGAATGCAAAAATGGTTGCGGGGCCAATGCATCGTTCTCCAATCCGATGCGCTTGAGATCATCAAAGAGCTGGGGAATATCGACGACATTTCCACCCGGGAAAGAGGAGAAGGAGAATGGCTTGGCACCAGCTTCGCCTCCTTTGACAAACACTTTGACGCCTACTTCGTCATGAATCAATCTTGCAGAGTGTGCACAAGTGGATCCGCAAAGTCCATTGGTGAGGACGACAACATCTGTACAGATGCACAATTTAGCATTTCTCGAGATGAAAGTCTCAAAAAAGTATAACACTCACTTTCAACTGGGAAGACGGGGGTAACGGGTGGGGGAATTCCTGTTGCATTCCAAGCATTGTGAGGGCGTTTTGGATCCGCAATTCCTCCTCCGTCGACAATTGAAACAAAGTCCGAGTACTCTGAAGTATACTTTCCAAACGTTTCCTTGTGCGTTTTCAAAATCAGCCGGTTCAAATCTGCCGAGGTGAGACTGAGTCCAGTAGCTGGGTCAACGAAATTCGATGGTCCAAACATGGTCAACGGGGTTGTCTCATTCAAATCCTTTTCAAATGCAGCTGTCATGAGCTTCTTTAGGAGAGGAGTCATGCGGAATGTCGCTACATCCCGCTTAACATTTGGGAACAGGGTTGCAACTGCGAAATATCCAAGGTCTCCCCAACCGCCGCCATTGTCGGTCCAGTCAAGAATCAACCGTTTGGCACCCTGCGCCTTCAACTGCTGGATACCATCATAAACTTCCATGATGAAAACGTAGAAACAAGCACCAGCCGGACCCCCAGTACCGATGTTCGCGGTCGCCTCGGGATCTTTGAGCTTGCCAATACACTCGCTGTCTGGAAAGCCGTCGGAACTGTAGGTGGGCATGGCTGCTACGCCCGTCTCGGCGTCCACCAGAAAGAATGATGCGTACATGCCGTTCTTGACGGTTTTGGGAAACCCGTTCCCGTAAGATCCGTCGGTTTTGTTTGGGTATACGGCTAAACCAGCAAACTGCTCCGCACTGTACTCTACTGTTTCTTGCTCAGCAACATTGATGAAATCATTATGAGTTATAGCAGCAACATCCCGTCGGGTAGGGGCCCCAGTCGGTTGTGGACGAATGCAAACATTTTGATAAAATGATGTACTGTCCGTAAAGTTTGCCTTCAAAGTTGGGGCAGCAATCGCAAACCAAGGGACGTCTATCTCGGTTGTGTTTTTGCCATCAGCAGATCGAAGCGCCAACTTCCGGGTCGCCTCTGGGACAGGGAGCCGAGAGCGTGAGCTTGCAGCACCGACTCGAGTGGTGATTGATCCGTCCGCTGCGACACCCTGCCGGGATGTCACCTGGTTGAATCGTGTCTGGCTGTCCTTTGACAGCCCAATGAGGCTGTCACCAAAGGCCTTGACCCAGGCAATAGGATCTTTCCCGTCGATGGCCGTGATGGTGGAACCGACGAGCTCCTTGGGATCAACCTTGATGGCTTCTTTGATCTTGGCGGCCCAGATGGCGTCGTTGGGAGCGACGAGAGTACCGAGTTGGACAATTTGTTTCCCGTCCTTGCCTACTAAAACACGGTACGTCCATGGGTGACGGAACGTGAAGGCGGAATGGTAGCAGTAGCCTGAGCAAGTGCAAGACATGTTAGCATCGGGGTTGCTTACGTAACGGCCAATGGCGCGGAATGTCCTACTACTTACTCGAGTAGCCGGTATGAGCATCTCCCAGGTCCCGAAAGAGGTTGTTCAAATCATCATGAAACTCGCGATCCGTCTGATAGTTTTTTTTGGCAAATGCATCCAAACTCTGCAAGAGGTCGATATCTTTCAAATCCCATTTGCCTCCGTCAATGGTACTGGCAATGGACGCCTGTCAAAAGAAAACGAGTCAGCAGGAATAACTTTCATAGGACATGGAAACGACATGACATACCATGTCAGTAAAGGAATATTGTCCATCTACCGCCTTACGAAGTGTGTCCACAGTGGCAGTCCGGATTCTTTGATCGAGAGGGAAGGAATCAAGGCAATCCTTGACATTCTTGTGGTCTATCCACCCGCCAGTCAGTTTCATTTGAGCCGCAACCTGAGCACAGCCATCGCTGCCTACATCGAAACTCTTAATAACATTGTCGCTGTCTGCTGCAAAAGCGTTCACAAAACATTACCAGGTGTGGGGGCAGCATCAACGCTCAAGGCAGCCAAGCCGACCAATGCCGCTATACCAGCCTTGATCATTTTACCAAGTGACAACCTGTCAACGGGGGAGGGGAAGCCCCCCCATCCTTTTATAATTCTGTTAACCCAACATCCCCGTCAAATCACCAATGTCGCACTCCCCGTCCACGGACGTCCATCCGCGCAATTACACAGAAAAAGTCAAAATCGAGCGATAGCGCTATAAAAAAAAACAAATCGTGATAAAAACAAAGCAAATTGCGCCCAGCAAAAAACGAACACAATCTGCGCTCACGAGAGACAGTATCGCATGACTGTGCCATCCATGTGCACAACTGTGCCACAAAGACGGACCACGCGGGAGTCAAAAAGTCTAAATTTTTGTGTTTTGAGGAATTTCTATATTCTACATGAATGATATGCTACTCGTACCGCCCGGTGCTTGCTGGACGCGGATATGATGTGGTCTGCCATTGGATTGTGGTGTAAGAGGGGAGCTATCGGGGCTGTCGTCCCCAATGACAATTTGGCTACGGTGAACTGGAGGAAGCGCTGACTGATAGGCTAATGCACCTGGTACAAACTCATCATCCTCCTCTTCATGACGGTCTTTCCAACTCGGTCGACGTCCCGGCAATTGCTCTCCCTCATACAGTTCAGCAGCCTGGAATCGCTCAGTCAGGGATTGTATCCCCTCTTCGGTCTCATCGTCATATGGCCCAATGACATTCGATCCTCGGGGTGATATGACCATGCGCCGTCCACTAAATGACCGCCCATCCGGGCTTCCACTGCCACTTAGGTCCAAGCTTGAAACACCACCCGGTGGTGCTCGCGGTTTGATGGATGGTGGAGGAGTCATGGGTTCGGTTCCTCGTCCTGCTAGGTCCAACGTCGTTGGACCGCCGGGTGCATGACGGGTCCGAATGCTTGGAGTATGTGGAGGTGAACCTGCACCCGCGAGACTAACAGTTGCTATCCCTCCGGGTGCAGCCAGAGTTTTGATTGACGAATGAATTGGCACTTGGCCAGCTCCGTCCAATGTCAACGAGGTTTTGCCACCTGATTTCAATGCAGTTTCAGGACTCAACAATGTCCCACCATTTTACTCTACACGCATGAGTACACCCACCTGGAGGGGCAATGGTTCGGATGTGAGGCGAGACAGGTACCTGCCCCGAACCATCCAAGTTCAGGGACGTTTTACCGCCTACATAGAGATAACCATTAGAGGTCGAGATGATCGTCATGGTAATGACGCATCAAACGTACCAGGCGGTGCCATTGGTCTGATGGAAGGCGAAAGATCCAATTCTCCGGCACCATCTAAACTAACCGAAGTAATCCCCCCTGCAGGCTGTATCACTTTTATCGACCGTGTCATATTTGGCGTACCACCGCCAGCGAGGCTTACAGATGTTTGGCCGCCTTCAAAAGGACAGAGGTTTACCAAAATAATAGGAAACAAAAATGAAAGGCCACTATTTTGAAACTTTTTGACCAACCTGGCGGAGCAGCCAGCTTGATTGAAGATCTGGGTGCCTCGGGTGTAGCACAGTCGGTGAACAAGTCCAAAGAGCTTCGTCCACCCGGACTATGTAAGATACGTCGACTCGGCACAGGGGAAGGAGGGGTATCGGCAAATATATTCCCCAGGCTATCGCCACCTATAAGATATTCATTGAAGGTTAAGCCTCTTACGGATATGCAATGTTATCTGACCATTCGGACCTGGGGCAGAAACATGTCGGCGTCCACCTGGTGAAAAGCTCTACATAATGTGATGTGAGAGATAACGTCAAGCCGGTACACAATACATTACGCTGAGCAGCACACGTACCATATCCATACAGTAGACATTGACATTCCTTTTGCAAAAACAAATGGAAAAGACGAATGGGGAAGATGGCAGAAGCAACGAGCCGTCAACGGAATTGGTTCGAATGTGGCAAAGTCACCTTTTGAATATTTCGATTTCGTGCGCTGACACGTTTTTGCTTGCACTCACGACTTTCAACTGCAGCTCCTACCATCGTTTTGGCAAATCTCGACAAGCAGATTAGTGTAAGTGACGGACAGATACAAGACATGGATGCTGGAATCATGGTATGTATGGGCATATGTCTCACATCTTGTCGACATTAGGATAACGGTCGCAACGAGAATGTCTGGAACCGTCAATATTCTCGACGACATTTTAGGCGACGAGGATGACGAGCTAGACTTTGACTACTCTGACGCCAAACATCCAAGGACAGAGACAGCTGCATCAGAGTAAGCATTCCTCTAAGTATGTTTGGCTGCATAAAATACTGACGCGATCGTCGTCTTGCAGAAGAAGAACGCGCAGCCAATCTCCTCCTCGAAGTCACGGTGACGGGAGATTGTCCGCTAGACAGCGGGATCCTCCACTTTCAGCATCAGAAAGATCTTATAAACGTAGTCGAATTGAGAGAGACGAACCTATCGCACGACCCACTCGATTGAGCGACGATGGCAACGCTCCTCGGAAGGTTGGAGATCCGGGGGACAGGGAAATGGAGCGTTCAAGAGACCGAGAAAGAGAGCGAGACCGAGAGAGGGAAAGGAACAGGGAGCGGGAGAGGAGCAGAGAGAGGGCAGACACAGACAGGCACCGGGACCGTCGCCTGAACGACAGGGGCGCCAGACAGCCGCGGGTGGACCGTGGTGTCGATCGTCCAAGGTCTCCGAGGAGGTCTCCTCCGCGCAGAGAGCAGCGTCCATCAGCGAGAACGCCAGTGCGCAGTCATGAATCGACGGTGAGCCAGGAAAGGACAAACGGTACGGAAGCAACATCAGGAAGCACCTCTTAGTTCCTTTCTTATCCTTCTCCTGATGTCGTCTCCGTAGATGCTCCCAGACAACGTAGAGAGGCGGACATGTATCCAGAGGTACGAGATGCAGTCAGATCTACACAGCCAGTTGAGAAGCGTGGTGAGTCGGCAACGTCGTCTCGTCGCACTCCACCACGACGACCCGATCCCCGAGAAGATCATCAAGCTCTTTCACGTCCTCCGCGGGACTCAGGTAGAACTCCTGTTAGGGAGACTCATGAAAGCCGGGACCGTCACCGTGATGCTCGTGACGATGCTAATGGCCGACAGAAGGCAGCTGGCACACGGGACCGAGAGGATGTTGAAAGACCCGAAATTCGTCAGTCTTCTTCGCGTTCAGTCGCATCGGAGAAAGATTCACATTCTGCTGACAAGCAAGTAGGTTCGTCATTGCCTCTGAGGTCCGAACGACGAGCCCCTGCGCGTGATATGGTACAGGATAAAGTCGGTCGCAATCGCCCAGCTGATCCCGAAGATCGGGAAGATAGGCCGCTCGGCCGCGGAACGACGTCAGACCAGCAAAAGCCGCACCAGGTCGAAGAGCTCAAAAAGGTACAGATCACGATTGCGTATTTCCAGCAACAGTTTCAGCATGTTTTTGGGCTGGCCGGTTTGGGTGGGACGGCGAGAAAGCGTTCTGGTTCAGAAGTCTCTGGGACCGGATTTGGGGGGAAGCGAAGGTACTGGGTGGCGCTGAGGTTAGGGGCGAGCGGTCGGTGATGCGTAATCGTGCAGAGAGCCGCGGCGCCCGTACCACATCGCTGTGCTGAACCGGCTGAATCGCAGCAAATGCATGACCAATGACAGTTGAGACGCTTCAGGGTTGGGTGGGCATGTCTGGCAGGGTCTGAGGCGTCTGAGCAGCGGTTTGAAAGCACTGCAGCATCAACTGACGATTTGCCTACGTCGAACCATCACTTCCTCGGTGGTACTTCTCTATCTAAAGGAATCGAATACACGCCAATCGTCCGCACCCCAGGAGACGGCGACGGAGCTTTCAGATGTCGCCAGTGTACCAGTTCTCGGCATGCATCCGGACCGAGCTAGAGCGCTGGGGCTACTTCAAGATCAGGCGCCACCCGCAACACCGTCGCCCAGTACGAAAGATACCGGATCCAACAGTCTTGCCTTGCCCAAAGCCACGGGGAGCGGAGAAGCTCGCGCGTCAGCAATCACTGAGCGCTTGGGTCCCAAAGTCGAACCTTCCGATGCTGCACGGAAGCGAAAGCGTGAAATCGCGGAAAGAGGCGCGGAAACAAGACCCCAGCGACCCCGAGTGGAAGGTCCACCTCCTCCAGTAAATGGTAAACGTGACGATACTGTTCCTGATATGCTATCTCCTCGCTACGGTACGAGAGCGTTGACTAACTCATTCGATCAATAGAGGATGATAAAGCCGCAAAACCCATTCGCTACTTTGTGCTGATAAGTCCCAATTATGACATGATCAAACAGTCTCAAAATACAGTACGTTTCGTGTCGCGCATAGCTTGTTTGCGGCTGCAGAATTCGTCTGCTGACACGATATTCATATACAGAACGCTTTTGCCACGACTCCGGCGATTTCAACAAAATTGAGTGAGGCATATCGGGTAAGTGTGTCTGCCATCTTGCATTATGGGGACGTGACTAACTCTTTTCGGTACTTACAAAAGAATTCTCGGGACGTGATGCTGTTTTTTACAGTAAAGGGTAGCCGACGTTGGCAAGGTAGGGTGGTTTTAGCATTTGTTTCGCGTCTGAATCATTTGACCGACATTTTCCCTCAGGGTATGCCAGAATGACGACCGATATTGGTGGCGTTAGTGGTCCTGGAAATGATTTTGGAGAAGGTTTCGACAAGCCTTTTGGCACAAAGTGGTCTGGAATGTGAGGATTTACTGTTTGAATACCCAACTGAGTGTCCTATGCTGAGTTTTTTTTTTCCCAAGTGGGGATATTCATCAAGGCAAGTTAGCCCCTATCATTAACAGCTTGGCCGAGGGCAAGTCTGTGAAGCTTAGCGACGACGGGGAGGTACGTTCTTGAGGTTCCTAGTCAACCCCGTGTTCTGCTAGTTGCTTATGAGATGGTGGTAGGAAATTTCCGAAGATGCTGGCAATGATTTGTGCCGTCTTCTTGATGAAGAATGCAAGTATGCTATGTCTCACAAAGGAGCACCGGCGAATCCGATCCCACCTGCTAGAGCACAGTGGGACAGGTTTGTACCTCGTGGCAGAACGCCTACTGAGAGGGCTCCTCCTCTGGGTGTAAAACCGTCCTCTGGAGATCGATATGTGCCTGCAGACAGGTATGCGTTGCGACAAATGTGTCTCTTTGTCTATTACGTGGACACTTCTTCACACAAATATCTCTTGTGATCTCTCTAGGCCGGCAGCAGCAACACGGGAGGCTGGACAGGAAAAGGCGACTGCGTTTGTGACCTCCACTCCTGGACAGCCAATGATTCACCCTTCCAGACTTGCTCAACTTGATCATTGGGACCCAGGTACACCAGATTGAGGTGTCGTGGTCTATGCGTATTGCCATCTGTGTTAATCCCTTTCAATGCAGCCCACGAGAAAGATCTGTCGCGGCGCATTGATGAGAATCCCCGGCAGCGACTTCCAACTCCTGCTGACGACAATCCTTACCATTATGATCCAAAAGGAGCACCCAATCGCAGGGAAATCTTGCGAGGACAGCCAGCGGGCAAGGATGTATCTTTACGTAGAGATGCACCTGTACGCTCCGATCAACGGCCTGGTCGAGATGATGTCCGGCGGGATCACCCAGCACGTGGCGTGGAGGATTCGGGGCCAGTAGGAAGGCGCGAAGGAGGCGAACAATCCCGTAATACCGAGGTTCCAATTATCAGAGGTGAACCTGCTCGCGTTGATGACAGTGCCCGCCCGCGTAGGGAGGAAACGCCACGACGTGGAGATCCAGGTCGTGGAGACAAAGGGTCTCAAAATGGGAATCAAATTCAGGGTGGAGATGCTCCTTTTCGCACAGATGAAAGACCACGGCGTGAGGACAATGGTGGAAGAGTTGATGAACGTCGTAATGATGACTTACGTGCAGGTAATGGCCCACGACGTGATGATCGCAGAGATGAAGGTCCACGCAGGGGTGATTCTTATCGGGGCCAAGCGTTTCGTCGGGACGACGGGGATCGTAGAGATCGTGCCCCACTGCGAGAAGACCGTAGGGTAGATGATAGTTTCAGGGCAGGGAATTTAGCACGCCGAGATGATCTCGCGCGTCGAAATGAACCGATACGCCCGGATCAGCCTTCAACGGCCAAAGATGTATCTCTTCCACGAGAAGACGACGTACGTAGACGACCTGAACCACGGCGAGAAGAAGGTTCACGAAAAGATGAACCACCACTCAGAGATGAAACGCGTCAAGACGAACCTGTACGGACACAAGACGCGCATAGAGCAGAGCCCCCGCGTGGAGACTCTTTCCGCCGAGAAGAGATTCCTCGCAGGGACTCATACAATCCGCGCCATGGTGAGGATAGTGGATCAAGAGTGGTGTCTCAAGAGCGTTCCCGTCAGGAAGGAGAACGTCCAAGGCCAGACCGTAATGACGGGTAAGATTATCGTATCGAGACTTTTGGACGATTATATTGACAATGAACATTACAGGCCGCTATCTCGAAGAGGTCTTGGGGAGGCACATGGCAGACGCCAGCAGCAGCGAATGGAGCCATACCCTCCACCTGTAAGCTTTATTTTTGTACGAGATAACTAGTGCACATTTTTCATCTATCATACTTTTATAGAGAATGCGACATCCTCGGGACGGACCATACATTCCACCTTCGATGGGTCACGGCGTGCCCCCTTATGGATACGGCCCTCCCCCTGGACCCATGGTAACTTGCGGTTCTCACCATGATTTTTCGGACATGGTTCTCACCTAGTTCTCTCATGGTTCTAGGGCATGCCATATCCACCACCATCCCATCCACAACAGCCATACCGCAATCGGCGACGCTAAGCATGCAAAGGAGCATTGTGCACGCAAAGGCTGATCGAGGGTCTGGAAGCGACAGGTGCTGTTGTGACATATGAATGAATAAAGGCTCAGAATGCATCGACATTTTTTGGTTTGTTTTCCTCCTTTGAGTCATCTTGATGTTCATATACATTGTGTGGACAAGGTGGTTTTGTGTGTCATATTATAGACGAGAGCGGAACGATTATGCTCGCGTCTGGCAGGCGTCTGGGTACCGGACACCCGCGTGAGACACTCGCGTGGGCTGCTCGAAGGGGGTAAAGGGGTTAACACGTTGGGGTTCCCGCGTTCTTCAGTCTCCCCTGTTCCCTCAGGGATCGGTCCAATCCTTTACAATATCCTCACATCCCTTCCAGCCCCTCAAAATGAGGATTATTTCCATGGTTGTGATTAACTCGTCGCCCCATGGTTCACGTAAAAAACAAGGATATCATGTTCCGCCACAAAACGGATTCCAAATGATGCACATCCAGAAACTCTGCATAATCCAAACTCTGAGCACTAGGCAGAATTGCATTGCGTTTTCAAACGTCCCCTGATATGTGAATTTCCTCGGGGCCGTCGCTGGATGGAAGGGAGTAAAGTATCGTGTCTTTTGCTTTTACAAGAGGGCTCCCAATTCCTGTTACTCCCAAATATTGAGTGTGGCATGCCTCTGGCAATCAGTTCAGTGTTGGGTCAAGGTAGATATATATCAAGCAGGCAAGATCTCATTAACTGAGGTGCGGCATCATAGAACAACCTTCGAAGGCAATACACTGGGATGACTCTACCTATGCAACGTGAACTTGGGGATTATTCGAGTGGCGAAGGAGTATCAACCAAATCTCAGGTCACAGGAAAGGGTTTTGTTCATTTCTCAACCATTGATGCAGAGGATCTATTCATTATTAGTACGGACTTTCCGCATATATTACTCTTGAATGCCGAGTGCTGAAATTGTGCCTGCGGTGCCTTTCCAAGGTCAACTCTTGGTTAACGTCAACGGGAGGTGGCATAGCTGGTGGTATCTCGATCTCTGGTGGAATTGCCTGGAAATCAACAGCTTGCAAGGAAACCGAAATGCCCCCAAAGACTTTTCCATGTCTCTGTGGATTGCGCAGCAGCTGCACGCCGGACGCGATTCCACGCACGCCTCCTTCTTTTCTCTCCAACGTGTCGCGGTCCCTTTTGCATACGTAACCCTTTTTTTTTATGCCCCAAATGATAAGGGGAAATTGAGCATAAAAAGGGGGCCCTCTCGCCCCACCCTCCCCAAAGTTATTCTCGACATCTGCTCTCATCGGTGGTTTGCTTCGCGAGTTCTTCGAGTTCATCGGCTGAGGAATCCGTTTCCGCTGGTGAGTTCCACAGTCAAACGTGATGCTCTTCCACGCTGTTCGCTTTCAGATGATCAGCTCTCATCAAAATGGCGCCTTCGTTGTAACACCTGCCGATATGTCCGAGCCAGGCACAGGATTGCCATCCTATGCAAGAACGACCGAACATACTCTGAATGTACAGGTACGTGGCTAAAACGGATGAGTGAATGCTTGTGTTAATGAAATAGCGCGAGGACGTGAGAATTGTATGTTGAATGTGACAGCTAAGTGGCTAAAGGATGAGTGGCGTGTGCGAATGAAATAGCATGAGGATGTGAGGAATGCATGTCGAGTGGACAGGTACGTAGCTTATGGATGAGTGAATGTGTGTGCGGATGAAATAGCATGAGATCGTGAGGAATGCATGTCGAATTTAAGAGGTACGTGGCTAACGTACGAGTGAATGCGTGTGCGGATGAAATAGCATGAGATCGTGAGGAATGCATGTCGAATGTAAGAGGTACGTGGCTAACGTACGAGTGAATGCGTGTGCGGATGAAATAGCATGAGATCGTGAGGAATGCATGTCGAATGTAAGAGGTACGTGGCTAACGTACGAGTGAATGCGTGTGCGGATGAAATAGCATGAGATCGTGAGGAATGCATGTCGAATGTAAGAGGTACGTGGCTAACGTACGAGTGAATGCGTGTGCGGATGAAATAGCATGAGATCGTGAGGAATGCATGTCGAATGTAAGAGGTACGTGGCTAACGTACGAGTGAATGCGTGTGCGGATGAAATAGCATGAGATCGTGAGGAATGCATGTCGAATGTAAGAGGTACGTGGCTAACGTATGAATGGATGCGTGTGCGGATGAAATAGCATGAGGATGTGAGGAATGCATGTTGGCGCATGCCCTCACGCAACACGCTAATATACAAGGAATCCCGCCATTGCAACTTTGTACTTGGAGACGACCAAGGGGCGCAAAAATAGTCGCTGTGGCGGCAGGTGTCCGCGGACTGCGCAGCATCCCGACGTGTGGAAGGGACTGAGCGAGAGTTGCAAATCCCTGGTCGAAACGACAGAAAAGGAAAGTGAAATGATGGCTGTGGTGATATGCACATGTCGGCGCGCGGAGACAATATGTGTATTTCCACACATTGAGGTTTGTGCTAATGCCTGGAGGCTGCCAAAACCTGCGTTTCCGAAAGGTCGTGATGAGTTGTGTGCGTCACTATCCTGAAGTTGCAAAGTCAGGAAAATATGGTATCCCCGTGGCTAAAGCCTGAAAAGTTATAACCTTGGGCTGGATGTCGAGATTTTGTAAAGAAATTCGACTATGTGCTGTGTTGCTGCATGAGCGCTTCCATTTTTTCCACCAAGTGGAAGAAACTCGAGAATCACACTCCGACAAGGATGCGCAGCAATTTAAGTAATGCGCAGCAGGGCAGCTTATTTGTTAGAGGGACAAATTTCAAATATTACCCATGCCTTCAGATGTCATCGTACATGAAATGAACCCTGAAGGCATCGGAGACAGTACAGGCGCCAAATACAATAATGTTTCTGCGACCCGATTCAAGTGGACGTATATCTATTGGAGTGCTACAGAATCCTACACGCAAGCAAATCTATCACTCTTCCTCTCACGGAGGCTCCATAACTGTTATGTGGGAATCATATTTTTGTAAACGCCCAGCGGGCGCATAAATGCATAATTGCGAGTAGATACAGATCCTACAGACACAAAAAAAATACACAACATGCTTAAAAGCACCACCGTTCGGCACCCAGGTCGCCTTCAGCCGCTCTACGTAATATAGGGCATTGCCTGGACTGTGGCTGGAGGTCCTTCGTCCAAAGTCATAGCTCTTTCTAACAGTACGCTCAAATCCCTTCCAAACCCATCCATTTCTGCTGCGTCCTTCGAAGATTGATCCTCTTCTTGTATCGAAGGTTCCACACCTGATTCCCAAACTTTCGGACAATTCGCATGGATGGATCGTACATAGAGACGCTCGGGAACAGTTAGTCTGGGTCCAGGCCATCTTCCTCGACCCCTTTCAGGAAGCGCTGAGGAAGAAGGAATCAGCGCCAGACTGTCATTCTCAACCTCGGCACTCCTCCCACGGCGCTCTGTGGGAGGTCTCAGCCCATAAGGACAATGCCGGCCCCTATGCCTCCTCAAATGAAAGATTGGGACAGGACCGCGACTTTCTAAGGAAGGTGATGGCATAACGACCCATGAACGTAAGCGGACTGCATCAGGATGCGGCGATAGCGGTCTGATAAGTGCTCTCTCTTGGGAGTCCACACTTCTTGACCGAGCCTTCCCCCTTCCTTTGACCTTCTTCTGGTCGATGAATATAATTTCGTAAGCTGTACCTCGGCGCATGGGAGTAGGTCGAGTCGTGTCACGTTTCATGCCTTCGGGTGACGACGTGAACGAGTGGATGAAGACAACTGACGTTTTTGGTTCGGACGGTGGGGAGGAGGATATGGTTTCCCATAGCGGGTGAATCAGATATGTGGAGGTTTTGACACTGCTCTATGAGATTTGGTAGCTCATCTTGTGACGTTGTCGACTGTTGTTGCTGCGGTTCCGTTCCACTAATGTCTAGACGACTATACTGTTGAATGAGCTGTGGAATGCCTTGATCTTGTTGGGAAGGACTTTCAGAGTCAGAGTACATGGCAGGATTCAGCAAGCGTACGGAGTTCTGATGGTCAAGTGAGGATGAAATTATGAAAATGTGGGTATCTCAAGATGAAAGTGCTAAAAATGAAAGTTGAAACTTGGCCAAAGTCGCTGACTGCAGCTGTGTGGCTGTGAAGGATTACATTATTAATCACATGACTAATCACATGTTTATGCTCATATAACCATATTGAGAATTGCCGGTAAGGCGCTGCTGGCTGAACAGCGCGTTTCATCTGAGCTTCTTTTCCCCAGACGCACAACGTTGGACGCATTCACAGGTTTGTTCCGAGGGGATTGTTGCAAGAACAATTATGATGGCGACGACAAGAGTCTCGCACGATGGACAAGCACCTTCTGTGGTGCCAAATGGTGAGGTGGGGATAGCGTCCACTATTCAGCAACGGGCACCGTATGCCGATAACCCAACTCTTGGGTTGGTACCATTAAGTGCAACAGAGGTACATTGCCACTCAAACAATTGTATGGAAGAGGAAGAGGTCTCTTGACCGTTTCCTTTCAAACCTTTGCAGATATTTCTTCAACGACTGACGGGTTGGAGCCAGCTGGTCAAGCGCCTTATTAATCAGTTCGAAATGGTCGTTGACCATCAGAAACGCTTGGCAGAAGCTTATGGGCGTTGCGCAAAGGAGTTTGCTGCTCCTGTGAAGACAAAGGAAGGTGACGATGTCTTTGGTGGAGAGGAAACAACCCAGGTGCGTGGCAGCATCAGTACCGTGTCATGTTCCTGTTCGGCTAATTGATATCCCTCTTGAAAATCACCTAGCTTCTCTTTCGTAGCATTCAACAGTCGCATCAAAAAACAGCCCAAGAGAACACCGAAGCCGCTGCCATGATCGAAACCCATGTAGTGCCAACTCTTCGCGCTCTTCTTGCCGATCTACGAAAGAAGGCTTCGGATGCGGACAGGGAGTGGGTTGGATTGGATAAAGAGTTGTTGAGAGATAAGGACCTCTATGTCAAATTGACGTCTCAACTCAAACTGTCGCTGAGCAAACATCATGGAGAGACGGCTGAGAGTGGTGAAAAGGAAAGCATAGTGGTGAAGGATCCATGGGCTGCAAATATCAGTAAGTATCTCGAACCTCGGAATCTTGCGGTTCGTGCGAATTCTCAAGATTCATTATGTGTAGACATCAAGCGGCACATCACCAATTGTATATACAAACAGGAGCATTACCGTCAAGTCCTTCTTAGCCAGCAAGAACATTTTGCAACATTTGAGCAATCCATTGTTCAGACACTACGAATTACATTGTCCACCTTCTTCGATTGGCAGTCCAAAGATCTCGCATCTACCCAGGACACCTTTAAGCGGCTCAAGGCTACCCTCCACACCCTGGATCCTGTTAAGGATTGGGCGGAATTCACACAACGGCATGCGGATCGCATTGTTGAGAAGGATGTGCCAGTAGTTAAGGAAAGTGAAGTTGTATATGAAGGGCGAGATGACCCACTCGTCTCCGCCCACAAAGAGGGGCTAATGTACCGGCGTGATACGGGGATGAAGTTTGGCTTCAGAAAAAATTGGAAGGAGACCTTGGTAGTTGTCACCGCGGCAGGATACTTGCACGCACTACCGCCAGCTCAATCTGCACAGCAGCAGAGTCAACAGGATGGTGAAGAGGCAAAGACTGAACCTGAGTTAAGCGTGTATCTCCCTGACTGCATGATTGGCCCTTTGATGATGAATGAAAAGGAGCCAGAGGAGTTTGTAGTTCAGGAAAAAACGGCTGGCTTGTTTGGTGGAGAAAGAAGGCATAAGGTATGTGGTGTGATTATATTTACCGGGCCTTGCTCCTTCCCCAGCCATCGACTAAACCATATCCCCCTGCAGTTCAAAGGCGCTAACATGGACCAATCGGCGATGTGGTGGGGTTACCTTTCTGAACGCGTTCGAACAACGCGAAACCGTGTGGATATGCATCCTACATCACCTTCGCCCCAGATTCCATCTAGTACCGCGAGGCGAGCATCTCTGGACGTCAACCCTGCTGCAAGGCAATCTACCAGCGGCGGCATAGCCGTAGATCCTTTGGCAGGGTCAGCTGTAGCCACTTCAGCCGCCACAGCGTCTACAGCAGCTCGGCCAAAACGAGATCCACTTGGGGTTGGTACGGCCAAATCGATCTCAAAGCCGGTACGGCTGTCAGCCCAACCTCAGCCCGTTCAACCTACACACGCTGTAACAGCGGTGGCAGCAGAAAGTGCTCTCCAAAACACATCTGGAGATCAAATCAAGACATCTTCCGACGACGACGACGACACACCACTTGGCCTCTCTATCAAAATCCCATCACAAGAACAGAAACACGACGAACCCGCGCCTTCTGTTCAGTTCCAAACTGAATCCGCAAAACTTAAGCTGTCCCTTACTGAGCAAATGGAGAAGGCTCTATCCAGTGCTGTGAAGGAGGAAGATGACCTATCCAGCCCAGCACATACCTTTGGAGCGGACCCATGGGGGAACCCCACAGACTTGTGGGGAAGCAGTGCTTCACTGGCTGATTCGTTTGCAGAGTCAGCAGGTAACGCTAGCCTTTCTAGTGCAATGGCTAGAGCTGCGAGATTGGGTGAATTAGAGGATGAGGATCTTGGCGGCTCTGCGTGGGCATAGTTTGAAGTTAGAATAGCGGATAGCATATTTTTGTAGCGATTTGATTCTTGGGCTTTATAATTTTCCATGTATTTATTTTCTTGCTCTACATTGTACATCCTTCTGCATGTGCCAAGATGCCTCACCGGCTCATGAGACGGCACAACACCTTGCTGAGATCGTCTTTCCGTACTCGTCAATTGCGATATGCGTCTTTAGAAACTCATAACGCAGGGAAATTTATCCTCATATGCAAACTGAGCACTTGAGCACTTTGATTATTCATTCTCGACATGAAGTCGATGCACGGCAACCCTAAAGTGATATTCCTTGCTTTGCGCCAGACCATATGTTCTGTTACCAGAACCACGTCCTTTGCAAACAAATGCGCAGCAAGAGGGAATGCACACTCCGCGCTTCACCAGGCGAAAAGAGTTCGTCGACGAGAAACCATCGTCAAATGCGCAGCCACACGTGAAAGCATATCCATGCTTTACGAAAACCAGGCGCGCTTCAGTTAAACGCGCAGCAACTCTATTCCGCCAACAGTCCCGCATCTGGAACCATCAGGGAGACGTACCTCAAATAATAGCCAAAAAAATTGGCGATGGCAACATCACGACCTAGATGCTCAAGTGAGAGTTCTCTGACGCCGATGGTATACGCACCTTGCAATGAGAGAAAAGGAATTCTCGGCATGGAAACGTCATGCCTGTCGGTTTCCGCACAGTGACAACAGTGAGTTGCAAAGGGAAAACCTACGACCTAATTGACCTCACGGCAGAGAGAGTTTTACACACATACCTTGCGCTCTGTCCAGTGCGTTGAAAAGGGGAAACATACGACCTAATTGACCTCAGGCCCCAAGATTTACACACATACCTTGCGCGTTGTCCCCATCTTGCATCAAGTACGCTTCCGAAGTTCCCGGCAAACGTATCTAATATAAATATCATCGCATGGACAATCGCCGAATCATACCGTAACAACAGATTGCAAGCTGGGGGGAGAGATGTGACGACCCGCTTTTATGCTGTTACGCTCCTCGGAATTCTTCGGATGAAGAATCCGTCCCTGAAAGTCGTTCACCTGGAAACTCCCGACTCTTTCCAAAGAACACGCGGCGGTCCAGGGCAAAAGGGGGGAAAGCCATGGGTTCACGTCGCGTCCATGGAAGAGGGGTCAAGCACGCGAGTGGAATACGGCTTAGCAAATACTGACTCATCGACAGCTGGACAGACACGCTGCTTTCGGCCAATCTTGATTCCATTTCACTCCAAAACATGTCGCCCACGATAGTTCTCGCCTTTACAGAAAACAAGCACACCAAGAGCGGTTGGGCGGGTTTCTCAGAATACGCAAAGTATGGCTTGACAGATCCACAATTTGGAGTCTTGAGCTACAGTGGTGACCAGTGTGCCTGGCTGATGGCGCGTTCTTACAGAATCCAAGGCTACGATGTCCACATTCTCAACCTGGACGAAAGCTCTCATGATGCTAGTGCAGATATTGTAATTCACAAATTGACGAATATATTGGATCGAGCGGAAGATGGGGACCCAAAGGCAGTCGAACAGGTCCAAAAGTTTGAGGTGGCCAGTCAAAGCATGTCAAATGGAGATATTTGCTAGCATTCTTAACCTTTTGATGAACAGTCGTTCGTAGCAAACACACCTGTTCTCGACCCTCTACCGGCAGTACGCCGGCTATTGAAAAGGGAGCGTACCATGGTTCTTTTGCAGGACATCATCCAAAAAACCCGAAAAGAGAATGGTCTGTGCCTCACATGATTAGGGGAAAAATAGCAGCTCTGAAGCTGAACTGCTATTCGCGATCTTGTCAGTGACGTTGTTTCATATTGCACCTTTTGCGGTTTTGTCCAGGGCGGAACTTTTGTCGCAAAAGTATGTGAATCTGGTCAAGTTCCCTGCAGGTATGTACTGGGTGTCTCCTGGTATTCTTTTTGGATTTGTTTTTGGGCAGACATTCATGCAACCTAGTCATAAAGCATGTGACTGCCGCTTCCTCCCAAGCCGCGCATCAGGTCCTGCAAACTCGTTTACTGATGGGGAGAAAGTTGCATCCTGATATTCCGTGAATTAGATGGCCATTGTACCATCTTCTCAACAGTTGAATACCGCGTTGACGGAATTAGCCGGACCTCCAGAGAGTCCGTCGGCAGACAAGTGGTTCCTCCAAGAGTGGGTGAACCATGACGGGGTAATATTCAAAGTGTTTGTTGTTGGAGATCACGTACATACCGTTGTGCGTCCATCGTTGCAAAACATCACATCGGGCCACGGTCTGTACCAATGTGCACGGAAACCTCTATAGCAAAGGGCGAAGAAGCTAAATACCTTGGCGCACAGGCATATTCCATTTCGATTCGCAGAAAATTCCAAAGTCCTTTGCTGAAGATTCTGCTTCTCACTCCAATTCTAATCTCCCAACCTTTGCGACTAGACTCTCATCCGATGCACGAAAAGCAAAGGAACTTGAACTGGATACAGGCCGTGCACACGAGATTGCGCGAGTATTAGCAAAAGAGTTGCAGCTTACCCTGTTTGGATTCGATCTGATTGTCGAAAGTGGAACTGGGCAACACTTTGTAATCGACATCAATTACTGTAAGTTGCACTATCTCGCTTTGTTCGCTCATTGTTTCTCATTCTCATCTAACTTCCAAATTCATTCAGGTCCAGGTAATACAGGTTGCGGTAGTTTCTGGACCAAAACATTCACCGTTCTTTTTGCGAAGGGTATGACGGCGTTCCAAATTTCCACGCGAAGGTACTCCATGTTATCCAGCAAAAGATTCAAAAGGACAGCAAGAGCGCACGCAGGGTTTAGGAAGTATAATAGAAGTCCTTTACATCACTCAATAGCGGAATTAAAGAGACGTGCAGCTCTGCAACAATGTGGAAGAAGATATCGCGACTTATAATAAGTTGGGACATAGTCCTCTCTTACCTTTATAGCTTCCAATGCTAGCGGTAGGGCCGCATGGAAGTGGTTATATCCAGCTGCGCAGTCAATGAACACTTGCGTCAGCAGTGAGCATTTCCCATGGCAGCAGGCTCATCTTGGCCACCATGTCATCACAAATGGTCGGCGAGCCAAGCTCTAGTCCAATAGTCATTTAGGACGAGTATGTCACTCGGCCATCAAGTAATACCATTCCTCTCAATGCTAGCAGGTTATTTGCAGTCGCGGAAGAGATCACTTTCCAAAGCACGCACGCACGATTCGACTCGGCGTTCCTGCTCCAGCGATGAATCCACTCGCGCCATGTTTGCGTTCCTCGAGGTGTTCCTTGCCCGTGGACCTGCTCAACCATCATCTGGTTCCCACCTAGCAAAAGTGAGCAAGTGAGTTACGTATTGGGTACGAGAACCTTCACCTGGTCTTTATAACATGCGCTCAAGTACGTGCTTCCGCAACGTTCCATGTTCTCCTTTTTAGTGTGAGCGCGTGCAAGAGGGGGTAAAGCATCGTGCGGATGCCCCTTTGAGAAGGAAGGAAGGAGAAAACCCTGGGTGCGCAGCAAAAGACATGGAAATGTTCCGTCCAAACGCGCTCTCTTCCAGAAGCAACCTCCTGCGCGTTTTACTCCTTTCACGCTCTCCTTCCGCGGCGCCCAACGCTTAATAATAAAAGCACGAGCCAATTCACCCTTGAGGCTTCCCCTTCAACACGGGACGTTGCGGAATGACCTACTCAGGGGCCTTCCTTCCGACTTCTGCGGCGCAAGCTGTATCTGACGAGGGACTGTCTAGCAAATTGTTCTCACGATCGGGCCCATCTCCACACCCTACTAGCGGAGCTGCTTCCCAAAAAGGCCTACTTTCAGTCTCCTTACCGGACTCTAGCAGTCAAGTCAATACTTTGATAGACAATTACAATGTAGATACGGATACCTCATCGCCACCATTTTTACGTGGGAATTTTACCCAGGCATCACAGTTTGAGAGTTATGGCGTGTCGCAGCTGGAGGGCGAAGCCAATACCAGCGTAAGAGGGGATAATAGGGATGACGCAGAGTCGCAGAGAAGCGATGTGACCTGCGCTAGCCCCTTTCCGCGGACTGCGGTCTCTCAAAGCGACCCACGCACGCCGAGACCCGGAACGCCTCATCGATCTAGCGCCGCCGTTCCTGTCGCTCCGGTACCAAAGGTAGTTCATAATGGAAGAACTCAACCTACTACCGCTCAATCAGTACAGGTTTGCACCCAAGCCCAGTGTTGACAGTGCCCCATCAGAATAGCAACTTAAATATTTCACTTCTTCCTGGGCATGTCTAGCAGCCCAGAAGAGTGTACAACCTCGGCATGTTTTCCAAGCCGCCTCCTTTTGTTCCATCTATGCCTTCACCCATTGACTCACAGCGGTTATTGTCGCAAAGTAGCGAAACATATCTTCCTGCCACGCCGCTATCGCAAAGTCATCCGCGTCCGACCATCTACACTCAATTCTCACCAGCTCCTGCCCCTACAGGAGCTGAACCCAAAGCGTTTATTATGAAGAAGAATCTAGAAAATTTGATGGGAGAGATGCTCAAGCAAATGAAGCTGGCTTTCGGTCACTTGCAGCAAGTACGTGATAATATTGAAGCCGAGGCCGGGAAAGCCAAAGCGATATTGCAGCCAGAAAATCTGAACCAGGCGTTTGATTGCTTCGGTAATGGAGGCGATTTATGGCATGCTCTATGATTTCTCCGGTTGTCTAATTGGCTATTTTATAAAGTCCAAGTTCATGTACTCCCTTATTTGGACACACTGACAACAAGTGTCGGTGAGGCAATGCAGAAAACGGCTGATGCCACAACTGCCAAGCTCGATAAACTAATTGAGGTGAATTGAGGCGACGAGTTGGTAACCTCATAAGTACAAGCATCGTATACTCATCACCTCAGTCATAGGACCATCAGAAGAGCCAGGAGCAGCAGACGGAGATTCTGGCCCAGCTCAAGGATCTTGCCCAAAAACTGGTCACTGAGCAGCAGACACTGACGGACATCAAGACTGACATACTTCGCCAGGAAAGAGCCGTCAACTTGGAGGCCACAAAGATTCGTGAAAGTCGGCTGAAAAATGATGCTACCTTAGAGTCGATTGTTTTAGCATTGACGGGCCACAAGGCCCTATTGGGCTCGCTAATGAAAACTGCGACCGAGATTCAAGGTCGGCAAGAGACTTTGGACGCGAATAACAAGGAGGGTTGTGAAGCGTTGCGGCAAATGCTCGAGTCCGCGACAACAGGCTCAAAAGAGACCAAGCAGAGGACGAATTTGGACGGTGAGAATGGTGTCACTAGTCTAGCGTCTTCAACCTGGCGATCAGGAGCGCAGCAAACACATTATGCAGTGCCTCCTCATTGGGCAGCAAGTAGCGCCATTCTCCCTGCCTTTAACATCGCGCAATCAGATTATGCGAGAGGTAGGCTAGTTGGTCGGTTCCATCGCGAATTTTGATTAGCATCTTACCAAGATCGGCAGTAGCGTGCAATGTTGCTCCTTGGGGCAATCATCAAGTGAAAATAGAGGAATCATCTTCACTGGGGATGTTGTATATGCAAGGCGGTCCAGGATACCAAAATCTATATAGATTGCACGTGCCGCCGGCTTCCGGGACTGTTTCTCACACACCCGCGGTCTACCCGGCACAATATAGTCCCTCAGCGTCTAAAGAACATTCTTGCTCTGCGTCAGGTACAGATACTGGTAGTGCCAAGAGTACGGGGTGGTCTAATGGTGCGCAGTCTTCGCGCGCTGCCCAATCCGAGGTTCCATTAAACGCGACAGCGCCTCCCAGCGCGAAAGGTTTCGAGCTTGAACTCGAGGACGAAAGGTACGTCAATAATGTGAGTTTGAGTTTGTGCGATTCATGCTTATGTGGCAGATGGGACGACATATGTATCCGCTCGGGTTTGCATGCCCGAGCTGCAGCTCATGGTCGGGAGACCACCAAATTCTCTCGACTGACGCTCAAAAAACCGCCGCCGGCTACTACAATTGAACAGGATGTTCCTGACGTAATTGTGGTGGAAGCTTTCGAAGATTCCTCATCAAAGGAGAGATTACCAGTAACGGCAGCGAGACAGCAAGTGGAACCCCATCATGAGGGTCCAATAGAGAACGGGTTTATGCAAGCCAATTCCCCCTTTCCCATACCAGATGGTCGAATGACACGGGTATAATGCATCTTTTGGAACCATCCTTTTCACGTGCCATTCACACGCGTTCTTTTCAGCTGCAAAAACGGAAACTTGAAGCCATACTGACACCAGATGGACCTATTAATGAGGATATAGTGATAGTAAGCAGTGCAACACCAGAACCTGCTGCTCTCAAGCGGCGGCGGGCACGAGCGGTGAAAAAGGACTTATCAGATTAAGATGATTTGTGTTGATTTGACCTGTTTATAACCTATTACTGTGAGACCTAATTCTCTATCAGACGGTTTTGCTATTTGTTACATGTCGCGTGCCTATCTATTCTGCATTTTAAATATAAACAATATGAACACTTGTCTTAAGGATTATCCAACAAGAATCTTCAGCCCATCCGCCGACTGCAAGTTCGTTCCTTCTTGTACAACGCCTATTTCCTTCATACTCCCTTCCTGATTCGCCTGTCCCAGCAAGGCGGCAAACAGCTCGTCCACCATCTCTTCATGCCAGGTTCCTTTCGGTTCGGGAGCCATAAAATTTTGAAGTTTTTCATGTACGTGATAGCGTATTTTTCGGCCTTTGGAGGCTTTCGTATCAACCTTCTTCTTCTTCTTTTGCTTCTGTTGCAGTTGCTTCAGTTGGGCGAATTTCATGCCAAGAAGAACAGGATCGTCTGTTATACATTGAGGAGATCGAATGAGCAATAATGCCAAATTTGGAATAAGAAGTCAGACACGCACCTGTGTCCGCCATCCTAGTCTCAATCAACTCCTTTAGCAATTGTTGATAATAATCTCCATCGTCAAAGATTTCCGCATCGTGATTTGACAAATGTGCGTCACCCTTTCCTTCACTGACTTCCTTTTCTTGGTCCTCTGCTTCGCTCTTTTCAGTTTCCCCCAAGCAGCGATAATCTGATCTCCTCAACTGAGTTCGCTTAATCAATCGATCCTTATCTCCCAGAATCTGTTTGATCTGGCTCAAAGTACTCTGGTTGATGGCTTTGAACTTTTTCTGGAGGGGTATCCCACTTGCTAATTGCACTTTATTGTTCCACTTGTCAATAGTTTTATCGCGGTAATCCTTGAACTCTCTATCGAGCGGTTCAATGTCTTGCCATATTGACTGGATAAGTACGGAGGGGTTGGTATGATCTCGTTTTCGCTTTCGCGGATTGGAAGCGGATTTAACAACTTCTGCAACATGTTCATTGTTGGCGATCAAGGCGGTTCGGAGGTCTAGAAGCTCGTCGACGAGGGTGACGAGCTCCTGGGATGCTGTGGCAATGCCATCTAGCACAGCAGTTTGTGATGTCTTGTCGGCGAGGAAGTCTTGGTAGACGTCAGGTTTTGGAAATCGGTTGGCGACAGCGACTGCTCGCTGAATGCGGATTCGGCCGTCAAGGAGCGAGTCCCATAGCGACTGTCAGGAAGAAGGTCAAAGTTCAGACATTTGCGAGCAGGGTATATACAGATAATGTTGCATACTCACAATCTGAGCTCGGACGTGTTGTCCCTTCTCTACATCGGCTTTTGCGGAGACCGACATGCTCTTGATAAGCTTTTTCTCTTCCACCTCCAGCTGTTCTAGCTCTTTTGCCAAGCGAGCCTCGGCCACGCCATTACTTTTGTCATCCTCTTCTTCTCCCTCTTCGTCCTCGTCCGTGTCATGACTATCGCTCTCGTCATATTGCATATCCTCCTCTTCGCCGTCCTCCTCATCCTCAGAAGGCTTTGCGATATCCATCGCATCCAATTCGGAACCTTCCTCGTCGCCTTCACTATCAAACTCTCCATCCACATCTTGGCTATCTAAAAACTCGCTCTCGTCTTCCTCTTCTTCCTCCTCTTCCTCGAACGCCTTCTTACGCGATACCTTACGTCCGGCGTACTTTGGATCTTCCAAGTCAATCCCTAATTGATTTCTTATCTTTCCCCGTCTGTGCAAAGGATGTGGTTAATTAGGAACAGCGGCATGTGTCCTCAGAACGCCATACTAACCCAACCGCGACGTAGTGCTCCGTTGCTGTTGCATCCTCGCCCTCGGCCTCACTATTTGACTCTGCCCCCAGTCCGATAGCATCTGCACTTGCCTTCTCCGGGTCAAAGTCGACCGGAGTTGTACTAGATATTTCATCAAGAAGACTTTCAAGCAGCGTCATCTTTAGCAGTTTTCAATATCTCAAGATCCCACCCCAAATCCAACTCGAACAAATCCAAAAAGAATTCAGTCACATGACAACATCATGTGATAAAGATGGCACAGTCATGATTGGCGGTTGTTGGTGTTGTTGCTTCAAAAAAAAGGTTTCGTCGAGTTGTCTCGAAGGCGGAAAGTCTTTTTTCAAAAGGAAAACCAACGCGGTTGTTGAACGTTCGTTCCTTTTCAACTTTCTTTTTCATCCCGGCCTCTGTCTCGACACCCTCCAAATGTGAGTTCTGTGGTGGAATTAGTGGAGGAGCCGCTTGCGTTTTTCATGTCACGCTGACCAACTACCTCACACTCGTGCAGAATTCAACAACAATGGCTGACGAAGATCACCACGAAGAGTTCGAGCACGCCGGGTCTGGGGCTTCCCTGACCTACCCTATGCAGGTACCGTCCCTTGCTAACGTGCTGATCTGCATCCAAACTTGAGTTGGTGACTTACTTTTGCGCCGTTGCAAACCAGTGCTCTGCCCTGCGTAAGAACGGTCACGTTGTGATCAAAGGTCGCCCTTGCAAGATTGTTGACATGTCGACCTCCAAGACCGGCAAGCACGGTCACGCCAAGGTAAATGTTACATGTTGAAACCGAAACAGGGACGTTGTCTCACCTGGTACTCTTTCCATTAGGTCCACCTGGTTGCCATTGACATCTTCACTGGCAAGAAGCTTGAGGACATCTCCCCCTCTACCCACAACATGGACGTCCCCAATGTCACCAGGACTGAGTTGCCCCTCTTGGACATTGACGATGGCTTCTTGTCCTTGATGAACGCTGATGGTAGCACCAAGGACGATGTGAAGCTTCCCGAGGGAGAGGTTGGCGAGAAGATGCAGGCGGAGTTCCACGATGGCAAGGAGCTCTTGGTGACCGTTGTTGCCGCTATGGGTGAAGAGCACGCGTTGTCTTTCAAGGAAGCCCCCAAGGGTGAGTACTCTAGACATCATTCAGATCAGCATGTAGGATACAGATACTGATCCTACTTTGTAGGCAACTAAGTGTTGAGTTCTGCCCACACGCCAGCTTTGAGGCTCGAGAAAGCGAATAGTTTCCTCCCTGTACCATAGTAGAGGCTTGTTAGTTTACTGTCCTTGATTCCTTGAGCAAGCTGCAAAACACGCCATTTGATTGTTTTGAATATATACATACACTACCAAGTATTGCTTTCCGCTTGTCTTGGGGTTTCTATGATGCAGACCGACAAAATGGGCACCTCTAACAAGATTACCTATGTACTGAACGGCCTTTTGCATATGATGGTTGTTCTACATAGTGGCGACGACATAACATTGTCGTGACCATTTGCTCATCTTCCAATGGGGCGGCGTTCCTCGTTACGAGTGTGGCTGTCAAATACCCCCCTTAGAATGTATTGAAAAGTAGCAGTATCGATGATTTTGCTTTTACTGCCTAATGTCTATCATTTGAGTATCTAACACCGCATCACTAAGATGTAAAACTTGTTTTCACATCCGTGTTCTCGCGCACACGGCTCATGACCGTACAGACGACTATGGCCCTGATGACGCCTACTGCCTCCCAGGAGATGAACCATCACCACCGGTACTTGATCTGATATCTACACAATCTACAGCTTGGATATACAGCTGGATCTACAGCTTGGAAGCCTTTATAAACTTCATATGTGTTCCACTTGCAATTATTTTCCCGCTATCCTTGGCACATATCACAGTTTTGGTGAACGCAAGGGTCCCTCCGGTCTTCACAATATCGGCAGATACAAGTACAACATCGCCTTCTCTAGCACTAGAGAGATATTGCGTGCTGAGATCCACGCTTGCTCCGGCATCTTTTCCCGCAGAAATTAAGGCCAACGATGTACAAAAGTCTACCATCTTTGACCAATCATGTAAGCAATACCTAACGTTGAAGACCAAAGCACAAATGCTTACCAGAGCTATAGCTGCCCCATGAAGTGCACCAAAGTGGTTCAAAAGGTCCTTTGTAACGGTCACTTCAAATACAAGTTGGCCAGGACGTGCTTGAACCACCTTGAGTTTTCGAATTGTTTCAGTACCGTATCTCTCAGAGTCTCCACTTGAAAGTGTTGAGATGACATCTTGAATGCGGCCAACAAGTTCTACGTCGGATTCCGGCATAATGTCTTCGGCATTGCCAACAACAAACCGACAACGTCGATCAAGTAAGCTCGGGTTGACTGTGCCACCTGTGCCACTGGACGCTTGTCGTCCTCAGATCTGAAGCGCCTGCAGCGCGCAGCGCTCTCCGTGCACCCACAACCATGAGATTGTCTCTTCGTATTGCTATCCTTGTAGCTTTCATAGTACTGCTACTGGATATCCCATCGGTGCTAGCGGGGTCTGACTACTATGGGGTCCTTGGGGTGGATAGAAGCGCGACAAAGGTGAGTGATCTCTTGAAATTCCCCGACCACATGACGATTCTCATGATGCCCATCAAAAACAGCGTCAAATAAAAAAAGCATACAAGGAACTATCTAAAAAGTATCACCCAGACAAGAATCCTGGAGATAAGGATGCCGAGGCCAAATTTGTCGAACTAGCGCAAGGTACGAGGCAACTTTTACCGGATGCTTGCAAGCGCTTTATTCACATTGTGTACAATCACACTTGTCAGCATATGAGGTGTTGGCAGACGATGAGAAGAGACGAATATATGATCAATACGGAGAGGAAGGTCTCAAAGGAGGAGGTCATCAACAGTTCCACAATCCATTTGATATCTTTGCTCAGTATGTCGTCGTTCCGCAACGCTCTAACTCGAGTGACTCTTCGAATACAATTATAACGCTTTATATCCACAATGATAGATTTGCCGGATTTGGTGGAGGATTTGGTTTTGGGCACCGTGAGTGGAAATATTATGCATTGTAACCCACTTGTCACATCCGCTCAAAGCCTCTGAGCAGAGCATGCACAGCAGCGAAAGGGCCCAGAGGTAGCCATGAACTTGGAGGTGACCCTTGAGGAGCTGTTCTTGGGTACTACGATTGAGGTATGAAGGATATACTTGGGCTACGGGGAACATGGACTAACGATGACCAATTGCCTTTGTACAGGTTGAGATCAACAAACAAATCATCTGCCCAACTTGTCGGGGGTTGGGCGCGAAGCGTGCAGAAGATGTGGTGAAATGTACTGCCTGCAACGGGGCTGGTATCAGGATTGTGCGACAAATGTTGGGCCCGGGAATGTATCAGCAGATGCAAACGACGTAAGGACGGATCGACGATGCGTTGTCATGCGCTAGCAAGCTTTACTTAACGATATCTCTTTGTAACCAGATGTGATGCTTGTGGCGGTCGGGGTAAACTTGTAAAGAGCAAGTGTCCCGCATGCGAAGGGAACAAAGTAAAACGTGGGAGTCATCAGCTGACAGTAACTATCGAGAGGGGCATGTACGATGGGCAGCGAATCGTCATGGACCGAGAAGCAGACGAATCTCCTGACATGACCCCTGGTGACTTGATCTTCACCTTGAGTACACTGCCCCATCCAACGTTTACACGAAAGGGTGACAATCTGTACGTCAAGGAAGTCATCACATTAAAAGAAGCCCTTCTGGGCTTTGAGAAGAAACTAAAGCATTTAGATGGAAATGAGATCACGATACGAAGGGAGGGAATAACACAACCTGGTAGGCACAACACGTAATTATTGTTTCATGTCTCGCGAAGCTGACCCTTTGGGCAACCAGGATTTGTGCAAACGATCAAAGGCCAAGGAATGCCAACGCATGAATTCCCGAGCGAACGAGGATTCCTATACGTCGAGTATGGGGTAGTGTTGCCAGAGAAATTAACGGAGGCGCAGATCAGTCGTGAGTAGTTTTTTGATATGATGGTCTCTCATCACAATGATTCAGTGTCTTTGCTCTGTAGAGATCAGCAAGCTTTTCGACTCGTAGATTCTCTTGAGTTTCCCTGCGACACTTGTACACCACCCTCATACAGACATTCCTGGCGACAGCCCCTTCCCATCATATCTCAGAGACCTCTCCTTTTAATAAAATATATTTTTACATTTCAAGTATCTACAACATAATATGGACCGTCTGTCTTTCGAGCGCTCTTCAATAGGGCCCGCCCAGATGGTTCGTCCGTTTCCTTCTGTATCACATCTTCACGCCATTGAGTCCTTGTCGCGTTGTAATCTCTGACGAGCGAAACAAGTGGTTCCACGCCCTGGGTATCAACACTACGAATAGGATCGACCATAGCACAGAGGTCATTGATGTCGTGTGTGTACTTTTCCAGGTCGTCAGGCTTAATATTCAAACCCGCCAAGCGGGCCAAGTGAGCAACTTCGGTTTTGGTAAATATTGGCGGTTTGTTAATAGTAGATGATTTCAGAAATTCTCGCGGTGACCACGAAGGTGTCCTTGGCTATCCGAGCATATATGGTAGATATCAGCTCGCCGTCGTCCATTACTGTGAACCCTACAGCCTACTTACAATCGCAGGATGCAGGGCCTGCTGCGTCTTTGTGGACTCAGTACGTTGCAAAGGTAACCGAAATATTATCCTCTCTGCTCTGAGTCTGCAAAAGCGGCATACTTGTGATGGAGATGGTCGAAGAACCATGGCTTTCTTGGGGCGCCGAATTGCAGCAGAGAGCCTGGAAACTTGAAGATGCCCTAGTTAAGATCACGTGCTGAAGTTGCTACGCCTGTGCCATCCATTCCGTTGTCAAGCGAGGACCCTTAGTCATCTCGCCAACAAAGATCAGCAAGCTCATTGGAACACACAAATGTATAATAACCATGACTGGTCCCCCGCTATCTTCTTCTAAAAGGTTATGCCTTCATTGGCCACATTTGATGAAAGAGCTGCTGCCAGCCCTATGCCAAAGACCACAATACGGGTGGCGAACGACACGCACCTATAGCTCGCGCTCGGCCAAAGCAACTGTTTCCAAGCGCCGACCGTCCAAACCCACTGCTTCACCACCGCTCTTATCCGAAGACTTTTCACAACAAGAACAGCAATTTCGTACCGAATTCAACCATACTCAAAAGATTTACTGGTATCCGACACACCAGAGTCGTGCTCTTCGACAGCTTCAAAATGGAATACACCAGATAGACGTCGTAGTAGAGGTTCGAGATGCCCGAATACCGCTGACCAGCAAGAACCCAAAGTTTGATGAAATATTGGGCAGACGACCTAGACTGATCGTTTACAATAAGGCGGATTTGGCTAATCCTAATATGACAAAGGTAGTAGATCTGATAATGGCCGTCGAGTAGATCGTCGGGTCTGATGGGATAACTGAATGTGGCCTTATAGCCTATCGTAGACGCTTTTCGCCGACACGGCCGAGACCAAGTGGTATTTACGCAAGCGGACAAGGGGCTGCATGTCAAGCGGATTTTGGAGTGGGCATTAGGTGAGACGCAAAGAAGGAATCTATTTAATTGTAGTGAATGATTTCTTACGTTATGGTCGATCAAGAGAAATATAGGCAGAGTCCCGATCGATATCCGTTCCTATCAATGGTTGTTGTTGGCCTGCCCAATGTGGGCAAATCTTCCTTGATCAATGCACTCCGACGCGTGGGGGTAAAAAAAGGTCAGCAGTGGGCATCACTAAAATGGGCATATCATTAAGGGTGCTGATGGGTGATATAAATATAGGGAAAGTAAGCGCTGTTGGTCCACAGGCAGGTGTAACACAAACCATCCAGACGAGGGTCAAAATATACGACAACCCCCCAATCTACCTAGTCGACACTCCGGGGATATTTGATCCACACTTTACACATCCAATAGAAGGATTAAAGATAGCCTTGACCGGTATGCTGATGATTCTTACTACTTGTTCCATGCCCTTACCTACACTGTTTGCTTGTCCGAAGGTGCAACGAAAGATCGACTTACGGAGGAGGAGAACGTTGCGGACTATCTCCTGTTTCGGCTAAACAACTCTACACACAGAGAAAAGTGAGAATGCACCCGCATTCATTTGATGTATATGTTGTGTTAACCTGGTCCTTCTTGGACGCTGTTCACCAGATACCCGGCCATTCTTGGCCTTCCTGGTCCCTCTGATGATATTGCAAAGGTTCTCTCGCATATAGCGCGTCGAAACAAATTTAATCTTTCTGGTGCTTCGAATCGTGGAAGCCATCCCGATGCAGGTCATGTAGATTTACAAGGCTTTGCGCTGGCATTCGATGAAGAGGAATTAGCGGAATTTGGTCCCAAGAAGAATGGCACGGACCTGGACATCCAGCGGGCCGCAAAATATATGATAGGACTCTTTCGCGACGGAGCTTTTGGGCCTATGACCCTTGACGATTGTACACCCACAACACTAGATGACTGGTTAAAGGGTAGCTCTGCGGAGAGCGGCGTGGAGGCGCAATTGGAGGGTAGCGGGAGCCGATAGTGGAAGCGCATGTACTACTAATGTCGATGTGGTCAATTGATAATCATCCTCACCACGTATCGCATGCATACTATCACGCAGAGCAAGCACATTTAACATCTCAACATTTCAAGTTCTATTTACATTAGGATTGCGATAGATTATACGGGGTATATCGAAAGAGCCATTCTTCTTCAACCCAGACCTCCCCAGGGTCCACGAATGCGCCTGGCCAGTTGGATATCTTTCTGCATGACTGTAACACGCTTGGCGTGAATTGCGCACAAATTACTAGATGAACGCAATATTGGATCGATCAATCTGTATCAGTACAAGCCGGGCATTAAGTTCCAGGCAGCACCTGTTCAACTTACGCATCTTCAAATAAGTGAACCATGAAAGCCTCAGCGGCTTCCTGCAAAGCGAGAATAGCAGTAGCCTGCCAACGAGGTGGTTGACCTCCCGAATACTCCATGGTCGACAAGTCAGCAGAAACTTCTTTCACAAGACGAGCAAAGGGAAGCTTGCGAAGGAGCAACTCGGTAGATTTTTGATATTTCCTGATTTCACGAAGGGCAACGGTTCCCGGACGATAGCGATGGGGTCTGGGTGGAGGTGGCGGTGCTGTAAAGGGTGAAAAGAAGGTCCAGTGAGTTGAAAACTTCAAACGCTGGTAGCCGAGTGAATCAACTCACCCGTCCGTGAACTGGATTTTTTCGCCAATTTTCCCTTGGTCGCGGGAGTCCGTTTTACCGGAGCTTTGCTCCGAGTAGGAGTTTTGACGGGAGTCGTGCGAACCATCTAACATGTACTTTAGCAACTCTGGTCGACGGACGCTTGTCGATGTTAGATCAGATCTGACAACGCACCGTCGCGATCTACGCGTTTTGTCGCACACCAATGGGACCGTCTGTAGCCGCAAAGCGATAGACTTTTGGGCAAGACCGCAGATGGCAGACGTTACTGGACAACAGGGAGCTGTGATTTGACCCAGTTGGTGTGAGTGCGACAAGGAGTGAAATGTCCGTTCGCTGAACAGTAATTTGATCTGGATTTGGCAAACGCGTCCAACTGTTATATGATGACACATTGCACGGCGGGAGCATTTCCCCCATTTCTCCATCATAACCATCTTGTTCTTCTTGTGAAAGGTCATTATGCCAGGTACAGTGGATATACATGTAAAGACGCCCTCCATGCGTTCTTTGGCGCCTGGATGATAGCGTTCTCATTTTTACATGAATAGTCGACACCACGCATCCGGACAAAGTAGTTGTGAAGCACGGCGACAGTACTGCCGAAATCTATTACTATGGAGCAACTTTGACCAGCTGGAAGCCCAATGGATTGGAAAGAATCTTTGTGAGGTATCGACTCTGGACGAGACTTGCATCTGTGCTATGATGGTAGTTCGTAATTTCACTACTAACTGTACGGGATTGGTAGCAAGCAGGCCATTTTGAACGGAACAAAGGCAATTCGTGGTGGAATGTGCGTCTTGACGATGGCCTATCCTTCTGTATGACTGAGATGTGTGAAGAGTTGCTGACATGTCAAAATTCACAGTCCGCTAGTGTTCCCCCATTTTGGTACCATTCCTACATCGAAGCTTCCTCAGCATGGGTTCGCTCGTAATTCGCGGTATGTGCGCTCCTCTCTTCTCTTATCACGTCAATATTGGACTTTCTTTATTGAAATGACATTCACGTAGATGGGACTGGGTAGGAATCACCACTGATAATGCCTCAGAAACCACCGTGGAGCTGGGTAAGCAGGCCCTCACATGGGTCCGACTGGCTCCGACTGGGTCCGCTAATATTTTTCGACTTTCCTGATAGCTCTGAAACCGGACAATGTGCCTGCGAACCTGCGCGAATTGTGGCCTCATGGTAAGTTGGTCGGAGCACATTGCGCGTGATTTCGACTCCAACCTAATTTCTGGACTAGACTTTCGGCTTACGTACACCGTGACGCTCACCTCCAACACCCTGCGAACGGGCCTTGCCATCAAAAACCCTTCCAGCACCAGTTGGGATTTCACGACACTACTTCACACGTACTTCAAAGTGCAAGAAATTGCCACTGCAGCTGTCGTGGGATTGAATGGTTACCCGTACGTCGATAAGGTCGCCAATGGTGCTCAGGCGCAGGAAACGCGTGAACGCGTGACTATCGCTGGCGAAGTTGACAGAGTATATGAAGGAGTCAAGAATGATGCCATTACATTGCAAGGAACTGCCATTGGTGCAGGTATTGTTCTTCATAAAAGTAATTTTCCCGACGTGGGTAAGTGTCAGAATATGCTGAAGGCATCAATCGGGGAAAAAGATTTAACAGTTCTCGCCTCTACAAGTTGTTTGGAACCCGTGGGTCGACAAGGCAAAGAGTATGGCCGACTTTGGCGACGAGGAGGTAGGAACAGTACAATCCAACCAGGGAGAAATTCTTATACTAATGTTTTTGTCACAGTATCATAACATGATCTGTGTGGAGGTATATTGAAGAGCAGTAGTATCTTCTTCCTCTGATATAGCTGACCGTCGTACATTATTTTGGAAGGTCGGCTCCGTTGCGGCGATGATCAAGCTTGGGCCAGGTGATACCTGGGAAGGCTCTCAGACGCTGGTTGCCGTTTAAGGTCGCCCGGCGTCAGTCACTCGCGCCAAGAGATTGTTGTAGTCCTCCACATAGTAAATAGTCACGTTGCCCATCGTATGTAGAGACGTTGTTGTAGAAAGCTACGACTCACGTAGTGCATGTCATTGTTGGTTGTCCCATTTGACGTCTTCCTACACCGGTCACCATGGTTTTGGGTATCAGTTTGTAATCAATGTACAGCCGACTGCCACAAAATTAACTTCCGTTTGGCTCTAGGATATGCCATGGTGATGCATAATGAGAACCGGTTCGTCCATTTTGACCAAACCCATCCTCGTGTGTCGGAGGGTCATTCCACCAGATGTCCCCGGATGGTTCCGGAAACCGCCCACCATCCAGCAAAGATTGAGCGTGGAATGCGACAAGTTGCCGTCTGAAGGCATTACCGGCGCGTATGGCATGCTTCAGTATCCTGTGTTTATCATCCGTAGTTAGATGAGTTGTTTCCGCAGTAACATCAAGGGTTTTCAAGACCCGATTTTGATTGTAATCTGGTTCCAGAGTATCTTGATTATTCCGAGCAACTAATATAGCACTTGCGGGATAGCTCCATACCTCGTGGCAATCGCCATATCAACGAGTGTATCCTTCTTCTCACATCCACAAAAGAATCCCATCTACCCCATTTTTGCTGTACCTGCCCATCATATGCACCATCCGGTTCAGGGGAAGGAGTCTTTCTTTTTGGACCCTTCCTGGCTTGGTTAGCCACACCGGTTGGATGGGCGATCAGGCCTGTTGTGCCACCAGCTGCAGCCGGAGGTCTAATTTCATTGGTGCGATCAACTGGAGCAGCTCCTGCTTGCTTTCCCGCAAAGGCGTCGCCATCCGGTGGCATATGCGTATTGGGATCAGTATCCATGTCTTCACTCAAAGCTTGTTCCTCCTCATCTGAATCTTCAATAGCCTCGATATGTACTCCAACCAACCAATCCGATACTCTATTTGGTGTTTCTGTCTTCACTTGGTCTCGGGGGGATTCTTTTATATCCACAGGTGAGGCGTCTCGCAACGCAGAACGCTTCTGGATATACTCCTCCTGAGCTTTCTTCTTCATTGAGGTGACGTCCACTTTGCCCTCTTTGATTTCTTTCCAGCTTAATACTGGGGGCATCACTAGCACTGGTGCTGGGGAGGGCGACAACCTAGGAACTCGATGACGGTTGTATGGACGTATGGACGGGGATACAGACCTCCATTTTCGCTTGCGTCTTGACGTTGATACTTCACTTGAAGCGTCCGTCGCGGTATCTGAAATATTTACTTCCAACTGCGACGCCTCATCTTCTTCGTCGATGGAAATCTTCTTATCCATGCGATAGGGGTTCCCGAACATGTTTCTCTCCCGCTGTCTTGCAACATCGTCATCTTCGAAAGGGTCGCGTAGGCGTTGCTGTTTCGCCATACGGGGAGCATAGTTACCCATCTCAGAAATTGGCAACATGTGAAGGTGATCTGCAAGAGACATTCAGCTCTGGTCACACTACTATCAAAGTGAAGAAAACTCACCTTCATCCTCTTGCGAGGGTCGTTTCTGTTCTCTCTGACCTTGCACAGCATTCATAACAGAAGCCTTTATCTGTTGGAGTTTTGTAGCAAGTTGGTCCCGGGGAATGTCAACAATGTTGGGAATCTGGACGTTCTGAGACTCTGCATGTTGAGGATGGGATCGCTGATAGATCGTACGCGCAGGAATCGGTCAGTTTGAGTGGCGATACACTGGCCCTCGCGCAACCGACGGAGATTCGTGCTCTACTTACCAGTCGAGAAGCGGACCTGCGTTGCTGTACAATTTGTTGTACGGCTAGAGCTTCCGTTTTAGCCTTTGGATTTCGCAGTCAATGTTAAGGACGCACGTAATCCAAAACAAACCATGAAGTATTTGTTACCTTACGAACTGCTTCATGGGAAACGTGCTCAATGCCGACATGATAATCATGAACAACATCCTTTGGCCAGATATGCATCAAATTGATAGTTGCGAAAGCCTTTTTGAGAGGCTGTAGATAATGCATTAGCTCTCTTTCGTCACACCAGGAACGATCCTGCCTTCAACTGACCTCCCGGTAGTATATTGGAACAGAACGAATATAGTCTCCAATGTCACTGACAATGTCACTGATGATTCCACTGGGATTTTGTCGCCTCTTCAACATCACTGATAAGGATGACCGCGAGTGTCAATAATCGCATACTCTATCACCATATCTTCTTTCTTACAAAGTAGTCCGAATAGTTTTGGAAAATCGTATGGCATAATGTACAGGCTCACTGTTCTGCTGCTTCCACTGTACTTCAGCGTCCCAAATGGCTTGCCGAACCCAGGGGTGCTGTCACTATTTTGAACAAACAACTACTTGCTATCAGTGCCATGCCCACTGATTAGTCGGCTGCTAAGTTCCACGCCTACCGTCCAGCTGGGTTGCCCCGGCTGCTGCATCAATTCTCGCACAATAGCGCTCTTCTGATCAATACTAAATCGATCTACTGGAAACCCTTCGGGAATCGGATATACGTCGTCACGCTTTGTAAAGTATATTTTCGGTTGCGCAGACCGAGGTGGCTAAATCGAAAGAGGCTGTCCAACGATCTAATCCGTAGTTTAGGTGAAAGCCAAGCGACTTACGATATTGAAAAGTTTCGATGCGTCGTCGGCTCCGCTGCCAGGAATCCAATAGGACTCGGGGATTGGAAAGTGATGTGTAGACCCTTTGTTCGAGTACACAATCAACTTTTCCTCCGGTGGACCTGGCTGCTCAGGAGTTGATATCCACTTGCACGTGTCTGCAGCAAACCATGTTAGTGATAACAACTGGTAACGTCTATCGTTCGGGGAGAGCAGACCCCATACCAGGATGTTCGACCAGTCGCACGATAACTCCTTCAATGTTGCAAACAGGAGCGTATGGATGGACACCCGGATGCCCATTTGGGCGCATGCAGTTATCGATGCATTGGAGAAGGTACCTAACGTTAGGAATCTGCCACCATTGTCCTACATGGAGGTGAAGTATATATGTATAGATTTTATAGTGCTGATTGTAGCGCAGTAGCTTACCGCCCATATCATTGCTCAGCTTGTTTACTTGTTCCTTATTCGGGCCGACTTCATCGGTCAACCACAATGTGTATAAGCGTTGGTCCCATCTATATGGTTCAGCATACAATTTGCTTCCAGGTGTTCGAAGTCGCGGAATGTTCAGCTTTTCACAAACATCAAACAATTGGAATTTCAGCTTTCATGCAAGGTATCTTTACAAGCGCGGCAAGTGAACCTCACATCGTCCGATACGACCCAACTATCCTCGGACTGTTCCATGAAGCCCGAACCATCCGTGAACCAGAACATTGTGGTCGTCTCCAAGTCCGCAGGATATCGACCCTAAAAACATGGGGCAGGGATCCACCATGAGCGTCCATGTAACGATTCTAATTCGATTGTCCTCAGCACTACATACACGCCCAATGTTATCAAAGCTATTTCTCCTGCGGTAATTGTCCAAATAGTCAAAAGTTCCCGCAAAAGCTGCTCCGGCTGTAGACAAGTCGGTAGCTTTCAGAATTTTCAGCTCCTGCAACAACATCTGATCGTTATCGGTATCAAGAAGGGTCTAAGATGATCGTTTAGTATCATTTTGGATCATGATTTGCTCTGCAGTAACAGGACTATTGACGGACAGCCTCAGACGCTGGCAAGATGACAAGGTACCTTATAATAAGGCTCTTCATAGGCAACCAGCATGTATCTATTGTCTTTGCGGCTAGAAGACGCATGTTCCCACTAATAAAGGCAGCGGACGATGGAGGAGCGAGTAACAGATGAGCTTTTGGACAGTGCAGCAAAGCTTGGAGATCTTGAACGGCTGTCATCCGTTCAGAACCAAATTGCGGACCTTGAAAAAGTGTTCAATGGCGGCCTTTGCACTTTCCAGGAAAGTGAGATTTTCCGAAAATAACCGGTTCATTGACGCACTCGTATCGACAACGAATACGAAAATCATGGTGACGAGGAATCCAGACTCTCCCTCCACCAATTCAAACCTGGAGGCCGACCTCGTCTCGAGTTCTACGACAGCATCACTACCTGTCGCACAGTACAAATCGTAAAGAGTGCGCCGTGAATTCTCTCAACAAAAACGAGTAGATGTCGAGATTGAAAACCGTTATAAAAAAATAAACGCGGTAAAAGCAAGGCCAGTTGGAAAGCCCGATCAATTCCACCGCGCCGGTAATTAATGGGCTAAACGCCCCCCCAAATCCCATTGGAAATTCGTCACCAGCGCTTCGCTCAGCCCCCTTGCATCCGATAACAACTTTTTAGAAAGCATCTCATCTAGCAACGACTTGTCTTTTACCTCGCGCCTTCTCACACAGAACAAGAATTACACCGGGAAGTCACTTCCACCCTCTCCTGTGTAGACAAGCACACCTTTCGGACCTCTTGATCGACGGGGAGGACATATCGCTCCAGACTCTGGTACCAGTGCAAAAACGCGTACACCGTACTCCATCTCCGACAAAGGTTGTGTGCGTGAATACCCGTTGAAACCATGTCAAAGCAACTGGGAAAGAGCCTTCTTCGCTCAGCGTAAGTGAACAGATATGGTTTCGCAGTCGCTGGTACATTCGTAAGGACTCGTGTGGGTGACGTATCGTTGACGGGCTGGTATGACATTGTAGAAAAAACTATACCAAAGGGTATTCGGATATTCAGATCAAAGTCCGGTAAGACATCTCATAACAACGCCGTCTATGATGCGTTCTAACCAACCCATCCTTGTGTATCAGGCAAGCAACATCAAATGATCCGGTTAGTAAACTCACTCATGTCCCCTTCTCCTGCTAAAGTCCCATTGACTCTGACTTGAATTGCAATTGGATGCTAGTGGGGTCCTTCAGGGTCGTTGATGGCGGAGATATCTCAGGCCACGTTCAACCAGTACGTGCATCCATTTGCTATCATTCCATAATAAATGAGTATCCTTGACCCTCTTTTTACCCCAGTCGAGATTTTCTAGAAATTATGGAGATGATTGACAAACGACTTAATGACCACGGAAAGAACTGGAGACATGTATTCAAGGTACGCATTTGCTAAAGGTTACTGGAGGCGGATGATATATGTAACATTATTGCCGTAATAGGCTCTGACACTATTGGACTATCTGCTGCACACCGGTTCTGAGGCAGTCATTGCGTATGCTCGGGAAAATCTTTATGTTATAAAAACATTGAAAGAATTTCAGTACATCGACGACGACGGGAAAGACCAAGGAGCCAATGGTATGCGTCTCATAGGTCATTTTCCGAGTAAATGACTCATGTTTGGTTGCGCTTTTCGACAGTTCGACAAAAAAGTAAAGATATTACAGCCCTGTTAGCTGATGAGTCCCGTTTGCGAGAAGCACGCCAGACGAGAATGGATATGCGTGGCAGAATGACCGCAGGCGATGGGTTTGGCGCTCCGAGTGCAGGGATAAATCAGGGAGGTTCCTATTATAACGAGGACCGTGAATTGCAAAAAGCTCTTGAAGAGAGCAGACGTACAGCCCAACAAGATGAAAGTCGTCGAAAAGCGTTGGACAATGAGTATGGTGTCAAGTGCTCGCTTTGCAACGATTGTCTCGTCACGTTTTTAATCCTAAATATAGGGAGGAAGAACTGCAAAAAGCACTTGAACTGAGCGAAAAGGAAGCTATTGAGAGGCGAATGCGCGAACGGGATCAAGCAATGCAGAACCAGCCAACGGGAGACTCTGCGAAAAAGGACGACATCATCGACTTTTTCGGGGGTCTTGAAGACACTACTCCGACTAATCCTTATGCGCAGCAACAGCAAAGTGGCGGCTACGACCCATTTGCTGGATTTGGCGGTACCGATCCCTTCGCCCAGCAGCAACAGCAATTCCAACAACAATATCTTTTGCAGCAGCAGCAGCAATTGCAATTGCAGCAGCAGTTGGCCCAGCAGCAGCAACAGCAGCAGCTCGCGCAACAACAGTTTATGCAACAACAGTCTAATCCTTTTGGCAGCAATCCATTCGGAGGTGCTGCACCCAACTCAGCTCCGGTTCAGCAACAGCTTACCGGAGACAATAATGCCCTTGCTAGGGGAAGGTAATTACAATGACAAGGACAATAAAAATTGCTTCTACCGACTGCGGAAAGCTAAAGGGTTTTCTCGTAGCGGTCCCATCGACCCGTTTGCAAGTCTCGCAGCAAGTCGCTCAAACACGTAGGTGAAATGACGCTGTATTTGGTCAAACATTTATATTGAACGACACATTATCTACTAGCAATGCTCAAAACCAAGGGGCAAGTGCAGCAGGCGGCCAGTTTAGCCCATTTGGCGGCAACGCGACTAGCAGTGGTGATCCTTTTGCGGCAATGGGAGGATCCAATCTACAGGTGCGTATAGCGGCATAGCCCCTGTTTGCACGAGGCACGTCCTTCATTATTAAGTATTTCGCGTCAGGGCATCGCTGCGCATTCGACTGGAGGCGGATATGGAGGTCAGGGAGTCGGATCTCACTCTACGGGCGGTGGTTTTGGATCTGGAGTTTCTGCGCACAACACTGGTGGCGGTTTCGGAGGCATTGGGGTCGCGTCTCATTCGACCGGCGGCTTTGGTGGTGTAGCATCACACTCTACGGGCGGGTATGGAGGTATGGGGCAAGCGAGCAGTCAGGTGAGTTATATTTCAGTCGATCCCCCTGCAGCCACATGGCAAACAGCTAATACAGCCTTCTCCAGCCTATTTCACAACACAACACTGGTGGAGGCTTTGGAATGGCAAGTCAAAATACAGGCAGCGGTTTCGGCACACCAAACAAGTCAGCATCGGACCTTGTCAATCTGGATGCCAACAGCCTCGCCAGTGGAAGAGCATCAACCGGCGCATTTGGAGCACCTGCGGCGAAGAACCCATTCCAAACCGGAGGTCAACAAGGTAATAAGTATCAGTGGGAAACACCAAAGCCTACTCAACCGACGTTGGCCCAACTGGCGGGACAAAACGCGTTTGGTGGGTCTCCAGCTGGTAACGCATTTGGCAATCAACAAGCGGGTGGAGCGTATGGACAGAATGCGTTCCCCGGAAACATGGGTGCAAATCCCCTTGGTCAACAAGGAATGGCGGGGATGCAGCAGGGAGGGTTTAATCAACAACAACCATTTGGGGCGATGGGAACGGGGCAAGGGGGTTTCCAGCAGCAGCAGCCCGGATTCAATCAGTTTGGAGCGCAGCAGCAGGCAGGCGCCATGGGATCGGGTGGACCCTTCTTCTAACATCATGATTTATTACGTATGGTTTTATAAATTGAATTTTCGTGCTGTTATTCACATTCAACGCAAGCATATGCTCAGTCTTAAGGGAAAATCCAACTGGGAAACGGAAGGCGAGAGTGCCCCTGCTTAAATGCTATGACGCATCGCAGTCTCCGTCTATCCGTGACATGTGATTTTCGCCATGTGCCAGCTGGTCTTTTTGGCCAGTCGCTCTCCTGAACTCGTTCTACTGAGATCCGACTCCATTTTCCTCATGGTGAATGCCGTGTCTCATGCATCCCAAACAGGGCGCTAGGGGCACACGACGGGCGATCCACTCCTTTTTACTTTGAGCGAACCTTCCCACAGTTTGACGCCCGACGTCCCCGGGATACTTAAATTATATCAACGTTTCCAGTTCCAAATCATGTGTCTCGGCGTCAGGTTAATGTAACCGTACCCTTTGATTCCAACTTTCGACACGCGGCGTCCTGGGCCACTCAGCTGTATATAAACCTACCTTACTCTAACAGTTGCGTATTTCAATTCTATTTCAATTCCGAATCCAGTTGTTCCAGAGTTCTATTCCGAACCTCGACACAAGTGGTCCCCCGGCATCAAAAATCATGCGAACTGGTCCAGTTAGTGCACATTAGAGAAGATCACCACGTGACTACACGTGAACATGGCAGCTTTCAGACAGGATATCACGTGTTGTTCTTCACTAATGTGCACTAAAGTACTCCGCAAATCCAATCCTCATCGTTCCTTTAACGTACCTTTGAACTCCACACACAGAGCGGCGTCTGCCGAGTACTCAGGTCTATACAGACGTACGTTTCTATTCCAACACCGACACAAGTGTCCCCGGGCATCAAAAATTACGTGAACTTGTATTCCTCAAATTCCAATCCACGTTGTCCAGCGTTCTCATCATTCTTCCACGTACCTTTGTCCGGGGGTCTCAAACTTTACGTGCGCTCACTTTTCAATTCCAATTCCACAGTCTCCAGCGTTCTCATCATTCTTCAACGTACCTTGGTCTGGGGCTCTCAAACGCGCTTACGTTTCAATTACAAATCCAGTCTCCCGGCGTTCTCAGCGTTACGTTAACTACCTTTGTCCTGGGCCCATTTCAATTCCACATCCATAGGGGCCCAGCGTTCTCAGCGATACTTTACGTACCTTTGTGTTTCACATACAGCGTCCACCGGGTACTCAGTTCATATAGGCATACCTTTCTATTTCAAAGTCGGCACACAGTCTGCATTCCAGAGAAGTACGGACATCGCGGCGGATGTTCCTAGGATTCCACATGAGGGTCACCGGAAAGAGGGAGCACTTATCTTTATGTGAACTTTGCAGTATATCGACATGTCACACTGATGGCTGAAATCCAAACGTTGCGATCTATTCCGCAATCTCTTCCGGTCTTGAACTGAATGTGGACACCATCCAATCACTTGGTTCATCACCTGTGTAGACATCCCATTCGAGCCTTGTCTTGATTTTCCACGCCTTATCCAAATGTTTGGGAACTTCATTTGATCTTCATCGCTCACATTCCAGACGGAATCGAAGGGCCCGTGTTGCGTTCCAACTAGCCGCTGGAAGATTAACGGATGTGTATCGCCTATGCCTTGTAATCAAGCTTGCGGTACGCGGACCGTGTGGAAATGCGGCTCTGGTCAGATAGCTCTAGTATTTGAGGAAGCGAGAATTTGTTAGCAAATGACGTTTCGGTCCCATAGTACTGCAACGCTTCTGTATACCTCAAAGTGGCAGACGCTGGCTAGATCTGACATAGGTATGAAGCCTACATACATATCATTGATATGTAGGCGGCCATATGTCATCGCTCAGAACCGACGTGCGCAGTAACGCAGTAGTCTGATTGGCAAACGTTGAGGCTTCTGCAGCGGTGCTATGCGCCTAGCATTGAGAGGACATGAGAGAATTAGCAACGTTTACCCACGAAACTCCCATAGCACTTCAAGATTGTTGCATACCTGTCATTGAAATTCTTAGAGACGATGCTAGCACTGCGAACCGTGGCCGAACATTGCTTTGATCGTGCCTCAGGATAGAGCATACACGCGTAGACGACAACTGCAGTCCAGAACCAACGGGTGCCAGCACGCCGTAGTGGGAATGGGTCGATGGCAACTGCCGGAAGTTGCGTTTGGGGAAGAGTGGATAAGTAGGGGGAGGGCAGAAACCACCCTCCTTTTATAGACGAAATGGGGGCCACGCTGATTGCTGCGCATGTCTTCAGATGTTCCAGCCAGGGGGAGCGTATTATTGGTCGCCTGCCCGATGAACGTTCTCCTCGCCTCCTGGAGAACGCGGGGAAGTCCCCCTTGGAACAAAAGCAGATTATTTAAGCGGATGGCACGTGAGTCGTAAACGATGACTGAATGGACCACCGCACACAACAAAACCAACAGGCAAAAGGATGATCTCATGGCAACCTCTGCTCGGCACTTGTCGACGAGTCTCCCAATCACAATGTGTCCGTGTCGGTTCAGTTGACATCCGAAGGGATCGAATTCGTCGCATATCTCAAATGCTCACGACTCGTTGGGATCATCAAAAGTCACCATATGATGTTTTGCATGTTGCGCGGGGAGCTTCATTGAAAGACATTAAATCACAGTATTACAAGGTAAAATGCCAATTGGTATAGGAAGAAGTGAAGTCTATGCATCATCTCATGTTCGCGCATGCTTGTTTGCCATTTGCGTATTTTATTACGATGCAAGTCGAATCTGCAATTACAGTTTGGTTCAGTGGATTTACAGGACAAGCGGTAACCCTGCTTTTGTTTTCTGCAGCTTTCTATGGAATATCACCCGGACCGTACCATCTCCAAGCCTTTAGAAGAACGGACACAATGTAATCAGACCTACATTCTCGTGCAAAATGCATACGCCATATTGTCCGATCCTCGTAAACGTGCCGAATACGACTATATCCTCGCGACCCGTATTGCACCCGTCGTGTCCTACACCCGAGCGCCAACTACTGCTGCCGGTCAGCCGCAGGCTTTCTGGGGCGACGGACAGACTCCAACCAACATTGGCAAAATCATGACTCCGTGGGTCATCGGACTGGGAGCAGTATGGTTGGTTGGCACTGTGTTATCAATGTATGTGTCAGAGCAGCAAAGCCAATCTGAGGTAGAGGCGTGGCAGGTATGTTGATGTGTAGCACCCGCTTCCAGTTCACGGCGACTTAATTCCCACCCTAGGAGTATATAAAGGCAAGAGAGCAGGAGGGTTTAGCGGATGTGCTTGGCTATACTCGAAAGTGAAGTATGGTGCATGGTCCAAATGTACATAGAGCGATGGGGCTTTTGCCTGTTTCCGACAATAATAATGTTTTCTATAACCAACAGGTAGCCATGACTGAGATGGCCGCTTTATTGCTTCCACGGACAAGATATGACATCTCCAATGATAGTGCCAAGCCAAATAGCGAGACTCGCACGATAGGGTGGATGTAGTAAGTATTCCCACATTGTCCCGTTAGCAAAACCACGACGAAAGGCCTTGCAACTCTAGTAGTGGGGTGGACACACTTGCCAAAGAGTCAACCACAGACTGCCAACAGCACAAATATGAAACGAATCGCGTTGGCAGGCTGGAGCAGACTTCATCGTCATCGCCGAGTGGAATCTGACATGTGTTCCAACAGTTTTGAACACGCAAACTCGGGGAGGAGAAGAAAGAACGAGCTCTTTTATTGACCAAGAGGATGGTGGCGTAGTCACCATTTTGTTGCCATGAAACAACACGTCAGGCGTAAGCTCGACGATCGCCCTCGCCCTTCCTTCGTCAAACTTCTTTTGACCTTGCTATCACTCCCATTCACTGCCATCACTTGGACCTGCATACAGTAGCCGCTCACTTTCAACGAAGCCGTCGCTCCACCATGTTTCCTCGTGGGGTTGCGGTGGGGATGACGCGTCGACTTGTGCACATCATCTGCCTTGTAGTGCTTCTCTTTGCAAAAGACATTGTGATGGTCAAACACGGGGATTTCAAGACATGCCAGCAAAGTGGTTTCTGCGTGAGGCAGAGTGCTTTTGCGGATCTAGTTGATAAAGTTCCCAGTTTTGGGTCTCAGTATGAACTCCTCCCAGATTCCCTTAAAATAGACGAAGGGAAAGGTGTTGTCACGGCACACTTGCTGGACCAAAAACAAAAGACCCCTTTCATATTCGAATTGTTTTTGCTGGAGCACGACACTGCTCGAGTGCGAATCAAGGAAGCTCCTCCCATAAAGCCGCGCTATGAACTCCTTGGTGACCTCGCCCTTGCATCATCACTGCCTGCTTCGGTCCCTATTGCCAAAGTGAATCGTACTTCGACTGGAGAGGAAATAGCTGTTCATTTTGGGGTATCCGGGAAGAATCTGTTGGTCCTACATGCCAGACCATTTAGATTTGAATTGTCTGTGAACGGGGTGCCTGCAGTGTCGTTCAACGATAAGGGATACTTGTACTACGAACATTCCCGAAGCAAGGAGAGTACACCAGCATTGGAGAACCAGGCAGCTAGCGCTGCGGATGGGAATGTGCCAGTTGAAGAAGGAGCAAATAAAGATGATGAGATTACGAAATTGCAGGAGGCACTCAACAAAGATCTGTGGGAAGAGACTTTCAACGGAAAAACGGACTCCAAGCCGAATGGTTGGTAATGACGATGGCGGTGTATCTGTGACTATGTGTATAACATACTCATTTGACCCTTAGGTCCTGCATCCATCGGATTCGACGTGTCGTTCCCGGGATCCAGTAATGTTTATGGGCTTCCGCAACACGCCTCCACATTTTCTTTGAAGACAACGCGGTAAGAAGGATTCGGCAACATCTCGCATCAACCGATACATGGCTTACTTGCATATCCGCCGCATTTTTCTGCAGAGGGGAGAACAGGGAATACGATCAACCATATCGCCTGTACAACCTTGATGTCTTTGAGTACATCTTGGACAGTCCCATGGCGTTGTATGGATCTATCCCATTTATGATGTCCCACAAGAAAGGCGTTTCTTCTGGCGTCTTCTGGTTAAATTCCGCTGAAATGTGGATCGACGTCGAAAAGTCGAAGGGAACAGGCACTTTGGTGAGCTCTTGTAACTGGGAACCTACAGCTTTGTAACTTCTAACAGTTACATTAAAGTCAAAGCTCGCTAGTTATATTCCATTTGCAACGTCCAAAGAGACAAGTGCTACTACCACTTCCACACATTGGATGGCCGAGTCCGGGGTCTTGGACGTCTTTGTGTTCGTGGGATCGACACCAAATGATATCTTTGACTCCTTCACTGCCATTACTGGGCGCCCAGCGATGCCACAGCATTTTGCCACGGCTTATCACCAATGCCGATGGAACTACATGGATGAGCAGGATGTTGCAGATGTCAACGCAGGATTTGAAAAGCATGACATCCCGTATGATGTTCTGTGGTTGGATATCGAACACACCGATGGCAAAAAGTACTTCACGTGGGACAAAACAAAATTCCCGAATCCGGAAACCATGCAAAACAATCTAGCTGGCACAGGCCGGAAGATGGTCACCATCATCGACCCTCATATCAAGCGCGATGATGGCTACTACGTTACCAAAGAAGCCAGAGAAAAGGGCCTGTTCATCAAGGACAAGGATGGAAACGAATTCGACGGATGGTGCTGGCCAGGTTGGTTTTTCACTAAAGTAGATATCGTTTTACAGCCTGAGTGACATTTCCTTTTCAGGCAGTTCCAGTTGGATTGATTACACCGACCCAGCTGCCCGACAGTACTGGGCGGAAAAGTTTCAGTTTTCAGAGTACAAGGGCTCTACTCCCAGTCTCTACACCTGGAATGACATGAATGAACCCTCCGTCTTTACAGGTCCGGAAACTACCATGCCAAAGGACGCATTGCATCATGGGGGGATAGAACATCGTGATGTGCACAATGTTTACGGTACTCTGCTACATCGGTCAACATATGAGGGGCATTTACTGCGGTCGAAAAATGAAGATCGTCCTTTTGTTTTATCTCGGGCCTTCTTTGCCGGAACCCAGAGATATGGCGCAATCTGGACTGGTGACAATACAGCGGAGTGGGGCCATCTGGCTGCCTCTGTGCCGATGATACTTTCCATTGGTGTGGCGGGAGTAGTCTTTAGCGGAGGTATGGTGCGGTGATGCCACGGCGCTCTGCGATGACTATGAATACTGACTAGGACGGAAACTTTAGCTGATGTCGGTGGCTTCTTTGGAAACCCTGAACCTGACTTGCTTCTCCGCTGGTACCAGGTTGCAGCATTCCAACCTTTCTTCCGCGCGCATGCACACATTGATACGAAGCGCCGTGAGCCTTGGCTTTTCGGTGAGCCGTATACAAGTCTGATCCGTGAAGCCATCCGACAACGGTACAGGATTATGCCGTATTTGTACACGTTATTCTGGCAATCGACGCAGAACGGATCTCCGATTATGCGGTATGTGGCCTCCTCTAGGTTCGCTGTAACGGACGCTTTGCTGACAGGTGCTGTCTCAGGCCCATGGTATCTGAATTTCCTGAGGATGAAAATACTTTCGGAATGGGCGACCAGTTCATGCTGGGAAAAGGGCTTTTGATAAAACCCGTTGTGCAGAAAGACCAAAGTAGTGTCGACGTATATCTGCCAAAGCTCGCGGTTTGGTATGATTACACATCGTTGGGAAAAGTTGCCCCATCAGCCGCCGGAGTTCTGAATGTCAAGACACCACTGGAAAAAATTCCTGTGCTTTTGCGAGGAGGAACCATACTTCCCAGACGCGAGCGAATCCGGCGTGCGTCTAACCTCATGTTGCACGATCCCTACACGCTACTGGTTGCGCTTGACCACAAGGTACGCTGAGAACATCACTCGCTCACAATTCTTTAGGCCAAGTCTGACTTGACTTTCAATAAACCGTATAGGGCGAGGCAACTGGCACTATATATGCTGACGATGGACACAGTTTCCGTTTCAGAGAGGGCAAGTATGTATTGAGCGAGCTCTCGTACTCCAGCGGAACTTTATCAGCGCGTGGGGTTCGACTTGGCAATGATGCCAAACTGTCCGATGCCGATGTAGATGCACTCAGTGCGCGTGTGGAGAGATTGATTATTACTGGACTGTCAGCCTTACCCAAGAAAGTGGAATTGGATGGTAGACAGCTAGAGTTTACCGGGGAGAAGGTAGACGGAGATGTTTATAAGATAGTGGTAAAGGACCCGAAGGCTTGGGTGGGACGAGATTGGAAAATTCATGTGGAGTGAAAGGGCTTTACGCAGAAATTATGTAGGACTTTCAACTGTAGGTAGTGGAAACAGAACCACAGCTTGTGGAACGAGTGCAGGTTCATCACGTGCTACTTTGTTGCTATGGCAATCTTCACCCTCAGATCGCTTGCATGCTTGCTCCAGATTGAGTTTGGCTGTTCTTACAACGAGCAAATGGCGAGTTCACGAACGTCATTGTGGGGAAGAACTTTGGTGTGTCATCGCCATCTTGTGCGTCAACATCAGAGTTCTGCTTCAAGATGTGCGCTGCGAAGGTGGTCATCTTCACAAGCAACGGCATTGGCCGAGCCCTCTGATAATTCCACACAACAGCATCAGAGCAAGCAGTCTTCTCCCCTACCTCCCACCTCAACTATACCCAGCACGCCGCGCCAGTCCGACCTTGGGAATCGAAAAGTCTCCTCTATAGGCCCTTCTGTAAAAGCGAAGTCATCCTCCTTCCCTCTACCTGTTCTTTTTGATAAAAAAGCATCCTCTCTCGCGGCCGAAATCGCTGAATATCCCTGGCTTCTCAGCATTTCTCCTTCCAGACGTGCTCGTCCCACATTTTGGTCAGCTCTGAGAGACAAGCACTTTCTGACTGTTGGAACTGCCCGTGCGCGGAAACATCTTAATCATCCCACGTACGACTTCCCAGACCAATTTTGTGAAGATGTTTCCATCGTAACGGAGGAGCTTTTCAAGGCATTATCTGCTCCTGACCGAGCAGGCGACGAAGAGTCTTTGAGAACCGTGATGGTAAAGGCCGTAGCGGATCGATTCGCAGCAGGGTATAGGACATTATTAAGTCAAGGGAAGCGGGTGGAATTCTTGTTGAATGGGAAGCCAAAGATAACTGTAACTGGACTGCACTTTACATATGGACCATACCCAGCACCAACTTCCGGGTACGTCGCCCAACAGTGGTGGAGTTTGATCGAGCTGGTCATACCCGAGGAAGATTCAACGTTCAGTTCACATCCGCGACAGAAGGAAATTATGCAGCGAGCTATGGACGATGGAGTGTTCTTCAAGGTGGATGTCAGAGTAGATTTGGACGTGGAGTTTGTGGTGACAGATGTGAAGAGTGATATGCCATTAATTAGGGATAGGAGACGACGGGTCGAATTACAGTTCATCAGCCCGCATTTTACACCATGGGACGAAGTTTTCGAGTTGGATGCCGCAGGGGAATGGAAGCTGAGATGGCAATGGAGGATAAGTGATGTCGACTGGATTGTCGAGAGTATGATGCCAAAGGTGGAGCCAAAACATAAGATAGACTGGAGAGCTGAAAAGGATGCTTAGGGCTACCCGTAGGGCTTGGTGCTGAGGTGGCTCTACTTTTCGCCATCATGGCGGGTATAGATGTAGATAATTGTACGGCATATTTACGATATGAAAGATTTTCCAGTTCATTTTCAACCCCTAACGCTGGCCCAATCACGTCACTGTACCAAACATCGCCTCCTTGCCGAGAAGTGAGACGTACCTCCGGAGAATTTGGGGATGACCTATTCGGCAGGGAGATAGGCCCCTCTGGGTAGTCAACAGGATAATTTCCTAAAGGGGATAACGATGAAATCATTTGTTATTTGTTGTTATGTTTGTATTAAACCTTCCACGGTGTCTGCCCAACTTTGTTACGAACGCAATTTGTTATTCTCATTAATATCGAAACCATAGAGCCGGCCGTGCCCCGACACTGTTATCGACGAGTAACGTCATATGTTGTTATTGAGGGTCAAGGGTCACAAGGGGCTTCCACCACGTGCAAAACCGCGGGATGCTCTGCAGCTAGAGGGGGGTCACCCTCCCCTCGTTATCTGGTCTATAAAGGCCGCAAGCCTCCAACGACCCCCGCAGGTCCAAAAGTATTAAAAAAAGAAGCTGCTCAAAGACCGATCCCAGCCGTTTATAATTTGGCCCAAACTCCGCGCTTGCGTCTGCGCGTTCCGATATAACTACAACTCCTACGTGTTGGTACTCTCGAACACTTTTTTGTCTCTCGCCATGGACGTTGCCTCTGCAACCAATGTCCCAAATGCGCCTACGACATTGTCAAAGGAGGAGTCCGTCCTTGTAAGTAAAAACAGACTGGCGACTCTATACTAAAGGGGCGAATGCTGGAGACGGTGGAGTGCATGCGTTGCAAGCCACTATGTTCACCGCGTTGTCATCTGTCGCCAGATGTCGCGTCTCACTGCCGGTTTTCGTTTTTTTGTTACCTTGTTTGCTGACTGTTTGTGCTCATGCCTCCTTGCATGTCTCATTCTAGAGAGCAGAATTGCTATGGATGCTCGAAACTCAAGCCCCACCGCTGGTCGCAGAAGTTGGAACCATCATTAAGGTAATTGTCCTATTCATTGCTATCACTGCAACGGCGGAAAGATGGAAACATGGTCTCGTTTCGGCAATCTGACGTAGCCATTTTGTCTTTTCTTAGACCGGCTTGGCGTGCTGCACTCCCAGTTCCGCCGACGCAGGTACTATTTCATTATGCATCAATGTCCTTCATTTCCCTTCCCTAAGTCTCAGGTTAAATAGGACCAAATCAGCGGTCGACCGCCTCTGCAACGCTAGCAGTAACATCAGCAAAGTACGAGGAAAGCTACTCACTGGTTACATGTCTTCTGTGGCTAACATTGTATTTTGTAGTAGCGACTTGTTGAAGGGATTCGTTACAATAGATGGGACCGCCATCGTTAAAGGGGTGCGATATCCTCAGTGACGTAATCGATTTGTCATTTTGGTCCCAAAAGCTGACAGTTTTGTTTATATAGGAGCTCACGCTAAAACTGCCACATTACAATCGAGGGAATGTAATAAAATTAACGATAAATTCAGCCAACCCACCCGTCCTGCACCAGGTGCGTCGATGCTCGTCCAGCGCTATCCATAATGTATCGCCTAATGCATGGGCGTTTGGAAGGTCCAAACAGCCCGCAACTACCTACTGTTAGCTCTTGAGGCTTTCGAGTCACAACCAAATGCAGCGCATGATCGAGACAGCCTTATGCAGGTATGCTCGAGAATGGCGAGCATTATTCGTACTCTCCAGCTTATGCGTCTTTTCCATCATGTAATAGCTGTTGAACCGTGTGTCAGCCATTGTCAAGAAAGCCAAAGCTGCGCTCGTTCGAATCGATGAGTCAGATATCTTTCCAAATAAGGAGTGTGATATCAAGGTATACTATCGCCGTCGTTCCAACTTTATATTTTGTATCTTCTCCCAACTCTCCAGTATGACACCAAAGGTATTCGCACCAGATTTGCCGGATGATCTAGTTGTGGAGTTCCATGTTATCCAATCGAATCTCGTGGTGTCGGTATATGCCTTGAACTTCCATCAACCGGGCATTCCGTTGCAGTTTCAGAGCAAAATCCTGGGGAAGTTCAAAAACATCAAGCTTGAGTAGGTGTAACGGCGCCCCAATCTTCCTGTTGCCCTCTCGATTAATGACATTGTCCTGTTTGCTTCCAGCACATACAAAGGTCGACCGGTTGAAATTCTTGATGAATTGACCGTGGAATCTGCAAGTCCCCGTTTGGCTACATTAGTTCGTTCGATTGATACCCTTGACGGCCTTTGTGAGGAGATGCGGATCAAGTTGCAAATATTGCGATGAAGGGCAGAAACGTGTTATTTAGAGGTTGTCCTTGCTAGACATAGGCTACAATCCGTTCTAGTCGTTATGCAGGAAGAACGCCGCCAATGCTTAGGTATGAGTAGTGTTCAAAGCAGCGATGAATACAGTCTGAATACAGTCTGGCTCATTGCCACAGCCCGAGCATGAATTGGGTGCCAATCAGTAAATTCTGTCTATCTGCTACTGAACAATATATACAAGAAATGCTGCTATAAAAAATATTCTACAAGGACGCAATCAGGACTTTTCCATGAAGCGATCTACCCAGTCGCTGATCTGTTGAACATTTTCTTCCATATCATGGATGGATTCACTTCGCAACTCCCAAACAATTTCAGGCCTGTATGAGTCCCGAGCTTCTTCCAGTACGACTTGCATAATCTCGCATTCGACGTTTTCTTGGATTTTCTTTACGGAATAATTCCTAGAAAGCTCGCCTATTAGACCTGCCGTAGACTTTCTGTATGACCGTCGCCTGACGTTACCTTTGTTCTAGTCGGGGATAAAGAATTTGATTGTCCGTCCTGAGGACAACCACCAGATCGAACCAGCGCTCAGGAAAGAAGTCGCAACCATGATGATCTACTACTTTTCCACCTTCTAACATCATCGGTTCTAGTTCATCGACAACCTGGCTTCATTCATAAGCTTCTATTGGCAAGCCGCGATAGCTCACTGCAAAATGCACACAAACCTTATCTTCATCCAACAGCCATGACTGGAACTCTCCATCCCAACCCTGGTGTAAGCCTCGTTCCTTCACTAAACTGCCGACCTCAACATGTTCCAAGCCAGTTGCTATTGCTATTAGTTCCGACGTGGTTGTTTTTCCGGTACCGGGCGTCCCTGTCACAAGTATGTTGGGACGTTGACGCTTTGGGATATTGGGAGGAGTATCTGGGGTTTCAGAGTCAGATAGGTCCATGATGCTTGCTAGTCAACTGGTCAAACCTGCAACCGATGCGAACTGAAATTCAGACTCCGCTGTTGCCATGGGCGACCAGGACAGCGCGCCGGCTGCGCCTTATCGTGTGCTGACACAGCAGCTCGCGTCAAGATCGTCCACCTTGGGCGACCCAAAGTTCTGGCCGATATTACTACCGCACAGCACACCGTTCCCCTACAGCACCCAACATGGCAAATAAAAGCAAGAGTACCCGACCGCAGAATGTTACCCCGGAAATGGTTCTGAAGTATGTGCGTTAGTTCGATTGTGCAGACTAAAGGAATCTTGCTAAATTTCGACCATTTTCGGTTATTATGGGACAGATATACCAAACCAACTGACAAGGTACCTGTTGACAAAGTTCTCAACTCTTGCCTTCTCAATTGTATGACATCTGACGCTGAATCAGTTCCTGTGCCCGCTTAGTTTGAATAAGTACATTGAGGTTTGCTTCCAAGTCAAAGCATAACACTAGAAACTCTACTTATTTATTCATTTATTATATTCAAGTTCCTTGAGTTTCGAATTCGTGACATGGAATCAAGTAAGGTAGTGTATGTGTTGCGTCTCACGATTGAGTGGACACGTGCCCATAGTGTCCTTCTCTAGGTCGTTTTCGAAGTCAAACGACCGTCGGTTGAGATCAACTGGAAGGAACGGGACTTGAGCGGGTGAGATATTCATATCTGGAGATCATGAGGAGGGAAACTGAAGGCTGAATAGCTGACCCGATCTTCTTCTGCAGCGGTGACGAGCTGCGGACAATTGCCTATACTTTCCCGGTCGACTTTCTCTCCTACAAAACAGTTGGCACAACGTACGAAAAATATCATTTCATGTTAGTTATTGGTCATCTCATATTCTTCCAACCTCAACCTCTACCAGATTAGTTTTCGCTGTTTGTCCCGAAGGTATCCAGAACTTTCGGATGATTGAGCGACATTACTTCAAAGGAAAACTCCTCAAGTCTTTTGATTTCACGTTTGGGTATTGTATCCCTAATAGTGTCAATACATGGGAGGCAGTTTATTCCGTAAGTAATTTTGCTTCACGGTTGGTAAGAATATCTGTTAAACAACATTATCTGCACTCTAGCTACCAGAACTGACTGAAAAGCAAGGTAAGTTCAAGGCCTACTTATTGACATATCTGAATCAACCTGGCTCAGTAATATCACTGACGCAATTTCTATGTAGTGCAAGAGATGGTTGACAATCCCGGATCGACACTATCAGATAGTTTCTACTTTGTCGATGATCGACTCATCATGCACAACAAAGCCAGCTATAGCTATAGCTAGCGCTGAATCCGATCCACTATTTAATAAACAAGCGTAGGAAAGCTGTGGACTAAATGGTCCGTGGAGATGTTTAACGATCACTCCTATGGGATGTGTAAATATAGATGAGTTACTTGCAGGGACCGTGAAAAGAGACGTGACCAAGGCGATTTGGAAATACAAAATTATACCTTTTTGAGCAATTTATTATCGAATGAAACTGCTACAGCTTCCGATAATTCACTTTATTATGAGCAGGGTTCGTTTAGTGTCCAAAGATGCGGTGCAAATTGCAAATATCACTTACTTGTATTCCTTGAGTAAGAATTGGTATTGCTCCTGTTTCTCTCTCAAAGTGCTAGACACTGTTGACAATTCGGCCTTCTGGTCGTGCAACTCCTGCTCCAGCAGCGCGTTCTGTCGCTGCAGGTCTTCCAGTCGAGTCTGAATACGGGTCTTAGTTTGCAAACAAGATAATAGCTTTCATAAAAGGTCGAGGTCTCTAGCGTTACCTCTGCCTCTCTCAGTGCAACATCAGTTTTCTCCTTTTCTGCTCGTGGGACATAGTCCTCTGCTTGCGCCTTTTTCAGCGCCTCGATCTGACCATTACGTTCCGTCACTTCCACCTCGAGGGCTCCAATCTTCCGTTCATAAACCTGGAGCGGTATTACTCTCGAGGCCTTCCTTCTCAACATAGCAATGCATGTAGCACTATACCGAGACAGGATCGTCGCCAATCTTGAACGATTTGATCTCATCAGCAATCTCTGCCAAAGCTGCAATCATTGAGTCGAGACAATTGTTGACACGACCGCAAGGTTAACGTACTAGTATCTTCTTTCTTCTTTTTTTCAAGAGTCGATGAGGGTAGATACGCCGCGTAAATGGCCAGCTTTCGTCGCAAATCATCTCTCAGCCTTCGACAACGAGTTTTAGCATTCTAATTGTTGAGCACAGCACGGCACTTTGAATATCTTACTGGTGATTTTCCGCTGAACCAACGCAATTTGTGTCATTTTAGTCCTTAATTACACCTCAATACCATTCACAAATAATGTACCTTCCAGCTCCTCTAACTGCTTTTCCAAGCGCTTGCTCTTCCTTCGCTCGTACTTTAGTAATAACCTGTTCTCATTTTGTGACAGAAGTTTCTGAACTTTGGTTCTCAGAAAATTTAATTCACGCTGGTCGTTATGGAAGCTTGCGATGGTTTTATCGTATTCGTTCTGTCAGTTTGATTAATATATGTGCAAGCTACTTTGTCGGTACTTTTCTCTACCTTGATCTCAGCTAAAATGGGACCGTATAATTTGAATTCTGCAATGACTTTCTCAAAGGCGGCGCTGTAAACTTGCAGCCGTCGAAAATCGGGTCCGGAGGGGGGAGCATCTAGTGCTTCGAGTTCCTGTATTCAATACACATAATTGGCGAGAAAATCCTAGCAGCTCGGTTCTACGCGAGTTTACCTTTTGTACAAATTTATACAACTTTTCCAACTGGTCAGCTTTTGCAAATTGATTTTGCTTATACGTCCAGTCCTTTCGATCTAGTATTTCGTCAATTTCTTTGTGCGTCTTCCACTCATCATGTTTGGTCATGTTTAGATACGGTGACGGAATAATTCGCGCTCGTACATGTGCGGGCAGGGTTGGTAACTGATGTGCAGCTTTCGGAGGCGCTGCTTCTGTCTCCGGGAGAGGTGGGGAGAGAATCTGGCGTACCTTGACTGCATCATATTGTTCTAGAACGTCATGTAGATCGGTGACGTTGTGGATGGTCTTTTCATCAAGTGTCCGATCTACTCCACCAATTGTATTCTCAGCTCCTGATTGGGCAGCTGTAGGCCCTTTGGAAGCCAAGTTGCCATCAAGGACTTCGGTATTAACATTTACGGCGCTTTTACTAATCCAATTGCCAGCTTTGTCAGCCTCCTTTTCTTTTCCCTTAGCAGCAGTTTCAACCTCTTTATACTTCTTGTTTGTAACATCAGGATTGAGATAACCGGACCAGACTGTTCCAACATCTTTCTTTTGCTCAGCATTCAGTCGATCCAGTAAGTCCGCCATATACGCTCGCTCCTGATGCATCTTCTTCAGCATCACCCGGGGACGTTGTTGCGGGACGTGACTTGCTCGGAAGTTTGATTTTACAGGACCTTTAGCTCGAGGAACTAAAGTAACCCGCTCCCCAGGGTAGCTATGTCCTTGGGAGGACATACTTATCCATCTCTTAAATACAAACCGCACGTAAATTGACGGATTTGCAACATTCAGCTCTCAAGCTTTGTATATCCTTTACTTTACTGACCTTTATGTCCGAATCCATCGTGGAGGTTGTCAATGTGCAGGGAAATAGAGATGTTCAGGTGGACTAGCCATTATCTTGCTGTCAACATCCGATGCTGACGTAACAGGTTATGTCACAGTTGAACAATCATCTGCCGTCTGCTGGTTATGGTCGTGGAAAAGACATAGACGACGTGATTTCCATCCTCAAGAATATGTTGATTTTCGTTCATGTTTTTTTTTGCACCATTACATGCCAAGTGATGGATCAGCATATATCGTTGATTCTGCATTCAACGTAAATTCCCATTGACATAATTACATATAGATGGCGAAATATACAAATTCAAACTAAGGAAAATACAAGCCCAACAATTATGCCATCTATCTGATCGTCAGAACCCAACGTTTCCATTGAATAGCATCCCATGTACACTTCACCAAGCATAATTAAACCTTTTACAGATGAAAGAATGTTGTTCAGGATCAGGATGCTATCAAGGAAACTGAATTTCTAGTGCTCACCTGTCTAGAACCATCGAGGAATCCTTCATGTCCTTTTGCACTTTCTTTCGCATGTAAAAAATCGGACAGTCCTGCGCCGTGCAGATGACATCTTGGTGCAAGCTTCCTTGGCATCTTTGACACTGAGTCCATAGTCGGGCAAATTTGACTTCGAGATCACTGACAGAATCCAGCTGTCTTTGATAGAGTTCCCCAACGCGAGGTTTGCAGTGGTGGCAAACAGCGGACTCTGCAAGAAAGGTCAATGACATTCGTGGAGCAACAATTCACAATGCATACCATTCTTCTTCAAAGGAGTTTTGCACCCCAGGCAAGTGGCCGTTTTCACTGCAAACTTCATTAAGCCTCCAATTGTTGGGGCAGCGACAGATATCACTCGGGTGTGGTCGCCCGCTATGAAACAAAAGTAAGTGGTGCCTGAAGTGATACGCAGCAACAGACGAAAGGTCTACTCACAGAGCAACGTCTGTGCCTTGGAACCCAAAATTGGTTCAAAGATTCGCATGAGGGGTTTTGACAGCTGGTTCTCCAGATAGTACTTTGTGTCAATGGGTATATTATTCTCCAGTACGTAGATGGGATCTTCCGCTTTCTCGTACGCCGCGGCATCTAGTTTTACGTATACGCTCCACAATGAGACAGAGCGAGAACATCGGTGAAGTTACAAGGCCCTTCCTTACCTTTAGTTCCTTTGATAATTACGTATGCTACACGATCGCCGAGCGCCGGGGCTGAACCTGATGTTTTGTTTCAATAACTTGTTATGGCATCTAAGATCTTAAAGTGATGTGAATGTCCATTACCTGCATCACGCTTTCGCATTCTTGCAGCAAGCTCATTATGGGCCTGCTTGGCAGCATACTCTGCGATAACAGCAAATCGACGCAATTAGACCTTCTCACGTAGACAGTTTATTAATGTGATTGACCGACCTGCTTTCCCAAGAGCCTTTGAGATGACTAGCTGTGACAAGTCCACCTTGTTCTGAAGCAGATCGGCAATGACACCTTTTGTATACCTTGAAGATGAAGTCAGTAAATATTTTGCTTATGATCTTGGCGAAGATCTATAACCTACTCTTCTGCAGCCTTCACATCCCTGTCTATCAGGATCTTTTTCAAGCAAGTTTCAATAACACTGGAAACCAAACGGCAACTGTCTCGTCGAACGGTCTATATGATATAACATCCTTAATTTCCTCAATTAAGAAATGCACCCTGTCTACCCATTGCTTACCTCAATACCCTTAGTATCCATCTTGTCATGTTTCGTCGGATTGGTCCAATATAGACCCGCATACCGCTTTTTGTTGATCAACAAATACGGAAAGTATACCTTTTCAAAATCTAAGTTGATCGGCTTCTGGAAATGGCTTGTTACATAATCCGCCGCTTCACGGCCAAGCTTCATGGCCTCCGCAACCGTTTTAACTCCAAATTTGACCATGACGGAATCTGTATCTCCGTATATGACTTGTGCGTCATGCTCAAAACCGTTTGCAATTGTGAACTTTTCCTCAACACGCATCTTGGTTTCCTCGATCATGACTCGACCATATGCAGTAACGCTCGACGAGATCGCCAGGAGAGGTAGTTTTCCGATGGTCGCACCGGTAAACCCATAAACGGAGTTGGCGCTGATCTACAATTATTCCAGACAAGGTCAGGTTTAACATGCTTGCGAAAGAACAAACCAAATACTCACTTTAAGGGCCAGTTGACGTCCATCGAGAACCGCTCGTTTGAAAGGGTCTGTCTCTTTCTTTAAGTCTCCCTTTGCCCTCTTCCGAGCAGCAATCAGATCCTCCAAGATAGTCGGCAGGATTCCTTTGCGCACTGATGGATTGACAAAAAGTGCTGTTTTGCGTGCATTAGACGCATTATATCTATGCAGAGCCATTCTTATGGGGTCCACTTACCATTATCGGGAGTCACCTTGTAGTCTTTGTCTCGTACCAATCCATGTTGTTCAGCCGTTCGCACATCCCGCAGCCAAGTAGAGTAACAGAGATTGTGCGCCATCATGATAGATGGATATAGGGAGGTGAAATCCAGAGTCGCAATGGGCAATTCGTAAAAGCCCTTTTCCGGCTCAATGACAGTGGCTCCCTCGTATTGAACGTCTTCTGATCCTATGAGAATGCGGAACACATGTAAATCTCAATTCCCCTGGCAGCGCTGCGGCAAGTATTACCCTCAACCTCCAGAGCAGGAATAAGCAAATCTTCCGTCTTTGCTTTACGGTACAGTTGTGAGACAACTTTGATTTGCTGCCCTCTTGTGAGCAAGTAGTTGAAAGGGACTCCAGTGACTCTAGCCATTTCCATGTAGTTGATGACACACATGAGTTTATCCAAGAGTCGTTGTGGTAGATACGCGTCCTATCAATCGGATATTACTCAATTTGGCACAGAATCTCATGCCACTGCATCCCCTTTCGCTAACCTTTAGGCAGTAAATTGCCAGACGACGTCGGGTCTCATCATTTCCATTTTGAAGGTCTGTGATAATGGAATGATGTACATCTTCCTTTTGCTCACCTGACATTATCAGTTAGGCCATTGACGGTGCAATTCGACCACATGGCTGCTGCCAACATACCCAAGAAATGCGCACAAACGGAGTTCAACGTATATGATCTTAGCTTATAGTCTCTTTGCATAACCTGCAAGAGATCCATTTGCAATCGTCCTTCCAGATTGATAGATTTCGTATCGCGCGTGCCCAGACCTTTCGACGAGAAGCGACTGTCCTTGGCACAAGTTTGGGAGCCTGAGGGACAGTTAGGAGGGTCACGTTCCTGTAAGAAGACAAGTATCGACAGATTACCTATAATGCGACCCAAAAAAGGGAAATCTTTGACGTTCAAGGCCTTGGCTCGGTCCAAGAGGTAGGGGAAATCAAACCCATTGATGTTGTAGCCGATGATGATGTCTGGATCCATCTGTAATAACCACAGCATTAGCACGAACAGTAACAGTTCCGCGGAGACTTCGACACCCTACTGTAACGACAAACTCGCTCCATGTTTTTAAGAGCTCTTCCTCGCGCTCAAAGCTCATTGTGTGAGTTCCAACGATATTCGCACACTTCTTTAATGTCAGAACGTTTCGAATGAATGGACGAGTCTCCCCTATCAAGAACTGTCAGCCACCACCAGACAGCACAAAATGCCTATAAATGCACACCTTGAAGTGTAACCATGTTTGCGATTTGAATGACAGGATCGACATTCGCATCAGGAAAAACACCCTTACGCCCCGCACATTCGATATCGAAACTCAGAATTCGCAATGGAGCAATCTTTTGCCAATCCCCCTCTGGTTGATGTGCTACAATATCATCCGTGCTGTTCAACATGAAGCCGTGAGTTCAGAGCGTGGGGAATGTGAGCCAAACTCAGACTTACTACACGTCTACTTCTAGTTGCGAAGTGGATGTCCTATTATTGGCCGTCCTTATACGATACGTCTTCGGGGAAAGTTCGACCCAACTAGCTCCTTGTATCTGTCATCCAATTTCAGCTGTGGATACAACCCAACACCGCAAAGAAGAACAAACAAACTTTTGTGTCGATCATAAATCTCAAAGGGTACGGAATGTTGCTTTCATAAGTGGGATCACACACAACTCTTCCAAGTCCATGCACGTCGAACCCGTCCCTGAATATTCGCTTCGCGGCCGGAAGATAAGACGCCAGACGTACAATAATTCTCAAAAATAGAGCTTTCTTCGGTCCATGGTAGCCATAGATACTGGATTTCATCACCATATCAATATCCACAACGGGGCCCCCTGAACTGCTTTTGGCGGGTCGTACATAATTCTGAATAAGAATGGTCAGCACCATAAAAAGCTCATGCATAAGGCAGGAACTGACGTTGATAGCTAGCAGCAAATCATTCTTATTTTCGGGACGATAGTTCATTGGTGCGGGCACGTAAAAGTATGGGAGAAAACCGTGAACGTGGCAGGTTACACTATGTCCTTCCTAAGACAACATCAGTCAACTGACTTTCCATACCGCGAGAGAGTGCCACGTACCATAGTTGTCCCGTACATACGAAGTGTGGACCCATGATCTAAACAATAAGGATTTCGAAGGCCAGCTGCATAACCTTCCACCGTATCGTCAATCTCAATTTGTTGAAACACTAAATAGAGTATACAAAATGAACAATATTTCCATATTTTCCTGCAACAGAGGATAAGACAAACCAATGGGGTCCTTTGTCGGGTCTATTGGAGGTAGGTTTGGGCGCGGCCAGGTAAGCTCATACTTTTCAACTGCAGAAGACTGTAAGTATCAAGTGGCGTCAACGGAAGAAGGACAGCCCACGCTTCTGAGAATCATTATACCTTTCACCGTGTTTTGAGACAGTTTTTCCAGCTGTTCCTCAAACGACGGTGCAGCGCCCAAGAGCGCTGTGACATTGCTTTTGCGCTTTTTGAGAGATGGGATGGAGTTCGGGGTACGAGAATGCGGGGACTGAGATGCAAAACCTTGATGTGTGTCAATTGCTATTCCGTCCTCTTCCTTCCGCTTAGCTGGCGTTACGTGAACCATGTTTTCTATCCTGTTTGTCGGCCAAGATCTGCAAACGTCGTGTTGGTCGGAACTCATCGTTCGGACTTCTCACGACACGACTGGATCCATACGATTTGCAATTGGAATTAAATCCAATTCAATACCTATTTGGATCTATCCGAATTCAACGAATTCCCAAACAGGTTTAATGGTGGATTTTATTTGTTTTTGTTTGAACTAACGCGTGCGGACGGATGGGCAATTCCCAAAGTTTGCCCAATTTCACATAGATTCCTTTTGGTTTCCTTTCTGTCGTATTACTCTAAAATATGGCGGTCCAAGCGAGCTCCGTCTCGTCTGACCTTCTTGATACCGATTCCGGCTTTACGTCCTTGGACCTTGACACCCGACTTTTACGTGCAATAGCCAAACTTGGCTACACACACCCCACAATTGTCCAGTCCAGCGCAATTCCACTTGCACTTCAAGGCAAAGATATTCTGGCTCGTGCACGGACGGGCTCTGGAAAGACAGCTGCATATTGCATGCCGGTTATCCAAAAAATTCTGCTGGGAAAAGAAGGTGGACGGAGTTCCAAGGAACCAGGTGTTCGAGCGCTGATATTGGTTCCAACGAGGGAGTTGGCGGAGCAAGTTTCGAGACATGTGAAGGATTTATGTTTGTACTGCTCAAAGGAGGTAGTTGCGGTGAATTTAGCGACGAGCGATCAGTCGGTGGCCAATCAAAAGTAGGTGGTCCTGGTACCCTCACCCAGCCCTCACCCTTTGCTAACTTCAACAATCTGACATTTTTAGAGCCATTTTAGCAGAAAGACCGGATATTATAATTGCAACACCGAGCAAGATTCTGGCTCAGTTGGAAGCACATGTAAGGCAGCGGACATTTTCGTAAATTCTTGTGAAAGACTCTTCTAACGCCTTCGCTTGTACATTTGCAGAACGTGGAATTGAAGGATTCATTGGAATCTCTGGTAATCGACGAAGCTGATCTGATTCTGTCCTATGGATACGATGAGGACGTTCGTAAGGTTCTGGGCTTCCTCCCAAAGATATACCAAAGCTATCTTATGAGTGCAACCATGTCATCCGTAAGTGGACGAAGATCTATACATCCTCTTATCCGTCCCTTGTCTGATAAAGTGCATATTATCCAAAGGACGTAGATCAGTTAAAACAACTCGTTCTCCGTAATCCAGCCATCCTCAAACTCAACGACGCAGCAGCCAGCGAATCCCTACTCACTCAATACTTTGTCAAGTGTCTGGACAACGACAAATTCCTTCTTACATATTTCATTCTGAAACTCCGGATACATCCCTTTGGTACAGGGAAATGTATCATATTCGTCAATGATATAGATCGGTGCTACAAGTTAAAACTATTCCTGGAGCAATTTGGAATAAAATGCTGTACTTTGAATTCAGGACTTCCTTTGAAGAGTCGATATCACATCGTGCAGGAATTCAATAGGGGGGTATATGATTACATCATAGCAACGGATGAGGCTGGTATGTTGAACAACGAGCGAGATTCAGACGACGAAGGCGATGCGGAGGATGAGCAAGGTGCTGCCGAAGTCGAGGATGATGAAGAACATGAGTCGACAGGCCGGAAACGGTCGGCACCTTCAGATTCTGCATCATCGAAGAATAAACGCCAAAGACAGCAACCGAAAGACACCGAGTATGGAGTCTCTCGTGGAATCGACTTTCAAAACGTTCAATCCGTCATCAACTTCGATCTCCCCATTTCCTCACGTTCGTACATGCATCGCGTTGGCCGAACTGCACGAGGCGTCGGTAACCAAGGTTGGGCTCTAAGTTTTGTGGTGCAATCCCCTGAAAGTCCCACTCCCCTCCCACCAAAGAAGAAAAAGGGCCAGCAACCTGTGTCTGCCAAACCTATTGAAGATGAATCTGTTCTTGAGCGGATACAAAGGAAACAGACTGCGATTGGGCGGAGTATAACTCCCTACACTTTTGACATGAAGCAGGTGGAAGCCTTCAGGTACAGAGCAGAGGATGCCCTTAGAGCAGTAACAAGAACCGCAGTGAAGGAGGCGCGAATGAAAGAATTAAAGATGGAGATATTGAATTCGGAGAAGCTTAAGGTATATGCGAGTCCAGCATGACATTTTCCGGATGAAGACTGAACGTTATTTTGATGTCACAGGCACATTTTGAGGATAACCCAACAGATCTCCAAGCTCTCCGCCACGACAAACCACTCCACCCAGCCCGCGTTCAGCAGCATATGAAACATGTCCCCGATTACCTCCTTCCCTCAAAGAATAATGCGTCGTCGAGAACGCGGGTGGGAAATGTACCATTTAGAATGCAGAACAATCGACGACGGGGACGGGGACAGGGACAAGGGCGTGGTGGTGCAAGGGGAAGAGGACAAAGTCGGAAACAGGATCCATTGAAGAGTTTTACTCACGTAAAATAGTGCAAATATCCAAGGCATAGTTTAATGTACATTCGAAGCATTTTGTATAGGTATACATCTTTTGGATACTATCATTTCACTTTATGTGATAGATATCAAATGGGGGAATTCGGAAGAGATGAGAGCCATGACATCGTCCACACGTTTATCATACCAATCGCCCGTCTGCAGTGAATGCAGTGAGAAATACACTCCGGTAATATCACAAAGCAAAGTAACCCAACCTTTAAAGCCGCTTTGAGTTCTTTGTTTTGTGAGAAGAAGGTCCGCAGGCCCTTTTCACATACGATATTCGCGTTCGAGTTTGTTTCCTCGGATACCAATGGCTCGCATATTCTTAGAAAGAAATGGATATCGAGGATGAGCTGCTGAACGCCTTGGAAGCCAAGGCGGCGAGGACCGCGTGCGTTTTGCCAGCAGGACGCTAGGAAGAAAAATTAAGATCACGAAAATATGGTTCACAGATATAGACACTTACGATCATTCATGAATGTGAAGATGCCATCGACGATGGATGTTAGGATTGATTTGCGCGGTAGCGTTGGATCTAGGGCTCCTTGCAGAGTATTGAGTTCGTCAATAAGCTGAGATAGGGCATAGGACCCGGTTTAACGATCGGCATTAACAGTTATTGATCATGATGTGACTACTACTCGTACCCGCATGATGTGTTCCGAAGGCTTGGCTGTATCAAGGATTCCCCCGTTCTAATCCATTGAGAAAAAACGTCAGCATTGATCTCCCACAGACGCGAAGATACATATACCCACATTAGAATAATCAACCAATGGAAAATTGTATTTGTCTTTAAGAAGCTTTTCGCGAGTTTGCGTTATAAACTTGGTTTGCATGGCTGTTATGGAGTCTGCAAGAAGGAAATACGTTGGGTCAGACCGTCGGTACTAGCGCGCTACTTAGGGAAGCCATCTTACGGTTCAGTTTCTCCCGCATATCCTCAAGTTCTGGAATCGGTCTTTCAAAGCGATGCTGTGAAGAGGAAGGAGACATCCATTAGTCGTGGTAAAAATGAGGGTAATGCCATTGCACGCCAGTGGGCAAACCTACAGCCAGCTGGCCGGCAACTTTTGGTAGTAAATCGTCAACAACAAATGTAGCATCAACTAATATAGTGGAGCGCTATAGTATGGTCCACGTCAGAATTTATGATAGTAGGAATACCATGTCATTCAGGAGCGATGTACCTGTCGGTAAATCCAGTCGCCCCCAAATACTTCAACGAGTTTGCGGATGTAAGTGGCAAAGAAGCCTGTCAAACAATTAACAATCTTGCTGTACAACTGGACAGAATATAGGAAGTCAGCAATATCCTGTCATTTTGCTGACCAGCAGGGTGGCTTACTGAGATAGACATTAACACCGAGACGTCCGCGCCAAACTCCATGAACACGCTGTAGAGCTCGTAAACGCTTTGCGACACGTTGGCCGTGATATCAGCTGTCAGAAAATTTGTTAGATACCCGAAGCATACGATATAAAACGCGCATGAACGATGTAGACGATGAAGCTCCTCTTACCAAACTCATCCTCTCTCCCTACGAGGAATTGGGAATCGGGCTTTATCGCCGCAAACTTATCCGCCTCCACAGCAGCCACGATCGCGTTCTCACATTGTTTGGAATGATCTTTGATAGACTTCACAATGTCGTCGTGAAACGCGTCGTCAAGTACGAATGTGATGTCTAGGCCAAGATCTCGAAGCTAAAACCCAGTTGGCGAGCTCCATAAAGACGTTCAACGAATGAAAACGCATGTGTTACTGTACCTGTTTGCAATGATGCAAAGTATGCTGGAGACAGTCGGCAATAACGCTAAAATTTTGCTTCGAGTCAAACACTTGACGCCGGAAAATTGTGCCAAAATTCTGGAGCTCTTGGTTGACCCATTTCATGAACCCTAGCAAGATATCTGCTTTAGTCTGATGGATTCGCCCCCAGGTTTAGAAAGTACCAAGCTTACCAGATGCCATCGTTGTATCCCTAAAGGAACCGCCGTACCAGTCGCATGTACTACGTATCAAGCGAAAGACGATTTCTGCGAGGTCCGATATATAGACGGCGACATCCCCGTCGAAGCGAATGAGCCTGAACATATGCACAGTCATGAGTGACATCATCAGGCGAATTGGTTATGGTGAAAAGGCAGAAGATATAATCTACCTGATGCGATGTCGGATGATAGCTGTCCGAGCAGTGAGAAAGAAATCTCGAGCCTAAGCATTAGGAGCAACTGAGCACTAGTAGTAGAGGCCTCCGAAACACCTTGAATTCCTTGATTACCTGATCTCCCATTCCCAATCGCAGCAACTTATCAATATTCATCTGAACTTGCGTTTTGCTGGCCACTGGATTTGCAAGATCCAAACTAACCAGCTGTGCAAGCCTATTTGTACGCTCTTCAACACTGCTTCGAATAACCGACACCCGTGGCGTTTCAGCGTTGGCTTTTGAAAGCGTGTGGCGCGCTGGAACATAAAGAATGCCAGATTTGTAGCGGTAGCTGTCGCCACGCACAAGTGGGGTCTTCCACTTACCTTGCTCAATAAGTGAAACGGCGTGATCGAAATCTCTATGTGCGATAAGAACATCCAGCTCGTCTGGTAGCTCCATGAGCCATTTGATGTCGTTGGCTGTTAGATCATCCTTTGTGGGCCTTCCTGATCGCTTTTCCGTGTCTCTATCACCAGTATCCGAGCGAGTTGGAGAGAAAGGCTCCGGGTCGGCGGCCTTTAAACACATTACAGAACCAGTAAATACAAACGTACAAGCGACCACACTCTTGAATTTACCGGTATTGCTAGCTCTGCGATCAAAACAGTCGGTCGGGCAATACGCGTCAGTGTCCAGTAAGCCAGCATGATAAAACAGCAGTTCCATCCCACGCACTTTGTCTAGCTTTGGCCGACTCAACAGCTTGTCTCTTCTGCAGCATGAGCTCGTCGGTAAACCTTTTGAAGGCACCCAGAAAAGATCGCTTTTCTTCCAAAGACTCGCTTCGATAGATGAACATATCAGGATGTCTCATTACTTTGAACGCGTTGCTAACCTCTGCATGCCCAACGCAACGTAGTGAGTTAATTGCATATTGCAAGAGCCAATTTCAGACAACATATATCTCTCCATACCAATGGAATCTTTCATGTCCACCACCGCCACATCCGCTAAACTCCAACACTTGTCTAAAACCATGCGACTTTTTCCTGATATGATATTTTTCTTCTTAGTTGTTACAAGTAACGTGTCACTCAGTAGGTAAAAATGAACATTTTGCACTGTCTTGTAGTTTGCTGGATTCACTTCTGCGAAACGGGCATGGGAACCGTCACGAACAAGGTAGCGATTTCGCCATTCCGGAAGGACTTTCTACATTGGGGAACCGATCCAGACATGCTGTTGGTTGAAATGACTTCCCACATATGAATCACAAATGTCGGTCAATTACCTGCAGTCCTTCCACAGTCTCATACAATGCTTCCATCTGCTGCCGTCGCGTTTGTTCTTCGCTCTGTTTTGCCAGTCCAGATAAAGCTGGTGCCGCCTTTTGAGTTGCGCTTTCGTCCTCATCCGCGGCGACTAATTCCACTGTAACCTCTATGATAAGCAACATGATATTAGCGATCACAGAATAGTTCACATCAAAATATACTCCGTACTTTCTGCCGTTGTCTCTTCTGTCTGTAGATTTGCATTGATATCCTTCAGATCACTCAAGAGCGACCGAAGTGTGAGCATATCACTTTCGAGCTGTACGCATTCAAGAGTTAAGGATATTCACCCGTCAGATCTACAAAGCAGAACAGCAAAAGCAGAAGCATGGCAATTAAAGACAAAGGATATTTGAAATTTCCTTGGAAATGAGGACGAATTCGTTGTAGTTTTTGTAAACATTTCTTTGCAAATCGACTGCAGCCGCATCTCGTGCATCAATGAGTGACTGATGGAACCCGCGCACACCTTCTTCCGTACTTTGGGTGAGAACGTTGTGAACGTCTTTCGAGAAACATATCCAAAAGTTTAAGTTTTTGGCCCGAAAGTGAAAGGAAACATGGAAGAGAAAGAATGCACTCGGTTATCACAATTGTATTTAAAAAGTCTAAAAAGAATACACAAAAAAACGCAACAGTATAGGATACGCAGTCAGTCTGCCCAGAGCATCCGCTCTGTTTCTGCTCCTTTTTCCCACTACGCCCCCACTCTGTTCAATATGCTGCCGGCCATTCTTCAGTGCACAAAACGAAAAAGAACGAATGTTACTAACATTTCTCAGCCTTAAAGTCCTCGTCAGCGAATTTAAGAATGTCCAACGAAGGAAGGCGCGCTGAGGTAGGACTCGGGGAAGGCATCCCGGGAGACCCGCCCGGTCCACGCGGAAGTGCCCTGAGCTGAGGACGTTCTCCCAGCGTTGGACGAGGGGCACTCATGTCCGCGCTTCCTCTTTGGGCCATCGTGCCCAGACCCTTTGTGGACACCTGAGAGGCCCTCTTTTCCCGCTCGTAGGAAGTCATGCCCACGCAAAGATGAAGCAAACAAGATGGTGGCTTTGGATTCACGTAACGTATCGTCCAAACTCCCCCGTTCTCCAATCCACGTGGAATGATAACGTAATCCAAGCGCAGTCTTGTGATTTGTTTGGTGACTGGCCCTTGCGGGAAGGAGAGGCACAGTCACACTAGAATGAGACGTTCCAAAGTGAGAAAATTTTGAATTTTCTTGACAGCGCCATTATTGGGGGGCCGTCGTTTTTAAACACGATCCCCCCCAGCCCGCGACCTTGCTTTTTTTCTTTACCTCCCCGTTCCCAGCTTGAGGGAAGATTGCTCTTCATACTGTCATGATCGCCGACTTACATCAGCTGCAACACATTGTATTCCGCTTTGACTTTGCCGTCACTCCACTGGCAAACAACGCTCAGACTGCTGCTGGCCGCTTCCTCCTTTTGGACTGCGGCATCCTTGCAAACTCGGACGACGGAGGCTAAGAGAGGTTAATTCTCTTGCACTCTCTCGACTCGTAAATAACTTTATCGAACGCAACCCTTGTCCTTTATTTTTTTTGTTATCTTCGCTCGTATCTCGATTGCTTGTTTCTCGGCGGTTTCTTTTGTTTTTGCTATTGTGCGCGCACACGTTGACATTGCGCGTATTCTCGTTTGGTCAAATCTGGCTACGCATCTCCGCCCATTTGCTCGACGTTTCTCCCTTTCATGGGCTGAGAAGCCCTTTGTCAAGCGAGTAGGAAGTTGCAGCCCGCGTGCTCTCTCTGGTGGGAGAGAGACCGAGTCTGTACTGTTGGCCGCCTCGGAACTGGAGCCAGAGTAACACACTCTAGAATATCTACCTTGTATTATCAAGAAAGGTCTCATGTCTGCGACCACAACTACTACCATTACTACAGTCGTTGGAGTACAACCTGCAACCAGGTCGGACACCGGAATCCCTGAAAGCGTACAAAACATTAGAAGCATTCCGCAAAAAATGCCCGCTTGCATCCCTTTTGCGAGAATTATGTCGACAGTCGAATTTCGCAACTTGCGGTTCGTCATCCTCGACTGTCCTACTGCAAATACCTTACCGATGTATCTTGAGGAGATGAAGAATCGCGGCGTGACCGACGTTGTTCGTCTCTGTGAACCAACTTATGACAAGACCATCTTGGAGAACAGTGACATCAAAGTGCACGATTGGCCATTCAAGGACGGTGGTATTCCACCTGCCTCCATTCTGAACAACTTTCTCGCCCTGTGCGACGATCGCTTCGCTGGTCTCGTGACCATGCCAAAGGATTACAAAGAAGGCACCGGTCCTGTAATTGTAAGTTTTTCAATGCAGTCAATCGCAAAATGCTTGAAGTTCAGTGTCTTATTGACTTTCTGACATTAGGCAGTTCATTGTGTTGCCGGTCTCGGACGTGCCCCAGTCCTGGTGACTGCAGCTCTCGTGGAAGCCGGGATGGCCCCGTTGGATGCAGTCGAGTTTGTTCGTCGTCGTCGGCGGGGTGCGTTGAACTCTGTTCAATTGAACTGGATCGTTGACTCGTACAAGAGGCAGTGGAAGAAAGGGAACAAGAGTGTGGGTGGTTTCCTCTCGAAACGCCCCAGCTCGCCTCAGCTTGAAAAGGACAACGCATCTGTGCACGTATCTCTTTCGTTGAAGGAGAGTTTTGGCAGGGTGTTTAGGTTCAGGAAGAGTAGCCCCGTGGACCAGACAGTGGTTTAGTAGCGCTTTTGGCGCAGAATGGGAAAACAGCGGAATTTTATGGAAGATCGGTGGGTCAAAGGATGTGACGTTTGTTATTGGTATCCGTGGGAAATACTGGTATCATATATGGAAGTAGGTTGTCGTTTATTCTGATGGGTCATTAAAAGAGTAGGTTTTATTCAGTATCATTGTAAATTGTTGCTGTGATCCAATGCCATATGTAAGTCGCCGTTTCACTGACAATTTAGAACCAGCCACTACGTTTCCCCTTGGTCTCCGAATGCGGCGCTCTGCTACCTTCCTGTTCTAATGATGCAGATTCCAAAGCCTGCAGCCGCTTTTCCAACGCCAATATATGCTTATGTGTGTCCGCTTTTGTGTGCTCCAGCTCTTCAGTGAGGTGTTGAATATGATATCCTTGGAGATCTGATAAGCCAGTATTCATAACATTGATGTCATACTTATTAAATACTTATAGTACCGATAAAGACCGTGACGATAGAGGTGAGGGCAATACCGGACGCAAAGATCGCCACATAGTTTGCCTGCTTTTTTGCGGCAGCCAGGTATGATGGGGATTGTGGATGTGCAACTGATGGTGGTAGTGTCGCGTGGATGATTTTTGGCACTGGGCCTGTGGAGTGTAGAATCCAGGCTGGACGGAAGGGGGGCATGGTGTGGAGGAATGGAGAACAGCCAGCAATCGTTTGGCATGCACGAGAGAGTTAGTGTTATTTCCTCAATTTGGATCCACACTGGAACCGGCCATACCACGAACACTGGGAATTCTGGCGTCCAGGATGCATCGTGACTTGTACTTTTAGAGCCTCACTATGTCGTTTTTGAAAACGTCCCGTAGGTCCTCGTTAGTTTAGGATATAGCAGTAATAATGTATCTACTAGTATACAACTTGGTGCGGCTAGTCTTCTGGGCTTCCGTTGTATTAAGGGGTGCAGAGGGGACAACCCTACACTCAAGAGACGACATAATCAGAGGGGCAGAAGGGGCCGACTATTGGTTAACTCATGAAGATTGTCTCAGGATCGCAACTCTCGATATAAGGGGAAAGAAGCTATCTGTACATGAATGGGCGCTAGTAAATGAAGTCAAGTACCGCCTGCGAAGAGGGGAGAATATAACCCTAATATGTCAAGACCTTGACAACCTCAGGAATAAGGGCACGTATAATGCGCTCGTAGATAACGGAGGGAGCGATCCGGTTGTCGTTACATACACGTACTCAGGGGAGGAAGTGTCGCACAGGGCGTCTCTTGTGGGTGGAGATAGGGACCAACCGAAAGACTTATCCCATGTTAACAGAACAGCTGGACTAGGACACAGGTTGAGCAGGCGGACTCAATCCCAATTTAGAGAAGGGATGGCGTTTTCGCAGGAGAAATATCGCCAACAAGACCACTCCAGCGACTGGTTCAAGGACCAAGAGGATAGAAACCAGTTTTGGAACGATAGCAGGGCAGTGGACCCAGTGGAAAGTGCGGAATCAGTTGGTGGCCTCCTATCGATCAAACTCTCCTGGTTGTACCTTACGATACGACATGACTTTGGAAAACATAGCAGGACACCCTAATTGGGCAGGTTCACTGGATTGCATGTGGAGAGGCGACTATTTTTGGTTCTCAGGTAAGGACCAACACCAAGCAGCTGAATTTGGCTGGGAGGATTTCTGGGTCAATAGATGTGATGGTTGCCATGTAGGTAATCAATATATTACGAAGGAATCCGACTGTATTCTATAGTAAGGGCCGTGATGGAACGGGGACCTAGGGGAGCCCGAGACGAAGATAGGTATCCCACAAGCCTCAGGGACAGGACGACCCTAGTGTAGAGAAGGAATAGGCAAGGAGGGTACATTAGCATAAGTCAAACAAGTTACAGTACCCAGAAGTGTCACCACCATCCACAGGCATTCCTAGGCCTGTCAGAAGTGATTTCTACACGGGAAATCAGTGTTCCAACGCTAAGTTCAACAGGTTATTCACATATGTATCAGTCTGTGTCATCTAAGTAAACTAACCAATCTAGTCATGCGTTTTCCATATCGGCTTTCTTGGAGTCTACACTATCACTATCATGTTGTTCAATAAACCGTGCAACAAACTCCCGGTACGTCCGACGGTGTTCGGCATTTGTTGGAATGAAATGTCTACGAAGTGCGAATTCGCCCTCAGTTTAGCTAGCCGAGCAAACCAAACAAAACAAAAAAAAGGAAAAACTCACCCTCCGTCATGGACGACCACTTTTCTTCCTTGCCCAAATCTTTCAGCCAAATATCTACTTCGCTCTATGCTCACCCATGTGTCACCTTGTCCCATCACATGAAGAGATGGTATCTGAGGTGGGATTGAATCAAGCAGTACAATATACGCAGGTGATTTGGGTAGAAATCCGCTGAAATGAATGGAAAACAGTGGCGAAGGAGAGAGGATTGGCACAAGCAATGCTGCCATTGTCGCGCCTTGGGAGAAACCGAGGATGCCGTGAAAAGGCCCTTGACTTTTCCATATCCTTTTTGTGTGTTGAACACAGGATCAATCGCATGCTGCAGACTTTCAATGAAGGATGTATCTGCCCTACCCTTTCACAAACTCCAAACTCTCCTCGGCTCCTTCGTATGCTTGACTTTCGTCATCTACCCTCCACCATCTTCGTTGTCCATCACCTTTCACGGACACCACGATTAGATCACAAGTTGGCATCAGATTTTAGGAACGCTTTTACCCTCTGGGTAGGTTACCCTCTCGGCATCGGTCTGTGGAGAATTCTCAGGGATAACATGTGGTGCGCTAATAAAGACTACACATGTAACTCTGTCAATAAAGTTGAAGCATTTTGCTAGTATTCAGAGTGAGTTGTCCGCCACAACTTACCGAATTCTGCCAGATTCTTTAGATCCTTGGCAAGCACCGCTATCCGCTTACCGAATATTTCCGCATTTTGCGTGTACCCATGTAGGCAGAGGATGCGCAGGCGGGTTGGTAGACGGTGCCATGGTTGTCGAGGATGGAATCCTACGAGTAGAATCGATACGAGCAATCCTTGTACAGTACAGTATGGTAATCCGATTGTGTCACGTGAACATGTATATGTCAGCAAGCGCAGCAAGCCGGAAACTTTCGGAAGGGACGAATCCCATGACGCGGAATGTCGGAGGGCAGCCGATGAGTATAAAAAGGGGAGTCTCTCTCTCTTCCCCTCCCTCCAGCTTTTCAAAAAGAATCGACTGCTTATGAGCAGTCCAACGAATGAAAGGTCGCGTGGTTGGTGATTTTAAAATGCCTTTTTAGGAGACAGCGAAACTGTGCCACCATTCAGTGGGCAAAATATCTTCTGGACAAAGCAAGCTTGTTCCCCCCTCCTTGTTTGCTTTCCTCCAAACCAATCGGGAATCTCGAGATTTCCGAACATCATTACCTGCCAGCATTTTGAGTTCCCAGCCTACAAAATAACTGCAAAATAATATACTAAATAACGAGAGAGGGCACGCTCTCACTCTTTTCGGGTACCATTCCCCGTTTCGATTGTGAAGGCCCCGTCGCCGTACAATCGGCACGCAGTCCGCCATCGTTTGTCCGGTCGCATCTGGTGTGTAAAGCAGACTCTGTTCTTCAAGGGAAGACAACTCTTTCCTCCATATCCCTGCAGTAGCAGCTTCCACTCTCCAGCTACGCCTGGCTCACTGCTACGTGATTCTTCATCGTCCATCGGGCATCTCAGGCAATCCTTTGATTTTCCTCCGCGATCAAAGCAATGCGTTCTGAGGGAGTGCAAATGTTTCCGCCCTCGGCGATGCCGCTGCGAAAGACGCAGATGGTGCAATTCGGCATTCTCTCGCCAGAGGATACGGTGAGTGTTTTCGTTCAGAATTCTTGGTGGAGCTATATATCCGTCTCTATCACCTTCTTTCAATACTTTTTGCACTTTGTGGTTGCCATTTCCGATGTGAATATCTTTCCTCAACCTCTTTGATTCTTCCTCTCTTTATTGACAAATGTAGAAAGCCATGTCTGTCGTCAAAGTGGAGCATCCCGAGTTTTATGAAAGTGAAAACAACCCCAAAACTGGCGGTCTACTGGATAGACGGCTAGGAACCACTGATAGGAACTTCAGATGTGCTACCTGTGGCGAGAACATGACAGATTGTCCCGGTCACTTTGGCCACATTGATCTTGCCAAGCCCGTGTATCACGCTGGTAAGCCTTGCTTGATAGTTGATGGCAAGAGTGTCAATGGAGGTCACCAATGGGAAAACAAATCATGAACCTGCTCTGTGCCTGGATGTCGCAATGCCCATACTGTTTGTGACTCTCTATTGATGTTCTTCGCGTAGGCTTCATCAGCAAGATCAAAAAGATCTTGGAATGCGTGTGCTTTCATTGCGGCAAGCTAAAGGTACTGAATCTGCAATATAGTCTC